GGGGACCAGGAGGGGCGAGGCTGGCCAGCTGCAGTCACATGGAAACAGGGCGTGGTGATGAGATGGAAAATGACATGGTGTCTGCAGACGCTGAAACTGATGCCAAGGCACGTGTGTGTGTGAGCAGGTGGGTATGAGCCTGAACCCGAAGCTCCTAGGAACCCGGGGCGCCTGTGGACAGTGGTGGAGGCAGAACCGCACCTGGAGCTGCCTCACAGCTTCACTGTCCCAGGGCAGGGCTGGCAGCTGGGATCTGGCTGAGATCCCAGGGTCCCAGCCCATGCAGAAGACTTGAGGAGGCTGCTGCCAGGGGCCCATGTGTCTGTCCCCAGCTGGAGGGCAGGACCATCCTGCAGTCTGTGCCCTGGAAGTGCAGATGACATACAGAGCTGGTGGCCTGTTGGGGATTTTCCCTGTCACACAGGGTTCCAAGGAGATCCCCAAGTCCTGCATCAGAGCTGAGGGCAGCAGCTGAGGGCCCCTGTGCCGCCCCAGACTCCCTGCACCTGTCACCTGCCACCCCCACACCAACCAGCACTGCTGAAACCTCGGGCTCCCAAGAGTCTAAGAAATGAACGGCAGAATGAAAAGCCACCCAGTTCACTATCTATTGCTTTCCTTCCTTGGGGTCTCATGGATGTGCTGGTCATGAGGCTTTTTTTTCAGCGGTGCCAGGGATGGAACCCGGTCCTTGTGTGTCCCCCGAAAGTGCTTTCCCACTGGGCCACATCCCAGCACACAGGCACTTTTTTTTTTTTTGGTACCAGGGATCAAACTCGGGTCCTTGCGCTTGCACAGCAGGCAACGAAACCACTGAGCTAAATCCCCGGCCCACAGGCACTTTTGTTGTTGTTGCTGTGTTTTGCTTTTATTCGTGTGTGTTTTGAGACAGGGTATTGCTGTGTAGCCCAGGCCATTCTCGAGCTATCTGTACCCCAGGCTGGCCTGCAGGTCACAATTCTCCTGCCTCAGCCTCCCAGAGCGCCGAGATTACAGGTGTACACACCGCCTGGTCCCTGAGACACACTTAAAGAGCCTCACTGTGGAGTCAGGTTGGCGGTTGCAGCAGAGGCTCAAAAGCTGAGTAAATGTTTACAGTAAATACTAACTTACAAAGTGTAGAGTCTCTTTGTCACATCTAAGCCCCCATCAAAAATAAAATACACTGGACCCTTGACTTATGAACTCAACTCATTCCCGAGGGCTGGTCAATTGCTTTCAAAGTCTCTCTCCTATAATTGTAGGCCAGATCCCAGTGTCCTTAGAGAGACACTGGCCCAGATTTCTCAATTAACCCCACATAGGAAAGCATGCTGTCATTCTCCTTCCAGACCTCTCTAAGGGTTAAATCTGTATCTGAGACCATCTGGAAGCACAGGCAGCCAGCATTCGGGTCATAACTTAATACTCTGGTCAGAAGTTAAAACTAAAAATTCCAGTTGTAACCCAAGTTGATCATATGTCAGACCGGTTGTAACTCGAGGGTCCACTGTAAAATAAAAAAGACATGGCTCCCAAGCCCAGCACACAGAAAGTGCGCATGGCTACCAGCAGCAGCCATGTAGTTCATTGACTGTGTTTTTAACATGTATTCAACATTGAACAATTACTGTTATATTCTTTTTTTGTTTTGTTTTTACACTGGCCAGGAGGGCAACTGCCCTGCCCAGGGACTTTATCAGCTGGACATCTTCATGCACAGATGGGGAAACTGAGGCCCAGCAAGGTCCCAGCACGCCAGACCCTCGGCCAGGGCTCTCCAGACGTCTGTCTCCGTCGCTGTCAGTCTTTTATTAAAGTACTGCATTATTTTACAGCACAACAACTCGCAGGTAGCCGTACTGGAGTTGGTTGCTCAGGAGTTCTTTAATGAGAATTAAAAACCAGCCACCAAGCGCGAGGGCGATTCGGCCGGAGACGGACGGGGCTGACCGCGCTCCCGCGTCTGCAGCTGGCACGCAGCGGCCCCTCGGCCACTCACCGCGCACGCGCGTCTCAGGATCCGCACGCAGGGCCACAGCGCCCTCTAGCGGGGCGAAGCTCACTGCAGGGCGGCCAGCAGCCTTGGTCGCAGGCGGAAGGTGCCCGCTTCCCAACTCACCTCCGCTGTGTTAACACTGACGAACCCCAAATGCACACTGTTGTCTAGCGTGGTACATAAGCCCTTCCTCTTGTCTCAGAATCTAGAAATCCTGTGTTGCTGCTGGCCGAACTCTTAATAAATTGCATTCTTTGTTCACACACACGCACACACACGCTTCCTGGCGAGGTGATTCGTGCAAAAAGCAAACCTGACTTATGTGATAACTGGCACTTCGGACTCCATCCCCGGCACCGTAAAAAAAAAAATGTAATTCCAACCCATCCCTTGATGAAAAGGTCTTTTTCTAAATTATTCATGTTATACACATAAAAGTGATACAAAATGTGTGGATATCTTCTCATATGTTGTGATCTGGGACAGAGTAATCCATTTGTTGGATCTCAAAATATTACTCATTCTTATCTTAATGCAGTTTCGGTAGCCCTAGAGCTCTGGCTTCAGTAAGGAGGAGCCTAAGGCAGGGCGCAGCACCGTGGGCCCCACCCAGACTCAGGTGGTCATGGAGAACGGGGGGTGGGGGGGGGGGGGGGGTGGACTGAGGGCGCAGCCCGGCCCAGCCTCGCCTGGCCTTGCTCTCCTTTCTGTGAACGAGGGGTGCTTCCTTCCGAGTGACGGGACGGCCTCTCCGCTTGGCAAAGACACCGTGTTACTCATGTAAATATTTGCTGAGATTCTAGGTGCTGGGATACACAACAGAACAAAGACAAACCCTGCCCTCATGGGGCTCACATTCGGGCCGGAGGTGGTGCTGACGAGGACACGCGAGCCCAGCGTGCAGGGCACTGCGCCTGGTGGAAGAGCTACAGAGAAGCAGCTCGGGTGAGGGTACAGAGGCACCTGGGGCTCGGGAAGAGGCCAACTGCCATTCCAGGGCAGGGCAAGGCAGGTGTCTCCGGGGGGAAACTGCATTTTAAAATGAAGGTCAGATTTGGCGAAACTGAAAAGTCCATCCGAATTTGTTCAACACACAAATTCTCTAACTTCCCCCACAAGTGGAGCCTGAATCTCAGCGCCCAGAGGACACTGCTACCGGGCGGAGCGGTGCCTGGACCGGCAGTTCTGGCTAGACCTGCCCTCCAGCCCACCAAACCCTGTGCCCAGGCAAAGGTTCGTTTTATTTAAAAAAATTTGTTTTTGGTACTGGGGATCTAAGTTTCGACCTTGCGCTTTCGAGGCTGGCAGTGCAACCACTGAGCCAAATCCCAGCCTGCAAAGGTTACTTTTAAAAAGCAAAATAGCAAATATACGGACACTTTATACCATAGTAGACCATGTGAAAGCTGTTTTAAGTGCTCCATATACTTTACCTCATTTTTCTTATAGAGACTTTTACAGACAAAGATCATGAAAATAGTACACAAATAGTACAGTGGTGCCTCAGTTCAGGAGCTTAATTCTTTCCACAATTCTGGTCGCAGAATATGAGAGAACACTACGGCAGTATAATGAATCCGCAAGTGCCTATCACTCAGTTTAGTAATTAGTAACAAGCTGGTCTTCCCGGGTTATCGGCCGCTGTTCTCTGGGACTAGGGATGGAGTATTTTAAAGCAATCCTAGATATTCATACAAACAAATGTTTCAAATGTAGCCATATCACTGTAAAAACAAGCAGCTCTTTATATTATCTAGTATCTACTCTCTTTTAATTTTCCTTCTTCCATAAAAAGAAAACCACCCCAATTTGTTTACAATTTGTTTCTAATTGGTTTGCTCTACTCAGGAGCCAAATGAAGCGCAGGGTTAGGACACACGCACGTGTCTCTGAAGCTCTGGGGCTCTTTATAGCTGCTCCTCTTCCCACTGCCCTCTGGACTCTCCCTCATTCCAGCGGGCGGATCAGAGTTCGGCCTCCGTTCCACTCGCACGAAGCCCTCGGCCCACCTCTCCAAGGCCCCGCTCCTCACTGTGCCCTCTGGCTCTGGGGGGCCCTCCCTGGCACCTCAGCGGCCACCGTGCACCTCCTGCCATGTTGCAGGCGTGTGTCCTCCACCTCCTCTCACCCAGAGTCCGTCACACACGAGGGAGTTCCACGCCCGCCCGGCCCGGCCCGGCCCGGGCCTGGTCCTGTCTTCACTGAAACTGCATCTCACAGTTTGGACTCAAGCTCAGGGAGGGAGGGTATCAGGGACACAGTACAACTGGACTTGCATTTTCCAAAGCCAGCCGATGTCCCCCAGCAACCCCCCATCAAACAAGCAGGTGCAAGTCTGTTTCCGTGGAAACTAAGGGCTTTTATATAGGAAGTCTCTGAATGCAGTGGTTAAAACAGCCATTTCTAACACATATAGTGAGGAAAGAAAATTGTAAAAGCTAATGGTTTCTCTCGGTACTTGGGCTTCGAGGCCCTACGAGACTCCCCCCTGCCCCGCCCGCCCGAGCCCAGGCCCACTCACCTGCTCCCCATCGTTACCTGGCGGCTGCCCAGGTCAGAAGCCCGAGGTGGGCCCCTCGCCCACTCTCACCTCTTCCCCCGCGCATCCAGCTGCTCCCCACGCCCACGCTACCATCCTGGCAGCAGGCCTTACTCCAGGCTTCAGCCCAGGACACACCCAGTCCATCCCCCAGCCTTGCTTACTGCTCAACTTTCCACCTCAGAAAACAGGAGCCACAAGGCCACTCTTCCCCGGCTTGGGAGCGCAGCGTCCTTGCCACACCTGATTGCATCCCTGGCGCTTCCTCCTGGACACTGCAGCTGGCCCTGGAGCCGGGGGCTCACTTCTGCCCGGCCCTGCTCCACTCCCCGCAGGGCTGCCCCCGCTCTTCCTTCTGATACGCACAGGCTGAGCTGCCGCAGGATCTGATCGAATGCTACCCCTCGTGTGGGCTCCTAAGAAGCCTTTGTAATGGCTGGAACTGGACATGATGTAAAGTGTAATGAGCCAGACTCAAGTATCTACATTTTCTCTGACAAATGAAATCTTTTAAACGTGAATGTATCTTTAGAGCTTTCAGTGTACAAAATTTCAAATAAAATTAACACAGAAGAAGGCAGTAAAAAGTCTGATTCGAAACATAGCTTAGAAAACAAATGTATCTATTTTAGATTAGTACTATGTTGGTAACAAAAGCCAACAAGAATGAAAGACAAATATGTTTGCATGCAGCATAAAGACAACAGAAAATCTAAACTTCAACATGCGATGACTGTAAACATATAAATGGAAAAACCTTCCTTTTTACTTCCAAATTCTCTTCTATATTCAGCATAAATCTTTACTTTTCAAAAGTGTACCATAGCTGTCAGCTCAAATCTGTCATTGCTCTCACACGTACTCCATTCTACGATTCAGTGTAGAAGGCTGCAGTGCTTCAGCGTGGCTGGGGAAGGCTTAGAGCGAGGCTGGGTCGGAGAACTGCCGCGTGCACGCACTGCCCCAGTCGTCTGCGGTATGCTCGTCTGCGGTATGCTCGCTGGTCCTGCTGAGGCGATGCTAGCGGCCTTCCTCACTCCTCCCACTTCTCGTCTTCAATCTTGTAACACCAGGCACATCGGAGGGAAGTGAGTTCAGTGTCCTTCTGTAAGAGGCTCTTGGTGAAAGGGTTTCTCTACGTTTATGAGAATCGATGACACCTTCTGCATCTGCAGGCCCTGCAGTCTCCCTAACTGTTGCTCCCTGAGCTGAGGCAGGAACTGCAGTTTGCTCAGCCCGAGTCTGCAGATGAGCAGCTTTGCTCTCTGCCGCAGGATCTGCTACACATCCATCCTGCTGGGAGGAACTGTTTCCATGGCCATTTGTCTTAATACATTTTTTCCTGACATATTTGCTCATTATTAAGACATTTGCAATCAATCGTTTGCTCCTTCTCCACTTATTTATCTGAAGCACCGGGCCTGACATACCCAGCTGGTACTGACGCAGGAGGAGGGGACACCGCTGCCCACCAGCCCGCCGGGCAGCTGCAGCCACGGGCTCCCCACAGAGCCCGGAGCCCGGAGCCCTAGGAAGGCCAGCGGAGGTGGATGGGACCTCGGCCCTGCACCTGCCCTATCTGCACGAGACGCACCGGGTATATGAAATCATAAAGAAAAAGAGAGACATGAAAGTAGAAGAGAAACACAAGGACAGGAAAGGAATGGGGGGAGGCAAAGCGGGGTGAGAAATAAAATTTCCCCAGTATTTCATACACATGGATGAGCAGGCCACACTAACCCACTGTTCTGTGCAGCTGACAGACAGCAAAAGAGGAAACAGGTTGCAGATCTCCGTGCCAGGCATCCTCCTCAGCAGAGAGCCATGGCCTCCTGACAACCCCACGCTCTAGCGCACAACCTTCCTGTTACATGCCAGCTACCACAGGTGTCTGTGTCCTTCACTGCTCTACCTAGAGCCTCAGATACTCAACTTATTCAATGAAAGAACACACAGAATGGCTGTACGGAAACAGCTGAGGAACCAAAGAATGAGAAAGATGCCACCTGCGTGTGACTGCGGATCAGGGCTGAGGACAGCTGTGGCGGGCAAGCTCATCAATGTGCTGAAGATCGAAGCTCCCTCTTACAGGAACCAGGACGCATAATCAGTGACTCAGGTGTGTGTGGCTGAAAACCCACCTTCCTGTTTGCCCAGAGAGCCTTTACCCTCACCTCCGTAAAGGTCCCGGATGTGCAGCATGGTTACACATTTCGGATGCCTCCGAAACGTTATTTGGCAGCAGAAAAAATATATAAAACTAAAACCCTATAAAGTTCTTCATCACATCAATGCTCTGTCTATGGCACGGTTGGTGACGGAAGCTGACAGCCCAGCTCGGGGGGCTCGCGTGGCTGCCCAGACACAGGGGCTCGGGCTCAGCCAGGCTCGGCCCCATCCAGACAGGGCGCCCAGCAGCAGCTCCCGGGGGAAGAAGAGAGGCCGGAGGCCACAGTGAGCGGAGTGTGGCTCCGCCCTATTTGCCTTTTTTGGTCTTGGCTGTTTTCTCCTTTCTTTTCTTCACATGTTTAGGAATTTTGTTTTTCCTTTTCTCTCTCTGGGCTTCCTTCACCATCTTTTTTCTTTCCTGTGAAAACACAAACAAAAAGCCCCACCAGTTCATTCATTTGGAGGATTCATGTTATTACCACGAAGTAAACATCCACATGCGGGAGATAAGTGAGGGTAATATAAAAAAAACTGAACTGAGTGTGGGCTGCTGGTGGAAAGAGGGTAAACTCCTGGAGTTTTTCTGTGGGCGGTACTGAGGACTGAACCCAGGGCCTTCACACTGAGCTGCATCTTGACAGGGTCTCATTAAGGTGCTAAGTTGTCCGAGTTGGGCTCAAATCTGTGGTCCTCTTGCCTCAGCCTCCCAGAGTGCTGGGATTACAGGGGTGTACCACCACACCCAGCTTTGAGCTCTCTTATAGAAATGTACACAGCTAGCTCATCAGAAGTATCTCTGTGGGTATTGTAACAACTACTTTTCTTGACAAGTTCCGTGTTCTCATGAAATAGATTGGAAAGAGACAAAATACTTGCTTCTGGTGGACAGAGAAATGTCCTGGCAGATGAGCATGTCTCTAGCTAGTCTCAGAGCCCAAGTTTTATAAGGTGAAGCACGGTTTGGCTGCACCTCTGGGTCCACGAGGAGGTGAAGGTAGGTGCTGGGTTCCTCACTGTCTCCTCAGCAACTTAGTGCTCACAACTCTGATGCCACCCAAGCAGCAGGGGCGATCACCACTGTGATCAGGGTGCTGTGTGGAGGAGTCCTCTCTAGGAAGTGCCCCAGTGCCTCCCCACAGCCCAGACCCTAGAAGGCGCCACCCTAAGACAAGGTCACATTTAGGGACTGAATCTGTAATCAGAGGAAATGAGCCAGCTCTGCGGAGCCTGCCCCAAGGCAGGGCCGGGGCTTCTCCCCACCTTCCTGTCCACATCAGGCTCCATGGTGTGCTTCTGGCCCCGCTGCTCCTCAGAGTCACTGTCAGAGGGCACTGAGCTCCCGGCATCTTCTGAATCAGAACAGGTCTTTTCTTGATCCTCATTTTCTAGGAGCGAGGGTACCTTGAAATTATTACAGAACCACATTATTCAAAGCCAGCTAGCTATCTGTCTGTCGTTAAATGTCTTGGTATTACAATTCGAGTTTAAGGCTGCCAATGACTCTGAAAAATAACATCAAGACAGCAGGATCAACAGCAGGGAGAAAGATCACCGGAAGCCATTCCAGCAGGGCCCCCGGAGAGACCCAAGTGAGGGCCAGGGCTTGGGGGGGCGGGGGCAAGGTCAGCACCAGAACTGTCGATGTTCTCGGCACAGGGCAGGGGCAAGCTGGGATGTGGGAGGACTGGAACTGCGCCTACACATCAAAGCTGACACTTATCTGGATGCCTTCACAGCTGTTTCCCTATGAACCACACTTCTAGCAACAAACTAATGCAATCAAACGGAAAGACGATTTTCAGCCAAGAGAATTTTTCATGTCTGGAAATTGAGGAGTGCATTTTTTTTTCAAAAGCAGTTTTTAAAAAAGGGTGGTTTCCTTTTATAAAATCAGATCTTTAAAGGCAACTATACAAAAAGATTTCCTGGCTGGCTGTAAGAAAATCTTCATGTCCTAAAACTCTCACACTGATTCCCCATCATTTCCTGTTACAAACTGACCGTGGGGACGCAGGCCTACATTCCAGCACTCTGGGAGGTGGAGGCGGTTCCGGCAATTCAGTTCTTCCCAGAGAAAAGATAGACAGTTGTCAAAAAGCAAAAACGTGGTCCTCCACGTAAGCAGTTAATAAGAGTTTAAAGAGAGAAGTGCTTTATTACTAAGTTAAAATTACTTGATCCCTGCCCTTCTAAAATGGAAAACAAAGTGAGATTGTTTTCAGTTTTATGTCCATTAGTTTTCACAGAATCATTAACACATGTTCTTCTTACCTTCTGAACTCCTGACAAATCTTTCTTCAATCCTGTGACAGTCTGGTATAGAATCTTGTAACCAAAAGGAAAAGAATTGCCAAAATCAGCATAAGATGAGACAGTAAAATGTACACACTGGACTGTCAAAGCACTGTGGCTGGATGGTCGGAGCACATATAGATTCTGTTACGGGTGTTTCTTGTGTCCAGACCCACAGGCCCCAGGTGGTTCTGACATACGGACATTCACAATCAATCTGATGACTGCAGTCTGCACCCCAGTAGTGAATCGGTATGTCCTTCCCTGAACAATCTCGCCCTTTCCTTATTAGTAGAGGCATATTACCAAAGGTTATGTTCAACCATTACCAAGTGTTTTTAATTTCATGAACAAAAGTTCTGGGAAAAAAGTTTTTCTCTTGGTTTTTATGGACCTACATAACAGCCTCAATTTTGCTTCTTGCATTACAAAGCCCAAAATATTTACTATCTGGCCCTTCACTAGACATTTTTCCCGGAAGTACACAGTATGTCGCAGATCCAGTACGGCTGCTCTCAGCTGGTCTCCTGGACAAACCCTGCTCTCGCTGGGATTAGTCTGCTGGGCTCCTACGCACACACCCTGCCTTCCTCGCACTCCCAGGGAACGGGGAAGTGTGCGCCCCACTAGCTCACACCCAGCACGCAGGACCCAGGAGCTCGACATGGGCTGGGCTGGGACAGGCTCACACAGGGAGCCGCGCTACGCACGCTGTCCTGCTGCGCGTTCACGGCCTTGTCCTCCTCCTTCAGCTCCATCATCACATCAACGTCCCTTTCGTAATTCTGCACCTCGCTCAAGGTCCTGGGAATATAGGCTCGCTTGAACACCTGTGTGAGGGAGGGCAGACCGGTGCCCACTGTCAGTCACGCGCTTCCCATGGTGCCTCAGGGGCCTTGCCCTGGCACCCATGGAGGTCTGAGGATTCCACCAGCCACGCGTGCTGGTGCTGCGGACAGCAATCTGTTACTAACCGTAAAACACTACATTTTTATGATTTAAGGCAAAACAATCCCATGGGAACAGATCTTGGGTTACTCCTCCCATTCATTTGTGTTCCAAAAGCTCTTCTGAGGAGCGGGGAGAGCACGCAGCAGTCGGCAGAGCCTGCTGCATGGGAGTCACCCAGCCAGCTGCTGCCTGCCCGGCGGAGGCACCTGGGAGCTGAGTGTGGTGGTACATGCCTGTGATCCCAGCACTCAGAAGGCTGAGGCAGGAAAATCACTGCAAGTTCCACGCCTGCCTGGGCTACATAGTGAATTCAAGGCCAGCCTGTATCACAGAACAAGACCTTGTCTCAAAAAACAACAACAAAAAAACCAGAAACAAAAACAAAAAAACTCAGAAGTATTTCTTTATCAGCCATCATGCTAAGAGCTGCCAGAATTTTAAAAAGCAAAAAGCCTAGTGTGGATCCTTTTTAAAAATACTCTGACTTCCTCCTGGACTAAAATAAAGTTTGTTTTCACCAAAGGATTGGTCTTTAAAATCTAAAATGCATATGGAATCAACTTGAAGTAATGAAAACATTCACAACCCCCCCCCCAACACACACACACCCCTGGGAACTGAACTCAGGGCCTTTGCACTGAGCCACACCCCAGCCCTTCGTAAACTCTTTTGAGACAGGGTCTCGCTAAGACACTAAGCTGCCTGAGCTGGGCTCGAGCCTGCGACCCTCCTGCCGCAGCCTCCCAGGACCCTGGGATTGCAGGTGTGCACCACCACAGCCCGCTCAGGCTTCTTCCTCGTGACTCGCATGCCTCACAGCTCTTTAAGGGTTTCCCATGAGGACGACGGGCTAACAGGCTGCCGAGGGGAACAACAGAATGAAATGGAAATTCCTCACCTTAGCTCAGTTGATTGTGTATCATCCACTAAAATCAAGCTCATGCTCTACTAGTACATACACAGACTGTGTGCACAAATCAGCCCTCAAAACATAAGGGTTTCTCAAGCCTCGAAGAGGGAACAGCCTACCTCTTCATCCACATGCTCCTGGCTGGACCGATCCTCCTTAGTCCTCTGCGAGGCTACTTCCATGGCCTGTGAGAAGACAAGAGGTCATTTTCCTCCACTTTGACCTAGACGAGATGTGTCCAGCCCCAGGTTTCTGGGTGAACTGATTCCAACCTTTATAGGTGTCATCCCTTCACGCTTCTGAAGGGACTCAGCGTGAATGGTGCACGTTTGTTCCCTACGGATGTCACCAAAAAGGCTGCCATCGACAGATGCACAAAGCATGGCATGCATGCGATGGAGTACTGTTAGCCTTAAAAAAGAAAGAAATCTTGTCATACGCTGCAACACGAATGAACCCGGAGGACATTATTCTTAGTGAAATAAGCCAGTTGTCTAAAAGGCAGGCATTGTGATTCTGACAGGAAGCAGCAAGAATGGTCAAATTCATCAAGACAGCACAGCTCAGGGCTGCACAGCTGTGCAGTCAGCACAGTCTCGGTTTGGGATGACGACAGAGTTCTGAAGATGCACAGTAGGGATGTGCGCACAGCACGGTGATGTCCTTGATGGCACTGAACTGCACATCACAAAATGGCTACAATAGGGCTGGGGATATAGCTCAGCAGCAGAGTGCTTGCCTAGCATGGGCAAGGCCCTGGGTTCAAATCCCAGTACCACAAAAACAAACAACATTGCTAAAATAGTAAATATTATGTTATGTGGATTTTATTACAACTTTTTAAAAAATTCTTTACTCAGAAAGGGTTCTGAGCTGGGGGTGGTGGCACATGTCTGTAGTCCCAGCACCTGGGAGGCTGAGGCAGGAGGACTGCCATGAGTTCAAGGCCTGGCTGAACTACAGAGTGAGACCGTCTCAAAGAAAAAAAAAGGCTTCTGAGAAACATGGGGGAATTAATGATCAAAAACTACTGGGTTTCTGACTAAATATTCACGTAGGCTGACAGCCTATGCAATCTTGCCAAAGGACTGAAGTCAAGGAACCTGGGTTTTCCACTGGCTGCTCCATCTTTGTTTGGAGACGGGGCATGTCCCTATGTTGCCCCAGCCGCTGTTGAATTTGTGAGCAATCCTCTTGGCTCACCCTCCCAAATGGCTGGGATTCAGGCATGCACCAGGGCATCCAGCTTGTGCAATATTTTTAATTCTCATCTGTGAAATCAGAAGCCTTAAGACGCTGTCAAAATGAGTTAGTTACACTAAGCAATAGGAGTTTCTCAAAGGCGTCACACAAATGCAACTGCACTGCTGTGCTGAGGCCTCCCTCGCCGTCTCACCTTGGAGAGGTAAGCGTCCACGTTCCCCGGCGTGATGGACGGATCTGTGATGAACTCGAAGAGCTCCCGCACAGTCATCACAGCAACAGCGTGCTTCATAAAGAAACCTGCCAGAAGGAAAATGCTGGCGATAGTTTCATAAGGGAGGAAGTTATTCCAACTACTGTATAGAGAAACAAATGCACACCACTGTTCGGCAGATGGTCTAAGTGTCACCATAGGGGACAAATTAGTGACAAGGTTTTTGGGTTTGGGGTTGGGGCCAGGCAAGTGCTTCATCACTGAGCTACTCCGGGCCCTGAGATTTTACACCACGAGTTAAACTGAGCACAGCATGCACAGATCCAAAGAGCTGCTGGGAACCCTCTTCCGCCTCACCGTTGGCATTGGCACAGTCCTTCCGCAGGAACTCCAGGGCATGGGGGTGGTCGTGCTCCACAGACTGGGAGACGTCAATGATGTGCACACCGCCACCGTGGTACCTGCGGGCGGAGAACACAGGCAGAGGCTAGTCTTTTATTGCATGTTTTGTTTCAAAGAATTCTATTGCTCAGAATATGGGAAACTCATAAAATGACCATGGTGGCTGAGGAGGAGTCACCGTGGATTAATAAGAGAGGAGAGCTGAGACAATTCCCAAGCCCACTGACTCAGTCAATTCTGGGACTAAGATCATCGAGGGCAGGGACCACATCTTAGCTCTTACCATGCGAAGCCAATGTCACAACTTTAGAATTTAGTACGACCTCACAGGCTAGGAATTTGCTTACTTAGGCTGGGTGGCTCCTAAGGGACAAGCCCACTCACAGCATGTTAAATTCACTGAGATCCGCGTGGACGAGTCTGGCGTCCTGATACATTCTTCTCATGTACTGAATGACCTGCAGATACAACTCCCGAGCCTTGGACTCTGATAACTCAACATTCTTCAAGAGTGGTGCAGGCCTTGAATAAAAACAAAACAAATCAATATAAAATGACCAAGAACACTGTTCTGGTTTGGGTCTAGATGTCCCCCCAAAGCCTCACGCAGTCTTTCTTGGAGGTGGCTGAATCTGGAATGTGATGCTGGGGTTAAAGGCGTGTGGTTACCAAACCACTACATGTGAGTGATTGGTTTGACACTGTCCTAATCCCTGCAGTCTGAATAAGATAAAAGGGGCAGGAAGACGCTGTTAAGGTCCCTTGTTGCCTTTGCTACCTTGTGCGCGCCGTGTTGTTTCTCCTCTGTGAGGCCCGTTTGCCATCCTTGCCTTGGAACCAGCCGATAACGGACTGAAACCTCTACGAACTGTGAGCCAAATAAACCTTTCTCCCTTTTAACTTTGGGTGCTGAGTATTTTGTCTCCGCAATGAGAAAAAGAAACCAACACAATCCCATTTTCCTGCTTCAAACTAGATCACTGCACGCACTTCTCTTCCATGCTTCACCATGAAGTGTATATGGGACAGGTCATCTCACTACAACTATCCCATCCTAAGAAGGCGCCTTCTCAGCACATCAAATGAAGTCTCTCTCAGAACAGGGTTAACTTTGTTATTCTGAAGCACTTTCAAACTTCAGGAGTTAAAACTGCTAACATGTATGCATTAAGACAGCGGAAAAGATTCACGCCAGGAGCCATTAATGGGAAATTCATATACTAGCTAATTCAAAGCACTTAAACATACAGGTCTATGCATGAAGTTCTTAGCCCTTCCATATACTTACATGTCATCTTTACCAATGAAACCCATGACAAGAACATGACTTTTTAGCATTATCGGTTCGGGACATGGTATCTTTGCTGTGTTTAACCTGTGATAACACATAAAAGGACAACAAAATGTCAAAAAGGCATCTAAACAAATTAAGAGAGCAGCAGTCCAGATTAATGCTGCTGCTAGCAAAGAGCACCAGGGCCTCTCAATTGCAACAGCATATTCCATAAGGTTTAAGACACCAGTGATTTAAAGTGATACCGACCTTGGTGGCGAAGAAAAGTAGCCATGGAGAACACTGAAAACTCAGTGGATGCAAAAATCCATTAAAGATTTGGAAACAAAGATCATACATGGAAGCAAATCAATGGACCCTGGAATATCCTTGGATAATAGATACAAAATGGATTATCCTGAAATGGGTTTAGTTGAATCTTTTTTTTCTTTTGGTACCGGGTATCAAACTCAGGTCCTTGCACTTGCGCAGCAGGCGGCAAAACCACTGAGCTAAATCCCTGGCCCTGAAATGGGTTTATGTATAACTATTAATAAGAACTTTCATAGAAGCACGGGAATGTCAGCTCGGTCTGATACAGATGTAGATGCAGCAAACCTCAAAGAAACATTTATGAACTTGAAATATGAAGTGAGGAATAAAAATGATCTTACACATGAACAAATTGTAGAATTGATGTGCATTGTTTCTAAAGAAGATCACAGCAAAAGTGGCAGCTCCATTTGTGTAACTCTAAGCCATGGTGAAGAAGGAATAATTTCTGGAACAAATGGACCCATTGCCCTGAAAATATTAATAAAGTTCTTCAGAGGGGATTTTTGTAGAAGCCTAGCTGGAAAACCCAAACTCTTCATTATTCAGGCCTGCTGGGGTACAGAACTGGACTCTGGCACTAAGACAGGCAGTGGTATTGATGATGACATGGCGTGCCAGAAAATACCGGTAGAGGCTGACTTCTTGTATGCATATTCCACGGCACCAGGTTACTATTCCTGGCAAAATTCAAAGGATGGATCCTGTTTCATTCGGTCACTTTGTGCTATGGTGAAATTGTATGCACACAAGCTTGAGTTTATGCATATTCTTACTCAAATTAATCGGAAGGTAGCAACAGAATTTGAATCCTTTTCCTATGACTCCACTTTTCATGCAAACAAATTCCATGTATTGTGTCCATGCTCACAAAAGAACTATATTTTTATCACTAAAAAATGGTTGACTTTTTAAAAGTTTGTATGCCAAGTGAGGAAACTATAAATGATACTGTATTTCCTTCTCTAACTGAATACTTCAGATGGTAGTTTGAATCATGCCATATGCCCAGCAAAAGAACCACAATCCAGCTACCTCAGGCTCACAATCAGGTAGTTGAAATTGAATTTAATTAGAAATAAATAAATATGGATATTGGAATAATCTCATGAAAAGATTATTGTAATTTTACACCTTTCATAATTAGCAACATTTTGTGATGATATGCTATGAATTTTCAAGTAATTATGAGGAACTTAAACACTGCGGTAATGAATTTTAATGATACTCCCCCTACACGCTTAAGACTGTGCAGTCTAGTTTTTGTTGTACTGTAGAAATGATGATATGGACTAATGTATCTTAGACCTTGAGGATTCATGGGCATGGTCAAAGGTTTGAAGCTTTATTTTAGAGCTGATGTATGAAAAGGAATCAAGCGCATTTTAAAATCACTTACAGCTCATGGTTTTTGTGACGTTTGTTCTGAGAATATGCTTCTTATAAAAACTTATGTTTACTATTGAGAAAGAAAGAATATATCAGAGAAAGTACGAGTAAACTGAGTTGATTCTTTTAAGGCTAACATGAAATATTAGTGGAGAGACAGAGTCATAACTATAAGGTGCTAAGATCTACCAGCATGTTTCTTCTCATTTGTTCTTATGCAAGTCAGAGGAAATTTACACACCAGCAAATTATCTGAAGATCTACTATGCAAAAACCTCAAACTATTATTAACTAGGATGATGTGAAGAAATTCTACAGATGCGTACTAAAATATCATCTGCATCAGAAACAGTGAAATGTTAAGAAAAAGCAATAAATGGATCAGGTGGGCAAGCTGTAATTTGAGAGAAGATGGTTTGAGCCTGAGCAGAGATGTGGCTCTGTCCAAACCAGGCAGAGCTACAGATGCCACTTCAGAAAAATCCTGCCAGATGATTCCTTCAGGTGCATACAGTGTGTGTAGGAGATACTCCCAAGGGATGTGAGAAAGTAAACCAAGTGAGAAACTTCTAAAATGAAGCTTTTCTGAAGAGCCACAAAAACTGTAATATTCATTGTAGTATAATTTGTAAGCATGCTATTTTCTGCTGAAGTTTACAATCAGTGGGAAAATAGTGGTAACATTTTGTACTGCTACTCACCAGCTTTCAGACCAACCCAATGTTTCATGAGAACTGTCTTTTGGCTCAAAGAAAGGAACTGACATTTATAGTTGACAACTATTTGTTTTGATAAGATCTATTAACTTTTTCTAAGTAAATGTAGCATGTAATGATATCCTAATGTGGGTTTTTGTGTGACAATTTTGTAAAAGTTTCTTAATCTGGATTTTTATTTCAGAACATACATTCAAACTTAAATTAAAAAGAAATAATAATAAAGTGATACCAATACATACCACTGAGAATGACAAAACACTGGGTAGTAAACAATCAAACCTCGTAGCTTGTAACAGTCATTCCAATTTCAGAGATGTTAAAGTGTGACAAATTTGCATCTTAGAATTGATGAAATATAGCAGATATGTCGACACTTATGAATTGATAAGCCTGAAAAATGCTTCATAAAAATCGTTGGACTCATTCCTTTTTTTTTTTTGGTACCGGGGATCGAACTCGGTCGGGTCCTTGCTCTTGCGCAGTGGACTCATTCCTACCTACTAGCTAGTGGATCACAAGAATTCAAAAGAACATTCAAAACAAGAAATACTTGCTTAATTGTAAATTATCCAGTGCACAGCACCTGTCCATAACAACAGGCTAAAAGACACTGGAAAGGGGAGGGAAAGATCACCAAATTTTAAGAAATCTTAATCTCAATAAAGTATGCAGCCTTTCTTCCTTTATCTCTGTTGTATCCAAAACTGGACTGAAATTTAAAAACTGAGAGAATAACATGTGTTTAAAACAGTAACTATTAAGAAGTGACACGTCATTATCATAACCAATCATGTCACTTCCCTGGTAACAGCTCTTTATCTTCCTCAGTACAAATTCTGTATGTTTTCGCGTGGCTGACAAGGCTATTCAAATGATTAGCTTCACTGGACACACAGACTCCACAATGCAACCCTAGAGAACAGGTAGTTGGTACCATCTGTAACGGTGCAGTACTATGCGGCCCCATGAGCCCTCTCAGCGGGCAGAACTGCACGGAGACCCATCAGCTGGAAGTGAGGACAGTGACATAGACCCGCACACCCAGTCACCTGATCAGGTTCCTCATCTCTTTTTCTGCCCAAGTTTTCACCATTTTTCTAGGGTTTCCTTTACAGTAGCCATGACGAAACCTTGAATAAGGAAAATACTTGTTATTCCAATCATTTCAGGATTCTCTTTTAATGTTTTAAGAAATGGAAATTAAAGAAACTGGGAAAAGAGAAATCTGGGCTCACCTGAACTCCCCGCTTACATACTTATCCCGATCTTTGAACACCAAAATCGAAGTTTTATAAATTTTGATTGCTCTGCTCTCTCCATTTGCTGTGCTGGCATGGTACACATTAGCCTATTTTAGGTCAAAAACAACAAAAAAAAATTGTGCTAAACAGTGTTTACTTTTCTAATGCACTGTATTTGATTCTAACAGCAAAAGTCAAGAGAAATGAAATCATATTCATGAAGAACACCACTAACTCTGGAAGATGTGTTAAAATATGAAATAGCGTCTCAGCACACACAGCATTTATCTTAGCTTGTGGTCACCTGCTGCACAATGACGTTTCATCCCACAGTAGCTCCATGAATCCCGCCTTGACTGGCACTGCAGCTGTCAGACTGTGCGTGACTCTATCAAGTTTTCACAACCACTAACCCACCAATAACATTTTCAGAACATATGCCATTGTCAAGTAATGGTAATAATACATATATAGTATAACCTGATTTATATGTTTTTATGTAAGAATTGGTTTCAAACCTTTGTACCTCAAATATAGAAAGATTTAAAAATATTCTTATATGTAATAATTCTTATACAATGAGTTATTCATTTAAAAACACTATATTTGGCGCAAGGACCTGAGTTTGATCCCCAGTACAAAAAGAACCCCAAAAACCTCTATTTGTCTTTTTTTACATCCATTAGCAAAAAAGTCTGATTCATAGAAATGATACCATAAACCCCTACCATTAGAATAAACTGCTCTTCTTGGGTGAGGTACTGAGGATTGAACCCAGAGACGCTCTCACTGGGCTACATCTCCAGCTCTTTTCAGTTTTAGTATTTTGAGGTAGGGCCTTGCTGGTTGCCCAGGCTGGGCTCGAACCTGCACTCCTCCTAACTCAGGCTTCCAAAGTGCTGTGATTACAGGCCTGCCCTGCCACACCTGGGTCCTGGCTAGCAATGTTTTAATGAGAACTCAGGCCTGCAACAATCTGATCAATAGGCTTACTGCTGGGCACAACTAGACTGTGACAGAGTGGCAGAAGGCAGCAACTGTAGGGAAAAAGGACAGTTACATGTACAACTTCCCATCTAGTCATAACTATGAATAAAGCCCACCAGCTCCCAAACTTCCCTGGCCTCGCATGGTCTCGACTCTCTTGTTTGTCCCCAGGGCCTTGCGCATGCTAGGCAAGTGCTGTATTACTGAGCTATACACCAGGCCCTTCTTTTCTCTTTAAAGGTGCAAGTTATTTACTAAGTGCCAACATTTCACTTGTTATGGGAAACAAGAAAACTAACATGAAAACATTCAGTTATCCAAAGAAAAGCTCACTTCTTTTCCTGTGCTAATGCAGCCATTTATCTCTGATATGATCCCTCTCGTCAACAGCTTGAATAAAATCATTCTTGTCCTGGGATCCAAAACCTAAAAAGAAATGCAAAAAATGAGAAGTCCAGAAGATGGTTCTGAATCCTATTAAAACACGCAAAGAGCTTCCGTGCGTACGCTGCTCCGGGTGACTACGGGAGTCAGTGATTGAATTCGCTTGGATTTTTAGTAACTCACATAAGCAAGCTGAAAGCCAAAGGAACCAGGGGCCCAAACCAAGATGTTCAAGTCATGGAAATCAAAGGCTTTCAAGTGGGAGGGAAGCAGAAATGGACTTCAGACCAGTGTTAGCTAACAAATACGGTGCCAACCACCAAGAAATTTTATATTCTCTAGTCACTACATTAAAAGAAAAACAGGTGAGATGATTTAATATATCTTATTTAATTCAATATATCTATAACTATCACTTAAGCATGTAATCAATATAAGAAGTCATCAACAAGATAATTAACTTTTTTTTATACTAAGTCTTCCGGACTCAGTGTGCACTGGCCGGGCAGCTTTAAACCAGGGCCCAGCACCCTGTGGCCTATGGGCCAAATCCTGGCTACAGCTTGTTTCTTTACAGCCTCCAAGCTAAAAATGGCTTTGACATTTGTTGCTGAAAGAGATCATTCAAAAGAAACTATATGCGAGCGGCAAAGCCTAAGTATTTACTAGTCGGCTCTTTCAAGAGTCTGCAGACCCTTGGAGTACTGGAGTGAATCGGGAGAGGGTCTCTTCCAAAATCAGACTGTCCCGCCTTCTTTTTTTTTTTTTCTGAGTCGAGGGTCTCTGCGATACCCAGGATCATCTCAAACAATTCTACTTCAGCCTCCCAAGGAGCTGGAACCACAGGAGCACCCTAAAAGTATTCAGTCTTGGTAAAAAAGATTTCAATGTCCTCTTAACAAAGAATTAAAAGCCTGTTCTTTCTTGTCCATCTCTGAAACTGAAGCAGCCCGTGTCTGCGTGCAGCAGCAGCAGTAGCCCCTCATGGCTCAGGGGCCCCCGGCACCGTGGAGTGAGACAGGGTAAACTGGTCAAACCCTGCCATATTTCAGGGTCGGACCTTCAGTGGGGCGGACGAGGTCACCCCACACCCTAACAACTGTGGCTGGCTGGAGGACTAAATGCCAAAGTACAACACTGCAACTGGAGACGAAGGCAGGCAAAGTGAGCGTACGGGCACCCAGGCCCATTCCCTGTCCACTGCAGAGGCTCATCCAGATGGGGAGCAGGCTGGCGGGGCAGGGATCTAGGTGGGACCTGCACTTCTGCAGAACTGGTGGGGAGAGCTGTGAGGGGCGTATGAAAGAGCAGTAGAGCAACATCTCAAGGAAAAAAATTGGGAATGCGAAATGACAGGCTGCTAGGCAAGTATTTTTCTTAAAAAAAGCACAAGTGTGAGACTCAACTGAGAAACTCTATTACTCAGAATTAGTTCTGAAAGAGAGAAAGGATCTCCTAAGTTATCTGAGGGTCTGAAAATTGAGGCTGCAGCTCCTTTCTCTGTACTAGACCACACACAAAATAAATTATAACCCAGTGAGGACACAGTGCCAGCCCTGCTCCTGTCTAACGGTGGAACTCTTCAACGGCACAAGCGTCTAGAGCTCAGAGCCGCCGGAGGGGCGCTACTCCTCTGGGGGTGAGGCGGATGACATTAGAGATGCTTACGACTAAGCCAAGGGTCTGCAGGTGAAGAAGCTGCTGTTCTGAAATGCATCTGCGCATGTGTATGGGTCGGGGAGAGGGGCTGCGGCAGCAACAGCTCACTTTCTTCAAATCAAAAGTCTGGGCCAGGGTTGGGGATTTAGCTCGGTGGTTCCGCCACCTGCCTAGCAAGTGTAAGGTCCTGAGTTCCATCCCTGGTACCAAAAAAAAAACCCATCTGGGCCAACGGTAACATCCAATCACCTCCCTCCGCATGTGGCAAATTAGGGTCCAATTTTCCTCCCCTCTTAAACAGAAAGAATAAAGGGCCGGGGATGTAGCACAGCGGCACAGTACCTGCCTGGCTAGCATGAGGCCCTGAGTTGGATTCCTGGTACCAAAAAAGAAAAAAAAGAATAAAACACGTAATTTCTGAAAGAAAGGGGTTTCAATGAGAAATCTGAAAGCATTACCGCTCTCACCGCTCTCACACTCTGCTTCATGGCAGATAATCAATCTATTTTATCGGAAAGGTTACAGAATTCCTACTGACTTTGCTTAAGAAAGTCTGATAATCTCTCTGCTTCCAAGGAGAAAGGACTCCATAGTGGTTTCACAGGGCCACGGGAGAACCGTGCCTGTGATTTATCGACTAACAGTTCTACTCTAAAGCCAAATGTTCATTTTTAAGTTCAAAACTATAAAAAGTAGTAATTTTACATAGTAGTTTTAGGTAACATTAGCATTAAGCAAGGACGAAAGCAAACTGTAAGTCAAAGAGGAAAGAAATGCTAATTTAGAATAAGAGCTTACAATACATTTAAATTGTACCTGTTCTACAGTAGCTCTGTCTGCCTTATCTTTGATGCGATACCTAACCAAAAACAAAAAGTATAGTTGACATATTCAAACTTCAGTGAGAGAAGCCAAAATAAAGCTCCTAAAGGTGCATCATTTTGTGAAAATGCCTAAGTAGTTTCTTTCACAACAAGACTTCATACTGCACCACAGATTCTTCACCTTGAGACACTTCCTTCATTTCCCTGACTGTGCACTTCAGTCCTCTAGGGCGAAGGTGTTGTGTGCAGCGAGAAACACTGATTGATAAAAGGGAAGCTGGGGAAAGTGACCAAAAATAGCCAGACTGTCTGTCCTTGAAATCTTGAACGAGTCTCATAGCACAGAGTTAGAGCCCTTTAGTTTTAAGGCTTTCTCTCTGGAGTCTTCAATGTAGATTGCTTTGCTTCAACTCCAATATCAGATGACTCACTCTAGTGCATGAACTCTAGTAACAGATCCAAACACAAAGGATCAGACAGGCCAGCAAGTCACACGAGACTACTGGGTTCTCTAAAAGCCGTTCTCTGAACAAAGCAATAAATCACAGAACATCTGGCTTTTAAGTTCAGTTCTAACACTGTTAGTTGTAGTAAGTGTTATTTTTTTTACAATACAGTGATAATGAAGTTTAGCGCACAAGAGAAGTTAGCCAGATTTTAAAACAATTCTTTGAAAACAAAAGAATACATGAAAACAGTTCTCAGTCATATCTTTATTTAGTTTTAAAACTTCTCCTGGATTCTTAAAGATACTTCATGGAAGGAAACAATTCTTAAAGAATTCTAAAATAACAACAATTTTACACATTTAGCCTAAACTGAAAGCTACAAACACAGTTACCCCCATGAAAGCAACCTGTGACTTTTGCAAATTATAGTTTTACCATGTATTTCCTAAGACTCATTTGGTATTTTCAAATTACCTTTGTGTAGGCTATCCCCATTTAAGCTGAAAAAGGAGACGAATGCGCACCCTTTGAAAAACAATTTTTTTCCTTAGTTTGTCGGGATCACCCATATTTTATGATTAATATATTACTTACATGTCTGTTTCATTCTGTCTAGACTTCTTGGTGACTTTATTTATGACAGAATCAGTAACATTTAGCTTATCTAAAAATAAAAAATGCATTATAAAATAACACATAAAATAAAGACATCAACAGCCCCTCTGAATAAAATACTGTACTTTTCCCTATTCTTTCTCCCTTTATTTCCTAAATACTTAATTATACTTATGATATAGTTTAGTTATGAAAAATACTAAATTTATTAAACACTGAAGTGTTTCCTTCATAGAAAGCATTGTCACTTTCATCACTATAGCTCTAATTTTCAGCCAGAATTCTAAAGAACTCTAGGTAGAGAAATACCTCAAAAATACTGTGTCTGGGACTGGGGATGTAGCTCAGTGGAACAGTGCCTGCCCACTAAGCATGAAGTCCTGAGTTCGATCCCCAGTACCAAAAAAACAAAAAACAAAAAACCCCCAAAACTGTGTCTGCATATTAAATTCCAGCCATTTGTTAATGTTTTATAGGTAATATAATGGCCTGAATACCAAGTTTAACTCTGAAAACGTTCATGTTATAGGTCCATGATGACAATGAAGACCCTGAACCAGGGATGGCGAACCTTTCAAAGAACAAAGGCCAAATTGCAACCGAAAACCCACTCATTTGTCTGCAAAGTGCCAATACTGCAATTAAACCTGAATATAAAGTTTTAGTTTAGAAAAAACAACATATAGATTAACATCTTTTGCTGGGGATTTAGCTCAGTGGTTCTGCCGCTTGCCTCGCAAGCGCAAGGTCCTAAGTTCGTTTCCCGGTAGCAAAAAAAAAACAAAAAAAACTGTATGAGATGATTAACATCTTTTGTCTTAAAAGAAAAACACAATAATAATGTGCCATAGGTTTGCCACCACTGCCCTACAATACTTCTATTCATTAATGCAGCATTTGTGGACAGTTTATATGACAGACCTGTGCTAGGTTTACAGTCAAAAGAAAGATAGATTCTACATGTATTAAGATGTGATGGCTCTGGCCGGGGATTTGGCTCAGTGGTTGTGCCACCTGCCTCGAAAGCGCAAGGTCCCGAGTTCGATCCCCAGTACCAAAAACAAAACAAGACAAAAGATGTGATGGTTCAAATCAACATTCTGATTCCCTGCATTTAACAGGTTAGTAAATGATTACCATCTACAAAAACAACAAATCTGGCAAAACAAATTAGTATTTTCAACATGCTATTTGCTTTGGAAGGATCCTACTACAAAACCAAACACAGAACAGACTAGAATGTGCACGTGTACCGCTAACTTCGTATTCCCACAACAGATGAGCAAACAAATAAAAAATAAATAAACAAAAAATGTGAAAGTCAGTCTCCCTGAAGCCATCTCTTTAAATCACTAAAGGTTTCCATTTTCTTTAAGCGGAGATACTGAATCGGTAACACCTGACTCATCACTTCTTGACCCAATAAAACTGTATAATACTTCACGGTTTTGAAGAATTTCCTCGAGGCCCAGTGAGGTAATGTGTTCTATAAACTCACCTAGATTAATTTTATTCTCAAATTTCTGTAGAACTTTGTCAGCTGGAGTAGACATTTTCGCCACGCTGCAGTTGGAAGTCTGTCGATTTGCCTATGAGAAGTAAGTTTAGAGTGTGAGGCGCTAGCTGCTAACACAACCCAAGGCCCTCATCACGTGCTCCTCTCCTTTGCTGGCGTTACCTATGAAAGCACCAATACTTACAGGAGTGGACTAAGGAAAGGAAAGAGCCCATCCAATCTGCCCCATCCTTTTATTTTTTTCCACGGTCACTTATTTATGTTTGACACAAATGTACACACGACACGCGTCTTGACAGCCTGCCCGGCACTGGACCACAGGCAGGGCTGGCCTCCGGGGGAGGTGGATCAGGAAGAAGAGCTGCGGGCGCTGCTGTCGGGCTCCCCAGGCTTCCGGAGGGGGCGCCACCTTAGGTGCAGGTAGTGACGACAGGGGGTGCTGGCCTGGCAGCGGTTATGAGGGGCCCTCAGGTCCCCGCTGAGCTTAGGTGCTCAGCCCTCTGCCTGGCCAGCACTTTCCCCTCTACAAAGAAGGGAAGGAGAGATGGAGGGAAGTTTGTGGAATATGGGCAGGAGTGGGGGCTGTGATGAGAACAGGCAGCATCAGTCCCTGGTCACAGGTGGGGGAGAGGAAGACCCCCCAAATGCTGGTCCCACTGCTCTAGCCCCCTCGCCCCCAAAAGCTCCAGATGGGCCAGGCCTCCTGAACAGCACTGCTGCCCATACACTGACACACAGGGACACTCAATTACCACCCAGTTAAAATTCAGGGGTTGGGAGAGGAGGAAAAAAAAGATTTTCCAGTGTTTGCTGCTGGGGACCCCAACACACTGGTTGGGGCCTGTGCCCTAGGCCTGGGCCATTTGCCATTAGAGGGCAGTAAGAGGGCTGGTGGCTATAGGGCAGGGACATCCACAGAGAAGTACAAAGGAGGGGGTGGCCCGCTCGGCCCCCAGTAGGGGAGCAGCCCCATTTGGAGTCCCCATCCAAGCCTTTGTGGAAGGCAAGGCACTGGGAGTGATGCCCTGCAGGCCATGCATGCAGAAAGGGTAGGTGCTATGCACAGGGGGAGGTGCACGGAATGTGGAGGACAGAAGCTCCTGCCACCCCACTCCCCACCCTTGGGGCCTGAGGGGCGTGGGCACCAGGGGAGAGTGGCCGCGCTGAGGGCACCTGTGTCAGTGGCTCTGCTGGGGTGGCTTAGTGTCTGGAGTGGCCCAGCTCCCATGGCCAGTGAGGCCCCAGGTGCGAGTGTGGTCACTGCTTTTCTCGGGGGGAGTGATGACTGGCTGCCTGGTGGCCTTGGCGATGTCACCTGCAGAGCCAGCAGATGGAAGTCCACAGGGGCGCCAGGCACTCCCTCTGCTGCCGGAGGCGCTGGCACTGAGTGAGCTGCGCACACGCTCCAGGGCTGGGCGAGAGGCCGGCTCGGTCACGGCCAGATGGAGCGTGTCTGAGCAGGGCACGGACTCCTGGGCTGCCCCCAACAGCTCCTCAATGGTCTCGGTGACCTGCTCTGTCCCCAGGGTGACAGCCTGGGCGCCGGGGAGCCCAGGATCGAGACCCCATGCAGAGATGCTCCTTCTTGCCTTGCTCCAGGAACCACTTCCCTCTCAGCCCAGGCAGCGGGTCCCCACTCCGCATGTTCTCATTGTCACTGCCGCACTGCTGCCGTGGTGGGAAAGCTTGCTCAGGCCCTTGACAGCTTCCTCCCTGGGAGCATGACAGCAGTGGGGAGGAGGGAGTGAAGGGCACGGCTGAGGGAGACGGCGCCTTCCGAAGCCGGTGAGGGCCAGCAGGGACATACACTGCAGAGATGGCGTCATGCTCTGGCTCAGTGCTGGGGAAGGGCTGTGGCCGTGTGGTGGGCTCCTTCCCCTGTGCATCCCAAAGGGCTTCAGGGCGGAGCCTGGCTCACACATGGAGAAGGCCTGGAGGTCCTGGGGGATGGGTGCTCCCACCAGGCCCCTGGGCTGTGTTCTGCCCGCTCCCTGGGAAGTGGGGGTGACGGGCCCTGGTGGAGGCCGGAGCTGCAGGATCTCTGCTCACAGCTTATGGGTCTCCCTCTGAGGGGCCCCAAGTTCATCACTCAAGGTGCTGTTGACCTTCATGAGCTGCTGCACTTTTGCCTCAGAGGTAGCCAGAGCCTTCTTCAGCTCCGGGAACTCCTGAGGAGTCCATACTCCGGGTGTGGTTGTTTCGTGTGGCACCGGTGCTGTGTAGTGGCTCTTGGTCCGTGTCGTTGGAGGCCACACTGTCGTAGTCGTGCTGGTTGTCAAGGTTACTTGGCTCCTTGCGGGCAGCTCCAGGTTGTCTGTAGGGCTGCTCAGGCTCTTGCCCTGCTGTCTCCGCCTGGCCTTACTGAGAACGCCAATGATGAAGATGGCAAACTCCCAGGCATTAAAGCGGGCCAATTTCCATCACACCGATTCCGTGTGGCTACGTACTCAGGGTTAACTTGCAGGAAGGCCGCGGCACCGCATTCCATCACCAGGGTGCTGTGGTTGTGGGTAGCCAGCCACCCAGCATCACTTTTTCTTCTATCCACCTCATCACAGACACCCACAGCAAGTTCTTCAAAAAGTTGGTTGCTGAACACCTGCAGTTCTTGGCAGCTTTGGCAGACAAAGGCAGGCTGTCAGGCAGCTGCGGAATGATATAATGCCCACTCTTGGGATCCGGCTTGCGTCCACAGAGGTAGCAGGCCAAATGGTTATTGAGCTCGTACGGGGACTCGACTAGCCTTTCCGCCAGTCCATGGTGCCGCACCTGCCTGCCACAGCCACTGGGTGTGCGGCCACTGTCACTGGAGAGCTGGGTCAGCCCCATACACCACCAGCAGCTCAGCTGCAGTGTCTGCACTGCCTTGGCAGCCACGTGCAGAGATGTGGGTGCGAGAAGCTGGCCTGGGCACCCAGAGACAGCAGGCGCAGACAGGTCTCCAAGGTGCCTGTCCACACGCTTGAGTGCAGCTGCTTGCTGAGGTCTTTGGCCATGATCCCATCGGCGTCCTAGCAGGAAGTTTATGCACAAATGCCAGCATCTGGTACTTGGCCCCGATGAACTCTGAATCTGATGGAATGGACACTGTTTTGGGGGCTGGCTTTGCTCAGCCACACTGTACCATCTGCAGCAGTGTGCTCGGGAGGCCAGGTGCTGTGGCCAACAGGCTGACAACAGAGATGTAGTGCTGCAGGCTTTGGCACATGGTCAGCCCTCACACACACCAGCACACCCTGCTGAAGGATGCCCAGCCAGTCCAGGCACACCTTCGCTTTCAGCCTCTTCCAGGACATGCTCAGCAGGGACATAGCCATAGCCCTCTGGGCCAGCGTGGGGGGCACAGGGAGTGGTTTCAGCAAGGCTCTGGCAAGGCCCCAGCTGGGCTTTGTGTGTGTACCTGGCCAACCATCCATCCCCAGGGCTGGTACAGACCCCACCCTGCCCACCTGTCCTCGGGCACACACCTGAGATGCCCTGCACAGCCTTTCAATCCTTTTATTAAAAGGCCTTTGTAACAGAAGGTTAAAGTTACTGACTAGAACAAAGAGGCCACAATGTTTACTTCTCTTCAATGTCACCTTCACTACGATAAAATGAGATATATTTCTCTACTCTGATTTATAGATTTAATACTTAAGAATGTTCATTCCCCCAAACTGTTTAATAAAGAGCTAAGGCCTGCATTCAACTCATTCCAATAATTTCATTTTGGGTCTAATGCCTCAAGAAAGGGAAAGATTAAGGATAAGGCTCAGCACGTACGACTGGCATTCCACAAGATTTAAAGAAATGGCAGTCAGTAAAGGCTGGGGCTACGGGACAACATCATCTGAAAAAAATCCTTCAGTCACTCAGTGCCTGACCCACGAAAAGTCCCTCTGAAGAAGACACCACAGACACCACAAAGATATACCTGTGGGTTACTCCTTCCACTCCAGGCACAGCCCTTGGTGAGTTTCCCAACTCCGTCATCCCAGTCCCAGTCAGCATCATCATCATAGTCCTGCTCTTCCTCCTCCTCTTCTATCTCACTTTCATCCTTCTTCTCAGTCATGTTATTTTGAAGATCTTCAAACAGAATGCCATCTTCTGCTTTGATTGTCTTCAAATCTGTGTTTTCACTAGAAATAACAATATTTTGGCTTATTTACACACCCTCTAAGTACATTCATATATATATTTATTTATGATGTTACAGACTAAATATATGCTGATAAATCTGTTTCCCTTACATCTCCCAATAAGCTCCACCTTCTTAATACCAATTCTCCTGTTTCTCAGTCATTTGTTTGCTTACTCTTCATACCCAACTCCTACTGGAAAAGAAGCATATGACATGTTAAGTCTGCTTCTGCCTTAGTGAAATTAGACTGTACATTATCTTCTCTGTTGAAGGAATCAACTCCGATCAGTGGATCAGCTTTGGGAATAAGTCTAAAGCAGTCCTACTTCAAACTCCATACCACTTTGCAACATAAAGAGCCCCAAGTTACCCTTGTTTACAAAGGAAGGGAGGGTCCAAACACTACACATCAGAGGAGGCTAAGCAGAAGAGAAGCCGGGCTGTCTACAGAGCGAAGTCCAGGATGAAGACAGCAGACCTATCAGGTTTTTGGCCATCTGTGAATCAGGGCCTGTGCTACTGGATTTTCTTAGTTTTTCAAGAGAAGACAGAAATCTGGACATTTGCATACAATTTTCCACTTAACTGGAAGATGGAATTTTTACGACAGTGTGCATACCAAACAAAACACATCTACAGGCCAAATTCAACAGAGGTATTGGTAGTTTTGACTTTTCATGTAAAGTAAAGACAGAAACCCTATAACACAAGTAATAATATGTACCACTTAAAAACAGACAGGAGTTTAAGGAAAAGCAGATACCAGTCCCAACTTATTAATTAGTCATGGATCAGGGCTCCAAATCCCTGTGGGAAAGGGTAGGAGGAGAACAGAAAAATCACTAAATACCTGCAATATATTATTACTTCATAAAGTAACCTTTCATGTACCAATAACCTAGAGTGAGTCGTATGTTAAGTTACAACTTTGCGCTAGGGCTTTTCACCTCAGTTGGGCAATGCTTTGCCAAACATAGCAGGGTATTTTGTAGCATTGCTGGCCTCTATCCACAGATGTCACCAGTGCACCCCCCCACACACTGCCACAAACAAAAATGTCTCTAGAGATTGCCAAAGGCCCTTGGGTAGGGGTACAAAAATCACCCCAGTAGAGAACCAATGACTTATTCTCACCCTGCCCTGTGTGGATGGTAAATTAGTGCACTTATTACCATCTTCTATTCACCAGCCATGCTGGCTTCTTCCCACTTTAATTCTTCCAAAAGGACTTTGTACGCTGATCTGTAACCTTAAGACTAGAAAGCCCTTCTCATTTCTCTGGCTAAAGCCTACTCATTCCTGTATCAGCTTACTATCACTTGCTCAGGCAAATTTTCCCTATTCTTCATCTATTTCTTCTCTGTATTACTTAACAAATTCTAATAAGGATACTTTCTCTAATCATTTAATATCAGTTTCCCTTGGAAGAGTACAAGGTCTGCATCAATCAGAATGGTGTTGGCCAGTGTATCCCTAACACGAGATCTGACATGCAGAATGTGGTCAACATGAATCTACTGAAAACATATCCAACTGATTAATCAAATCTATTGCAATGAGTCCGTATGGTAAATATAAAGTACAGAATATTCTTGAAATTTCAAAATAACTTTTCATTTTCCTTATAAACAGGAGTTATCTTTAATGCTGTTTTCACAGACTCCATATCCAATCTACCACTAAATTTTGTCACTTCTACCTCCAAAGAATATCTCTATGACCCTAGCTCTAACACTCACCTTGGAACCTACCGACTTCATTACTTCTGAGCTGGTCTCTCTGCTCCACTCACTCTCCATAACCGTTTTCTACATGACAGAAAGATTCCTTTAAATCATAAATCAAATGATGTCACCATTCTGGTAAAAATCCCTCCCTGGCTTTCTAAGACCTGGCCAATACCTAACTCCTCACCATCACATGAAAGGCTCTGTATGATTCCTCCCCTTCTCACTTCTCCATCTCAACCACCTCCATTGTGCTCTCAGCACTGGCTTTGGGGTCCTCCTCTCACAGCCAGAGGGATCCCACCTTGGAGACTCTATTTGTCCTCAGCTCTTCCTTGTTCCTTCTTGTCATTTAAATACGGACTTTAACTCTTGCCTGACCACTACTTTTATATCTATTTTAATTCTGTGCACAGCATGACACTGAGTTTTTTTAATAGTTTGCAAGCCCTAAGCAGAAGGTGAAGTTCAATGACAGCAGGGCCGCGATTTGTCTTGTTCATCATTATCACCAGCAGAAGACAAAACCCGAAATATAGTAAGGGATCCGTAAGTAACTGTGGATCGATGAATATAAATAAAACACAAACATCTGGATTCCAGTTGTTAGCCCCAACTCTGCCTCTCGGCTAGGCTGACCGTCCTGGGGACCCGCAGACTCCCTCGACAAGTGGCTTTCCCGAGCTCGGCCCTGCAGCAGGAGGAAAAACCCAGCGGGGACGCAGAGTCTGACACATGCCCTAAGCCACAAACAAGTACAAGGCAGACTCTGAAAAGAGTCGGGGTGCTCCACGGCCGCCTACCTGTCGGAGGTCTCCGCGTCGTCAAACTGGCCGGGCACCACCCGGCTCATCAGGAGCTGCCGATAGTCCATGACGGAGGCCGCCCACCCTTCCTGGGGCAGGAACAGCACCGAGGACGGTCTTACCTGTAGCGAACCCAACCACTTCTCTGCGAACCTCGCCCCACAGACCGCTCAGGTCCCCAAGCCAGCAGCACCGACCTCGTGCTGAGGGCCTCCCAGGACTTACAGACAGAGGTCCCAACGCCACCCGCTGCCCGGAAGTCCCGCCTTCCGGAAGCCGAACTCACCGGAAGTTCCGCCCCGCGCGCGGGAGGCTGCGCTCTAGGACTCTCCGGACGGTGCGCGAGAAGGACGATTTAGCGGGGTCGCGCAGGTGTGTGGCGTCAGCTGTCTGGTGCCGCCCATTACGCCTGGAGTGTTCCGTTTCTGCGCCCCGCTCTGTGTTTCGTCTCGCGGAAGGACGCGCCAGTTAGCCCACAGGCTCTTCCTTGGCGGCCGCAGTCCTCCTAACTTCGCCGTGAGCGGCGTGTCGCCCGTCCGCGCGCGGTCGTCACACAGGGCGCGGCGGCGGCCGGGAGCCCCGCGGTGCGCACTGGTCGCGGTGGGAAGGGGGAGGCGAAGGCGCCCTGCTCCCTGCACACCAGTGCGCGGCGACGAGGACGAATCCGTAGTGCGGGCACAACAAACTATGGATCATGGAAGTGAGCACACTTTTGCGTGTTAGTGTGGTGCGTTTTCAGGTGAAAATGAGATAAGTTAAAGTTTATCCTGCGTCTGGAAAAAATAGCAGTGTAAGACTAGCGTGCTTTCCAGGAACGCCCGGGGCATCTCTGAACGCCCGTGTTTAACACAGCTTGGAATGTCTCCGGGATAGCTAGCTGAACATTTGAATACAAGTTCTAAAAATCCAACGTCAATTCTGCGAAGGACAGAAATGAAAGATGAGAAAAATAAGCCTGGCTAAAAAAATAAACTGGAAGATTGTGCAGTGCAGTTGGAGGAATGAACAACGTTGTAAAGAAGTGTGATTGGAAATAACGAGTTCACACAAAGGTTTATTTATTTATTTTTTTAGTTTAGAAGACAGCAGAGATTTTTCAGATCCCCTTCAGGTCAACCCAGAAATATTTATTTATTTGGAAGATTAAAGCGTAAAGTTGAGCCTTTCACCAGTCCTGCATAGCCTGCATGGTTTACATTTTTATACTTTACCAAGTGACTACATAGATTTGGAAACAACGAATCCTCAAAAAATTGTTAATTCAATAATTCAGTAGTTTAGTCAGACAATAGGTAGCGACTGTAGTTCGAGAGGAAATAAGTCATTAGAATGCAAGACTTATTTAGTATTTACCGTGTAGCCAACACGGGCAGGTGTGCATTACGACGTATTGAAAAGCCATAAGTAGATTCCTCATAAGGCAATTATAATCTAAATATAAATAACACCCTTGGAACTGGTGAAGACTAAAACAGTAAACAAGTAGGTACTGAGTTGTGAGGTAGAGATATAAAGACTAAAAACACAGGAATTTAAAAATAGATAAATGAGCAGATGGAGAGGTTTTGTGAGACAAGCATAAATGGGGGCAGAAGGCATTATTTATTTGCAGGCAAACTAGCCTTGTCTGAGTAGAGCAGGGAGCAGTATTGGGTAGGTAACATGGGTGCAGGCTATGGAAATTCTCCAGGGTCAAGTAGAATTTGGTGTGATTGGGCAATCTCGCTCCCATCAAAATGAGAATGTCGTGCGGATATGGATCAGAGTTAGAGGGGATGGAACAAAAGCATGGGTATGGAAAGACATTTTAAAAGGAAAAATGGGCAGGATTTGGTATCTGTGGGTATTGAGATTAGAAGGATACTAAAATCCTCCAAATTTTCAATCTCTAGTGCTTGAGAGAAAAGGTATGGTATAGGAAAAGTGAGGAGGAAATACTTAGTGTTGGATTTGACTCAGTAATGAGTTTTTCAAATAGAAAGTTTCAAATAGAAATAGTGTTTTGTGAAAACTAATAAAATAATATTTTGGAAAAAAAAGACTAATATTTTGTAAATATTCTTTCATTAAGTAGCCAAGAAAGGCCTTCACTTTTAGAGAATTACTGGATAATGGCCACATACATGTATCCAAATCAGTGCTTAATACCATACCAAGTCATAGTATACTCGGACTAAATTTTTTAATTTTTGTAACAACTTGATGAATGGCATTTTATATTTAAGGCAGTGAACTTTGTAGCCTTCTCAAAGTGAAATGTAGGGGGAACGGTGTACACTAATAAACACTGAAACTATGTATATGTCTGTGTTTTTTTAAGAGACCTTCTATCATTCAGCAATTAAGAACGAGGACTCTCAAAAGTTTTGTTCATCATCCCTGGCAACACAAAAGAAAAAATAAGTTGTGTTCATCACCTTCAGTTCCTGTACATTTGGAAGTGCATGCTTCTCATGAAAATTTAGAAAGCATGTCTGAACTGGATGCCACACATGTCAGTGGTCTTTCTCAAGATTTAACTCACTCAGATTCTCCCTCCTGGATGGAAAGCAGCCCCACTTCATTTTTCCCTCAGGTGTGCATCGCTTTTGAGTCCTAGAAGGTTCAGATGCATTCAGTATTCACATTGTCTTCCATGTGAACATTTCTTCAGATCTCTTGAGGACAGTAGAAGAATCTCCAGTGGGCATATAAGGAGGGAAACAGGGCCTGGCTTTCTAGTCCTGTTGGTGTATAAAGAAAGTAGAGTTTTACACACAGAGTGTTCAGATGGTCCTTTTTATCCGCTCAGATATCCCAACAGTGCAGCCAGAGGACATGGCCACGACTGTCACGGAGGCAAGACGAGGGACTTGACTCCCAGTCTAGAGCATCTTCCACTGTGTCAGTGTGCAGATGATTTGCTTGTCATTCGTAATGACGGACAGCACCCTGCAGGGAAATGACTTCCATCCTCCATCCTCATGAAAATTCCTAGTGCCCTTTCCCACAAGATAAAGGAGACTAATGTCCCAGAGCTCTTCATGAATGTTCTAAATGTTTGATAGTTGCTAACAAGAGTATAGGGGAATAAGAGAAATCAAGTTGTGCTATGTGCAATTGCCTTTGTACCTCAAAAATTGTCAAATACTGAAAATTTCCTGCGGCTCAGCCTATACATTGGCAAAGCCTTTCTGCAGGGATGTTCAGTGATAGGATAGGAAATTGAGTTAAACTGCCTTTCACAATCCTACCTCTAGGAAATATTCAAATAAGATATTTAAAGAATTGTCCATAATAATTAAACATTGGAAACAACATTCATGAGTAAGGGGCTAATTAATGTACTTTGTAGGTATATGGTAAACATGTAACCTTTATATATTTGTCAACAGAAATGATCATACTGGTCTTACTGGGTAGTAGGTTTTTGAGTGCTTTCTGTATGTGATAGTTGGGATTCTTTTTTATGATTAAACTTGTTAATCAGGGTCTAATATACTACATACATTTGAAACACTGTGTCTTATATTAGGTTCTCCTTGGGTTTCACTGAGCATTTTATTCTTTATAATTTATGGACAAAAAAGTTGTCTCTGAAATTCTTAGTAGAATCCCAAGAAGAGTATGTGAAGTACAGTATGAAGGCAATGAATAGGGCTATTTAAAATTTTATTTATTCATTTTTGCAGTGATAAAGATTGATCCTGGAGGTACTGTGCACTCCCAGCACTGTTTATATTTATTTACTTATTGATTGGTTGATTGGTTTTGTGAGATAAGGTCTCACTTTGTAGTTCTGGTTTACCTTGCACTGACTTTATAGCCCATGCTGGCCTCTAACTCACAGCAGTCCTCCTGCCTCATCCTCCCAAGTTCTGGGATTATAGGCATGTACCACTGTGCCCAGCAATTTTTTTAAGACATGGTCTTGCTAAATTGCCCAGGCAGGCCTCAAACTTGGAATCCTCCTGCCTCCGCCTCCCAAGTAGCTAGGATTAATGTGTGCCACTGCACCTCACTAAGTAGTGCTGTTTTATTTTTCAAGTATATTATTAATATGTTAAAAATCTGACTAGGAGGAATGGTCTGAATTAATGACAAGTATAAAAAACATTGTTAAAAGCTATAACTCAGTTTTTATCATATGTCAAGTATATTTAATACGTGGAACAATTCTTTAAAACTATAAATAGAACCAGCTGATTTTAATTAGAAATAAGACTTTTTAGGACATTGTTTAGGCCCACATACTTGACCCACTGTTCATGATTAATGTGTTCCTCAAAAATTTTCCTGATTATCTTATGTATAATATTAGTGTAATGAACGCTTTCATCTTAGATAACATTCAGGTAACTTTGAAAATAATTTAGTGCTTAAAGATGTTATCTCATTACTGGAATTGTTTTGTATATTTTAAATGTCAAGAGAATAGACTACCCTAATACTGTTAGACAAGATTTAACATCAAAGCATTATCAATAAGAGATATATACACTTTGATATATCCCTGTTTATAGTCACATGATTTGACTTGTAAAAAACCCAGAGTATTAAAGCATCAGGTTGTTTGTCATTTAATGTTGTGACTGTATTAGAATAGTTTTACTAAAAGGAAGGCAAATATGCAATGGAGAAAGATACTAGAAAGCTCATTCCACATGTGCAAAAAAATTCTAATAAAAGCCAGGCGTGGAGGTGCATGCCTGCATGGGAGGCTGAGATGGGAGGATTGGAAGTTTGAGCCTATCCTGGGGAATTTAGCAACTTAGGGTGACCCTGTCTCAAAAATTTTAAAAAAAATCTGGGGAATGTTGCTCAGTTTGAAGGCTCTGGATTCAATCCCCAATGTCACCCCCCAAGAAAATACATAAAATAGAAAATTGCTTTGCAATGTACATACACATTGAGAAGTTTATGATTTTGGTTGAAATATTAATGCCTTTTTTATTAACACAGAATGAAACAAAGAATGTAAAAAGGGGAAATGAGTCTAAACCCACACTTTCTGAGGATATGTGTAGCACACAAGACAATGTGTTAGATGGTGAGTATCTTGGTAATATCCAAAATAGAGAAACATTTTTTTTGTGACCTGTGTTAATAACAGTAATAGCCAGGTACCATGCTAAGCTATGTTATGTTCCTTATTAAATCTAATCCACAAACAATTCTGTTAAATAAAGTTTTTTAAAAATTGAAATAAGGGTTGTTTTTAATCCCCATTTTACAGAAAAGGGGAGTAAGTATCTTCCCCAAGGTCATGTAGCTTTACCTGAGAGCTGTGAGTCAAGTTCAGTCTCAGACACTAGAATCATATGCTATACAAGTACATGTTTCAAAATGTGTATGTTTTAAAAAAATTAATTTTATTGGTACAATTTAAATATATATAGTGATCACATTCATTAAAGGCAATTTGTATACCTTGATTCCTCTTGTTTTCCCAGTCCCCTCCCTTCCCTTCAACCCCCCCTATTTACAAAAGCTTTGTTTGCATTTTTTTCCTTCTCCTTTTTTTTCCCCTATTCCCTTCCTTTTCTCCCTCCTCCCTTTAAAGTTTTCCCTTTATTTTTATTTTTTTGATACTGGGGATCAAACTCAGGTCCTTGCGCTTGCAAGGCAGATGGCGTAACCACAGCTAAATCCCCAGCCCAGTTTCCCTTTAATTTTGAAGAATTTCTTCCTATTTCATATTACCTATTATACAATTTGGTCCTTATTTACCCTTCCAGTTTCTCACTCCAGAGAGACAATGTGATATTTACATATATGTGTCCAATTTATTTCACTTAAGAGTATAGTCTCAAGGTGCATCCATTTAGCTATAAATGTCTACGGTTTATCTTAATGGTTTAGTACTCCATTGTATAAAAAACCCACATCTTTTTTTATCCATTGATTGGTTGATGGGCATCTGGGTTGATTTTTCTGGAGTGTGATGGAATCAGCATTGTTTTAATTTGCATCTCAGATGGCCAGTGATGTTGAAGATTTTTTCATGAATTTATTTGCTGTCTCTACTTCTTCATCTGAGAAGTGTCTATTCATTTCAGATGCCCATTTTTGGTTTGGGTCTTTAAATTTGGGGGGAGTCTGATTTTTTTTCAATTCTTTGTGTGTTCTAGATATTAGTCCTTTATTTGAGGAACTACTGGCTAAAATTTTTTCCCACTCTGTGGGTTGTCTCTTCACTCTGTTGGTGATTTCTTTTGCAGTGCAAAATCTTTAGTAGGATGAGATCCCAGTTGTTATTCTGTGTGTTATTTCCCGTGTAGTTTGGGTTTTCTTCATGAAGTCATTATCTGCCCCTTTGTCCTCATTAGTTCTACCTATTCTCTCTTGCAACAGATTCAGTGTTTCTGTTTTAATATTTAGCTCTTCAATCCATTTGATCATAGGAATTTTGGCGGGACAGTTCAGCCCACTGTTGTGTATTCACAGCTTGCAGTGTGACAAGCAGAGAACTGGAAAGGACACTTGAAAGGCCCTTAAATATATGAGAGAGATCACAGAAAAATACTGTTTGATGCATATCAGTTTGATATGTTTTGGAAGAATGTAAAGCCAAAGGAAGTCCTATGTTATAAGTAGAAGTATAAATTGGTATAGTCACTTTGGAGAATAATTTTACAGCCCTGTAAAGTAGAAGTGTTTTCCATAATAGAGCAATTCTACCTTCTTCTAGATATATACCCAGAGCCTGCACACATTGGTGTACTGGGAAATGTATGTAAGGGTGATCACAGCAGTGCTGTTTTTAGAAATAGCAAAATTAGAGAGCCAGGGATTAGCTCAGTGGTTCCGCCCCTGCCTTGCAGGCACTAGGTACACTAACAGACAAACAAACAAACAAAAATAGCAAAATTAGAAGAAATTTAAGTTTAAACTTGATCTTCATGTATTTACATGGCTAAGTTTCAGAAGCAAAATTCTAAATGAAATACTTCTGTTTTGTTGCATGTGCATACACACATATGTGCACATATATATGCTATTTATGTACATTTTTAAAGCATAATACCTAGGGTGGTGCTTTGTACTTTGAAATTTGCGGGAAACAGTGATAGTGGACTAATGGAGCTGTTAGGTGTTTCTTTTGGTCTATGGTTGCTATGAAAAATCACTGAGACCTTAAGGTTATCACAAAATGAAGAAATGTGGGAACCTGATATGTATTATTTAGGGGTCAGTAAAACATCAAAAAGATAATTGGGAAGAATGAGTTCATGTGGGCTTCAATATAGTGGTTACCATTGGGGAGGGAAAAGGAAGAAAGAAAGGAAAAAGTCATTAATTTTACAACATTTTACTCCATTTGTCTTATTTGCTTCTGATTTTTAAAAAACGTATTAAATCGGGACAATTGTCATATTGAGAAACAGTATAGTACTATATTTAAAGCAATATTCTAAAATTTCAGCTACACTGTTTTCTGATTCTGTGGCCTCAGAAAAAAGAGTTAACACCTCTTGTGTAAAAGAGGGATGGTAACAGTAGCAAGCTCATGGGATTGTTGTAAGATTAAACAAATTTACATGTGTTCATTATTATACTATAATATGTGCTTTTTGGAATTTTTAAAATTACAGTACACAAAAATAATTTTGAAGCTACTTTGCAATTTGCTGTAATGGTATTTGACCAGACTAATATATACCATACTCTTCTGTAGTCATTTGGACAGTTCTTTCCCCTTTGTAAAAAGTCGCTTTGTTTTATTTGCTAGCACAAAACCATGATAAGATCCACACAATGAATAAGTTTTAAATAATATTTAACTCCTAAAAGATTACAAAGTTTATTTGTAAATATAAATGTTACCATATAAATTTATGGTCAAGTAATTAATACTTATTTTCTTCTTTCTCTTTCTAATGAGATACTGACATTGGAAGTTACCCCCAAAATATACAAACCCAGCCGGTTAACACCAGCATTTCTTCCTTGAGACCATGTGAACCCATTTGCAAGTTTCACTGGATAGAAGCATTCAATGATGAAATGACGTTTCAAAATCCAGCAGAAGGCTTTTCTTACATAGAGAGGCCAGAATTGCAAAGTCCTGTGTATAATTATGCAAAAGATAGCAATGTAACACAAGATCCACTTAAGGAAGAAAATTCAGTGGAAGCTAGCATTTCTACAACTAAAGACCAGTGTACTCATGAGTGTGTCACACAATCTTCTAGAAGTCCAAGCCACTACAACTACAGTGAAGAGACCCTGCCATTTACAGAAAAGCCATTGGTTACATGTACTGCCATGGGATCTAGCCTCAAGCCTAGTCAGCCTCAAAACTTTTTGTATAAAAAAAGCGTCTCCAGAAATGTTGAAGACCCATCTTATAGTGAGAATAGCTTTAAGCTGCATGATCTGAGAGTTAATTATAAAACAGAGGAGGTAAGATTGTTGACGGTCAGTGAAGCCTGTGGAATATTAAATTAGGCGGGGTTTAATCTGAGACTTTTCCAAGTAGTGTCAAGTCATCAAATCACTATGAGGAACTTGTGTCACTGGGGAAAATGTGTTCTGAGATTTTAACCAATTCAGATACAAGTTTTTCTAATTCAAGTCCATACTTGGAGATTAGCTCTACCAAATGGTCATTTTTTATGAGGCTCAGAACTCTGTCTTACTTTTCTTTCATGTGCCATAGCATCTAGATGGTGCCTTGAATATAATGTGGTTTTTGTATTTGTTGAATAAAAGTAGCAGGAAGTCATAGGGAAAGGTTGATAAGAGGAAGGTGTGCAGATTTATTGATCAAATCATTTGACAATAGAAGCCTAAAGTTTTTCTATTCTGTGAGATTTCTGTTTGCAAGTGAAGAATATTAACTTTTCTACCTAAGTGAAAACATTAATTTGTCTTTTGGTGTATTAACTCTGGGCACACATATAGTATCTTAAAACATTGAAGATGCCAACAATATAATTTCTAAACTCTCTAAACAAAAAAAAGCTCTAAGAATTGTGTGGACAAATAAATATAATCCAACAATAGTATAAATAATCATTTCAATGTGAATTTATAAGTTATAGCTATTATGTTTCATTTATAAGATGAGTTTGGTTTTTGTTCATTTATTTGGAAGTAAAGGACAACGTTTAGAAGAGAATTTTATTTTCCCTTGTTCATTTCTGGAAAGTAACATTTTTTTAAAAACCTGCTTAATTAGGGTTCCTCATAATTGCTTCTTCATGTTTCCATTGTATTTAGTCATTTATTTCAACCAGTCAGTATATACTTTTGGGGAATTTATTATGTACCAGGCTCCACCCTTTGAGTTGGTTATATAATATTAAAAAACAAGGAAAAATATGTTTCTTATAAAAATAACATCCCAGTAGAGAAGACAAACATTAATCAAGGAATCACACAAATAAGTGTAAGTTTGCATTTATGATAAGAGTTGTACGGAAGTAAGATGGCCATCTGCAGTCAATACTGTCCAGGGCCAGGGATTTAGGTCAGTGGTGCCCCGCCTGCCTCACAAGCACAAGGTCCTGAGTTTGATCCCTGGTACTGCAAAAAAAAAAAAAAAAAAATACTGCTCTGGTCAGAGAGTCTGGTGAAGCTTCCTTAAGAATCAGTCATCAAGCTGAGCCCGAAAGATGAGTAGGAGTCCTAAGGCATCTGTGGATGGGAGAGCATTCCAAGCCCAAGATCCAGATCTGCAGAATCCTTGTGACTGCAGGAAGTATGGTATCTACTAGGACTTGATGGAAGCCCAGTGTCCAGGAAATGCAAGTTTCAGGAAGATGTTAGAAGTGAGGAGACAGGGGAGGCCAAGTCAGCTTTCAAGAGCAGATATCAGGCCTTGGGAGCTTCAGTAAGGTAATTATCTTCATCCCACAACAACAAAAATCCATTCATATCTCTAAATTGGTCTAATACCACTCCTCCAGGACACTCACTGGATTTCCAATGTCATTCACTTCAGAGCTCCTCAACACAATTTACTGTCCTGTATTACCCTCCCAAACCTGTATTGGGAGCATAAAGTCAATCACAAGATCTGTGTATCTGCCACTCTAATGTTCATAGGAGTCATAGCATGGTGAGGTAATTGTCCAAATAAGGAATTTTAGCCAGCCCTGGTGGCACATACCTGTAATCCCAGGATTTAGGAGCCTGAGGCAGAAAGATTGCAGTGAGTTTGAGGCCAGCCTGGGCTACATAATAAGCTCAAGGACAGCCTGAACTGAATTACATAGTGAGACCTTGTCTCAAAAAAAAAAAAAAAATTTTTTTAAAAGACTGGTACTGGGGATCGAACTCAGGACCTTGCACTTGCGAGGCAGACAGCGTGCCACTGAGCTAAATCCCCAGCCCCAAAAGTCTTAATTTAAAATAGAACCTCTGGTCTGTAAGCTAGTTGATACATTAATTTGTTTTAATTCATCTGAAGTCAAAGCATTCTGTATGTGCTCAGAAAAGTTTGCATCATAGAAAATTGTGAGCATCAGAGTATAATTTTTCTTCTGTCAAAGTAAATATGAATACATATCTATAATATATATACCTACTGCTTGTGTTCTGCACATGCATTCAGCAACTAATATTTAGGTATTAACTTTGTTAAGTAAATATTATTGGAAATAGGTATTATTGTTCTTTTATAGCTGAGGAAACCAAACTAGCAATCTGGAATTCAAGACCAGATCTGACTCCAAAGTTCATGATCTTTCTATTCTTTCACATTTATTTTATTTACTGTGATTTGCAGACTGAAGTTTCTTCAAAAGAAGTACATATTTATGAGGAGACTCCTGAGGTGTTCGTCAGTCACCAGGAGGAAGTCCTAGTGGAAGGCTTGGAAAGCCCAAGGACTGCCTCAATTTGGTCCCCAGCAGGCATCTCCAGGAGTGTTGAGGCCTCTCGGGAGACCTGTGTGACACCTGACATGGAGCAAAGCTCTGAAAGCTTACAGTCTCTAGAGGAGGACATGGCTTTAAAGGAAGTCTTACAGATATTGCAACATAATAACAGAGAGCAGCACATGGAAATCCAAGACCTTCAGTGTAGCAACCTGTGTTTACAGAAGAAGAATAAAGAGCTACAGATGAAGATTGTCAGACAGCCAGTGTTCTTGGACATCATCAATAAGCTAGAGAAGAATATGGAAGAATTAATTGAGGACAAATATAACATGAAGCTAGAGAAGAATGACATTAATAGAAAACTGCAGAATTTGCAAGAGATTTTAGCTATCACCGAAAAACATCTCCAGGAATCCAGGAAAGAGAAGGAAATGTTACAGCTCCAAGTTAAAAAAGTCAAGGCCAATTATATTCATTTACAGGAAAGGTACATTACTGAAGTTCAAAAGAAGAATAGATCAGTAAGCCAGTGTATAGAGATGGACAGAAGCTTGAGTGAGAAGGAAGGAGAAGTAGAAAGACTGCAGCAACTCAAAGGAGAGCTGGAGAGGGCCACCACTTCTGCTCTGGACTTCTTGCAAAGAGAAAAAGAGACCCGAGAGCGAGAGTTCTTAGCTTTACAGAAGGAGTTCCAGAAACATGAAAAGGAAAACCTGAAAGAGAGACAGAAATTGAAATTGAGAAATGAGAAATTGATCGCTCAAGTTAAAAATTTGCTGTTCATCTGCGAAGATGAAAAGGCTAAGAATATAAAACTCCAGCAGCAGATCAACAAGGTACAAAATGAAAACGCACATCTTCAAGAGCAGATTGCAAGGAGTAGGGAGCAGGATTGTGTCCTGAAAGCTGAGACTGCCCAGTTACAAGAGCAATTAGAGGAAGGAATGGAGCCGGATACTGCCAAGGTATTTCTGCAGATTCTGAATTGCTAACCCAGAACACCAAGTTTCTGGTAGTCTGTGATGGACTTAGACATGGCACTTACATACAGTATTTGTTTTCAGAAAGAATTAATAACAAAAAGAGAAGTAAAAAAGAAAATTGCCACCGGTTTGGAGAAGTTTCTTTGGTTCCTGGGCATTCACTCGCCTTAAACCGTAGCCATTTTTGGCTTCTTTTGATTATTCTGGTAGAGGCAACAATTTTTTTTTTTTTTGGTTTTTTGATATAGGGTCTCCCTCTGTAGTTCAGGCTGGCCTTGAATTCACTACGTAGCCCAGGATGCCCTCAAACTTGTGGCAATCTTCCTGCCTCGGCCTCGTGAGTGCTGGGATTAGAGGTGTGCACCACCACGCTCACCCTGGCAGAGACAATAATTAACCTGGAAGTTTTGTGGGTCCTCAACCTTTTCATCTCCAGCGGCTCCCAGAAGTTACCTTTGCAAAATGATTTTCTAAATGTGCCCCTGTCCTATTCAGCAATAAAACTTTAATTGTACCATACAGTAATGCAGCTGCATATTTGGTTTATAAGATAGAACAAACCTATGTTATATATTTATTTTATAAAATTGAAAAGTATTTAAAAACAGCATAGGGGACCGGGGATTTAACTCAGTGGTTCTGGTGCCTGCCTTGCAAGCACAAGGTCCCGAGTTCGATCCCTGGTACCAAAAAAATAAATAAATAAATAAAAACAGCATAACAACCTTATATCAGTGTGTATTTGGAGAGGCTATAGTTTTTTTTTTAATATCTGTAGTTGAAAAGTCCTTTTATTTTTTCCAAAACCTGAAAGTGCATCCAATAAGGGATGATTTTTACAAGCTGGGGCATATCTACTACGTTTCAGTTTTGTGGGCCTGGCTGAAAGTGTATGGATCTTTACTAAGCATAGTAAAATCTTATTAACTTTTCCACTGCCTGCCTTGGAAGTGCAAGGTCCTGAGTTTGATCCCCAGTACCAAAAAAAAAAAAATTAACTCTGGCTACTTAGAAAAAAAACCAGTCTGAGCTACAAAAAATATGTAGGTTTTGCCTTGAAAATGTCCTTAGAGGACTCTTATGAATGTACAATCAGTGTATTATTTCTGAAAGATTTTTTTTTTTTGAGACAGGGTAGTTCAGGCTGGCATTGAACTCACCATGTAGCCCAGGCTGGCCTTGAACTTGCAGCATTCCTCCTGCCTCGGCCTCCTGAGTGCTGGGATCACAGGCATATGCCACCACATCCAGCAATCAGTGTATTATCTGCTAGTAAATGATTCCGTTTTTAAGGATTCTTCCTTATTGTCATTTTTTTTTTACAAATGTACAGTACAGTCTTTCAGAAACTATGTGACATGTGATGATAAAATTCTCTCGGCTGATGAAATGTGTGAAGCAGATATGAGAATGTAGCTGTCTTTTAATAACACAGTATTAAAATATTTGCAAAATAGCTGGGCATGATGTTGCACACTTGTAGTCCCTGCACTCTGGGAGGAGGCACTGAGGCAGGAGGATCACAAGTTTGAGCCAAGCCTGGTCAATTTAGAAACCTAGCAAGAATCTATCTCAAAATTTTAAAAGGAGCTGGGGATGTAGCTCAATGACGCCGTGCCTGCCTTGCAAGCCCTAGGTCCTAAGTTTGAACCCTAGTACTGGAAAAAGAAAAAAAAAAAGTAAAGCCATGCTCCTTTTCACTAATTGTTACTGTTTATCTTTGGTACTGGGGATCAAACTCAGGATCTCAAACTTGCCAGGCAGGCGCTGTGCTGCTGAGCTACTTCCCTTGCCCCTATTTGTCTTTCTTCAACACTTAATGCCCCCATGTCTACAGGAGAATAAAATATAAAATAATGAGATCAGATAAAAGGTAAAGACGTCAAGGGAGCCCCTTTTTTTTTAGCACTTCTGCATTTCAGAACAGCGGTCCTATGCTCTGGGTCAGTCTGCTCTGCCTAAAGGTTAGCGATTGTTCACATTAATGACCTAAAAAGTAGCTCCACCCACAGCGGGCACTGTGCACACCAGTAGAATAAAAAATGCAGTAAGCATCAAAAAGGTCCTGGCTTCACTCCTTGGTTATGTGAATTGGCCACATAATTTAACCTTTCTCAGCGTTACTGTCTTCACCTTAAAGAGGGGAAGTGCTACCTGCAGTTGCCCTGGGAAACACAACATTTAGTGAGAAAACAATTTCAAGGGTATGTTTTCAAGTTCTTTCTCTTCCCTTCTATTATTGAACATTTCTCTTCATTTTAAGTGCACTCATCTGAAGCTGCGTATGGTGGCACATTCCTATAATCCCAGCAGTTAGGAGGCTGAGGCAGGAAGAGATCACAGCAAGCATGAGGCCAGTCTGGCATACAGTGAGCTCAAAGACAGCCTGAACTACATAGCAAGACCCTGTCTCAAAAACCAAAAAAAAAAAGTGCACTCACTTGAGTTGAAATTTGAGGACATGTTCCTGATCCAAGACAAATATATATCTGTTTTGTTTTAGCTAAAATTTAGCCTCAGGAAAAATCTTTTAATCTAGTTTCCCAATCTATTACTGTTAAGACATCACCATTCCCAATGCTGAGCACTTCAAAGAAAGTGAGAAAGTGAGAGACATAATGCTACAAAAATTGAAGAGCCTTCATCTTAAAAAGAAAGATTTCGATAAAGAGGTACTATTTTTATTCTTCTAAAAATTCTATTAGTTTAATAAAAAAAATAGTCAAAGAAAAAGGTCACAGAGAAATCACTCCTAACATCTGGATTTCTTTTTTTTTTTTTTTTTTTGTACCGGGGATCGAACTCGGGACCTTGCTCTTGGGAGGCAGGCACCAGAACCACTGAGCTAAATCTCAGGCCCCACATCTGGATTTCTTGAAGAATTGGTCTTAGGGGCCAGAGTAGCTTTACTATGCCCCTCACTAAGTAGATATAGCATTCAGCATTTGAGTTGGTACCAGGGATTGAACTGCTGCACTTGCAAGGCAGGCAGCAGCACCACTGAGCTAAATCCATGGCCCTTTTGAGTTGTTTTATTACATAGGTAATAAAGCATTAGAGAATCTCATTCATCTACAAATGGGTTGTGATCGCTTTTCCAGTTTTGCAGGGCACTATTGATTCCCGAAAAATTGTTTATTTTGACATTTCTATAGTGGTTTCCAACTTGACTTGAAATAATGGAAATACTGAAAACAAATTTTATTTCTTGGGGGAAAAAGAGCAAGAGCAGACATTCTCAGTTTCTCCAGTTGGTTTTCTTGGTGTGGTGGTGTAAACTATGACAGATAAAATTAAGAAAGTTAAATAGGGAAGGTGCTAATGGGATGTTAAATTGTGTCATTTGTAAACTGAGGGGAATACACACATGATAGCTGACAGAGAATAAAAGCATATTCACCTCTGGAATCTTGGATCAGAGCAGTTAGTTCTGTACTCTGAACTGATGTGGATAGAAATTATGCTGCAGGTGCTCTGGGGAATCTTCGCCTTCTAGCCATGCTGTGGAGGAGAGGGCCAAGGGAAGGCTGAGGGCCGGGTGGGGAGGGAAGCACCCTCCTGGAGTCACACATGTGTGCTTCTGGCCCCTGGCCAAGAGAGGCACCCCAGAGCCTGGGGGTTTTACCAGAAGCTCTGTGCTCAGCTGCCTTCTGCGTCGAACATTTCAAAACTGCAGCCCCGGAATGTGCAGAACCACACATTTCAGTTGAAGCCACCTGCTTCGGACAACCAGGTTGGCACAGTGGGCCACTCCTGTCAGGAGAGGCGGGAGCTCCTGAACCCGAGATCTGGTGTGTGAACTCATTCCTCACTAGAGCTATAAAGACTTAGTGTCTCATGGAGACCAGAGACTGGACTATGTGTGATGTGCTGACTTCATTGTAAATGGTAGAGGATGCACTTTTGTTTCCTTACCTCTAAAATATAAATGCTTTTGCTCCTTAGCTACTGAAACATAAAGACAGAATCATAACTTTTAGAGAGTTAATTGCCAGTGAAAAAGTGTTTCAAGATCACATCATTGAGGTGAGTTTAACACTTATAATGCATTGTCTTTAATGTGTTAAAATACAAGTGCAGATATTTATGTTCTCTGGATAAATTTGGTGAAGTCCTTCTAGGTCTAAGTTCCCTACTCCTGTGATTCCAGCCACTCACCAGTCAGTCATCTCTTTGAATATTAAACTAGTGAAGTATGTGTTGTTAAATGTTCCAAGGATTTGTATTGAAAATGAGCACAAATGTATTTTTCAGGTCACTGATTTTTATTCCAATGAAGCCAAGAAAGTGAAAGATGTACCTATCTTATTGGGAGCCAGACTGGCTGAGTACCACAATCTAAATGAGGAGCTGGATTCTGTGGTAAGAAAGACCTTTTGTTGCTTTGCTGTTATTTTTATACTCATCACCATTTTACTAAGAAGTTTAAGGAATTATTAAGCTTCAGAAACTTGCTCATTGAAATGGTCACACACTGGCATGGTGGCAGTACTGGATTTGTTACAAAAGTACAAAACTGATCTGTTTTCCTATTTTGAAATTTTAAATAATTGTCTTTGTTTGGACTTCAGTAATCAGATTTCTGACATTCCAGGTAGAGAAACCACAAAATATGTGCTGTTTTTCATTGTGAATGAAGCACATTCCTATGGTGGCATATGCTACCACATTGTCATCGGGTGGGCTGGGACCAACAGTCTTTTCCAGGTTATTTGTCCTGATCCATGAATGGGTCAGGACAATTGGTGTGTGTGAAAGATTATTGTTTATTTTAGGGCAGAAATAAGAAAAAGGAGAGGAAAAGAAAAGCAAAAGAGGGCTGGGGATTTAGCTCAGTGGTTTCGCCACCTGCTCCGCAAGCACAAGGACCCGAATTCAATCCCCGGTACCAAAAAAAAAAAAAAAAAAAAAAAAGTAAAAGAGGTGCTCAGGGCGAAAAGCGTGCTTTGAAGGAAAAAGAGGGTTCTTGGTTTGTTTGTATTGATTTTTGGTACCGAGGATCGAACTCTGGTCCTTGCGCTTGCGCAGCAGGCGGCGAAACCACTGAACTAAATCCCGGGCTAAAGAGGGTTCTTGCAGGACAGAGTACTGGAAGGACAAGAGGGCAGGGGGCAGACTCGGTGGCCGCCATCCTTTTCTCTTCTTTGGTAGTTCATCCAGGTGTCCCACTCGATCTCATGCTAGAGATTGGTGTCAGGTGCCAGGTTCAGTGCGTTCTCCTATCCGGTGATTGGCTCTGGGTGCAGGGCCCGGCCTGATCCCAAGTCAGGCTCGGGCGCTGCTGCTCTGCACACATGGGTAATGAGTCTCCTCAGCTGCAGGCCGCGCGCGCCCTCGCCCGCCTCCAGTGTTGCTGTGTGTAACAACCACGGCGGGAAATGGCGCTCAGAGCTTACTCCAAGCGGTCTGTAAAGATAGAAGCAGAGAGACAGGAAGAATACAGCAGAAGAAAATGACAGCGTGATCTTGGAACCTAGACAGTTACAAAGCAATTTTAAAATTCGGTTAGTACAGTGTGATTTTCAGTACATGCATACAGTGTGTACTGATTTCAAATTGGGGTAATTAATGCTCCATCTCCTTATTCATCTCTTTGTGTTTGGAGTTTTAAGCTCTTCTCTTCTGGTTATTTATAAAATATATAGCAGGTTATTGTGGACTCTAGCTTCGCCATGTAGAAGACTAGAATTGATTACTTCCAACTATCTGTGTTCTGGTATCCAAATTCCCTTCTTCCTCCACTCTTCCCAGTCCCTAGTAGTCAGTATTTTATATTTAGATCAACTTGTTTAGCATAGACATGTGAGATAGATTATGTGGTGTTTGTCTTTCTGTGTCTTCATTTCACATAACCCAGCACCCTGTGATATTATCCTCATTAGGTAAGAGAGAAAAAGAAGGGCAGTTTCTACAGCAAATTTGCTTTGCCATTGCTTACTATAGGGTTCTTCACTGTAGACATCTAAGTATATTTAAATAATAGATTAAAAGTCATTCTTAGCCCTGTATTTACTAAAACTTCCGTAGTTTGTCTTCTGTAATTGCACTGAATATTAAGGTACCTGCTAGAGGAACTTGTGAATACCCTTTCCTGATAATTCTTTCACTTTTAGAAGCACAGTTTAAAAATTTTGTTTTTGTTTCTGTTTTTTTGGTAGGGATCGAACTCAAGACCTTGTGCTTGTGAGACAGGTGCAGCGCCATTGAGCTACATCCCCGGCCCCACAGTTTAAAACAATTTTTTTTATTTTTGGTCCCAGGGATCGAACTCAGGTCCTTGAAGTTTAAAAATTTTAATGGTTCCTTGCAAGTACAAATGGACCGTATACCAGAACTTGAAATATATAAAGCAGAACCTTTTTTAAAGCCTCCAGTTATTTATGCAAGGGAGAATATTTCTCAGACCTGAGCAAGTATCATCACACACAGCCTCCCTGATTTACTTCAGAGAGAATCAAATATATTTATGCATTGATTATGGAAAAGAAAGTAAAGATTTGAGGCTAATAAATATTTGTATGTACTAATAGATATTTACTTATTTGCAAAGTTATTTCATAGTGTAAAATGAGAGAAAAGATAAAACACCATTATAATTCCTGCTCACCTGTTCTATGTGCAGTCTTAATGAGGATCTGGTCCATAGCATCACATGATTCACCTGTCGGACAACTCAGTGAAGGTGGATATTGGGCACTGAGTGTAGTGGTGCAGACTTGGGGGACTGAGGCAAGAGGATTACAAATTCAAGCCCAACCTGGGCAACATAGAACAGAACCCTATCTCAAAATAAATAAATAAATAAATAAATAAAGAGCATATTGGAATAAGGATAGCTCACGGTCCTCTTTTGTTCTCAATACCCATATTAGCTTTCAAGGTATTTTCCAGGTTAGTATTTTCACTGATGTTTCTCTGCAGATCAAAAAATTGGGAAGTCTTGTAGAGTCAAAAGAAGACCACTGCAACAAGCTCATTGAAGAGAATGACAGGTATCAGAGACACTTGGGCAGCTTAATAAATAAGGTACACATTTTCTTGCAGAAATATTTGCCTTCTAAAAACTATGTCAGATATTAAATAATAGAATTCAGGAGGAAAAGGATCTGAAGTTTGATGGAGCACATTTACAATGATGTCTTTCTCTTCATAATGGCTTTAGAAGATGTCCCACCAGCCTTTAGCTGGATGCTAGCAGAGAGCATGGTGTGTGTCTGTCCATCCTGCTGCAGGCAATTTAGTCTTAGCATTGTGACTTCACTTTCAGGGTAATTATAAGTCTTGCCAACTTAGTGTTCCAGTTAGTTTTTAAAATCTGCATTAACCTTAACCAAATAGACTTGCTCCTTCAATGATACACAACCTGGTGTGTGGAATACACTATGTGTTGACTCACTGCAGTTGTCTGTATTTGGGACATGATCAATAGATAGAATTCTATTGTTATTCATATTTCTCATCTGAAAATCTAAGGAAGATGTTTAGTCTGTTGTAAAATTTTCACTGATGTAGTCAAATAACTAACCTTGAACTTGCAGAGAGTTTTTAAAAAGGAGAAAAAAAACAAAATTTAATAAAAACACTAGAATTTGTCAAAGAGTGATTTGTTTAGCTTGTTTTTTTCAAGATTGCATCGTGTGAGGAAATTATCAAATGTGCTGACCAAAGGCTGGAGGTATCCTATTCCCAGATTGTGCAGTAAGTTGATAAAACTGTTTTCAATTTTATGAATATTTACTAATATTCTATTTCACTCTCTGGTTTCTGAGTTCATTTCCTTTGCTCCCAGAAAGAAGAAAGGAAAGTGAGGATTTGCGTATTCACCCCTTTCATAAATTTAGCTAGTTTAATGTCTGGGCTGCCTAAGACAGAGGTCAACAGCCAGATTTCTATCCTCCCTTATCAGAGTCCCTTTTAATTTTAGGGGGTGATGAAGGAATTAGTGAGAAACATCCAAAAATCTTAGAGGATATTTTCATAATATTCAAATAAAATAACTTTGCAATCCTTAGAATTTATTCACAACGTATAAGAAATACCAAGTAAGTTCCCTCGCTGGAATGAAATTCATCTTGAAACAGTCCGAAAATAGCATTCTTAAATTTTGCCATTTTCCACCGATGTATTATTCTTATTTCTAATTGCTGCTTCAGTCCTCCCCGATTTCTTTAGTACTTGCTAACACTAGCACTTAAGGAAAAGGCCTCTTGTTACAAAGAAAGTCCACCTGAAAGCTTGAAGTAATTGAAAATGTAGATAGAGGTAGCTTTGTTTGCTTTTGTTTTTCACAGTCATTTTGAAGCCGAACAAACGGTAAACAGCATTTCCTTCTTTTAGACTAATGCAGACAAGTTTTAAATTTGTAGTGGAGAGAGAAGACGGTGTGCTGGGAAGGATTAAAATTAGAGTTTTCCCCAACTCATAGCCAAGAAAATTCTATCAGTGCTCAATAATCATGGGCTCATGGAATAGAAAATTTAAAAAAATAACTAAAACCAATATCAGACTATCATTTTGGCCACATTGTCTTGCCCCAGTTATTTTTAAAATTCAAGAAATTTAAAATGTACATTTCAATTGAGAGACTGACCCAGTTTAAGAAGTGGTATCTGAATTCTGTAAGCTATATTAAAAGCATTATCAAGCCAGGCGTGGTGGCACGCACCTGTAATCCCAGCTCACTGGGAGGTGGGGGCAGGAGGATCACAAGTTCAAGGCCAGCCTGGGTAACTCAGTGACTCAGACCCCTCAAAAATCAATTATTTTTTAAATGGAGGGAAGGGGCTGAGGATGTAGCTCAGTGCAAAGGCCCTGGGTTCCATCCCCGATATGAAAAAAAAAAAAAAAAGCAATGTCAATTGTGGCTGCCTATTAGAATTCCCTTTAGTGGGTTTTGAAAAATACGAATATCTAGGCCCTACTCCTAGATAAAACAAGCTTACATCTAGGTGAGACATGGGCATCAGTGTAATTTAAAGCTGTCCAGATGATTCGAGTATCTAGACAAGTTGAGAACCACTGTCAGGTATCATGTGAGTTGATTTGCTTTAAGTGATCAGGGTTGTTATATGTTTTAAAATTAAATATAGTCTATTATATCCAGAAAGATATTTTTAAAATTATAGTGGTTTAGTTTTTGTATCATTAAAAGGCATAGGGTGCTTCAAAAATTATGAAATACATCATCAGAGCAGTATTCTTTAACTTGGTGCTGGTCTATAGATTCTGTTAAAATTCAGAAATATTTAAGGTATTGTGTTCCAGGTTTACAATATTCTCTGTATTTGCTGGCTACCCTGTAATTTTTCAATTCACATGGTTTTTTTTGTTTTTTTTGGGGATCGAACTCGGGACCTTGCGCTTGCGAGGCAGGTGCTGGAACCACTGAGCTAAATCCCTGGCCCCAAATTCACATGTTTTGGTTGTTAGAAATAGCTGCTTACTACAAAAGCCATTCATGAGATTTGATTTTTTTAAATAACTGAAAGAAGGGGCCAGGAATTTAGCTCAGTGGTTTTGCTGCCTGCTGTGCAAGCGCAAGGACCCAAGTTCAATCCCCAGTACCAAAAAAAATTTTTTAAAGACTGAAAGGCACTTAGTGAAGTCCACTTTGTAATGCAGCAGGTGTGATCTATATGAAATGCAAACCTCACCATCCAGTTTGCATCTTTAAATATGTTAGTGATTTTTCCATCACTTTTTTTTGAGAATAAAAGACTTTGCTGTAGTACTAGGACTGAGATAGATGGGGAGGTGTAGATGTAGCAAGCAACCGCTGCCCTAGTTGGCCTCGTATGCCTATTCCGAAGGCCATGATTGTGCCAAATGTAGCGCCACTTGGCATCATGGTTTTCCCAGTGGCACCCGCCAGCTCCCAGCCTCACATTCCCAAGGCAGGAAAAGATGCTGAAGAGCGCTCCGTGACAAAATCCATCTTCCCTCAGTAAAGCTCCTCAGCTGAGACTGTTGACAGGAACACATGGTCATGGCATCTACCCTGAGGCCTTGGCAGGTCAGCTGCCTACCTCATGGAAAGAGAGCCCTCTGGCACTTTCTGATCAGAAATTCATTTGTTTCATTTAATGAAAAAATAAAACAAAATTTCATAACAAAATAATAAGAGAATAGTAATAGTTAATACACTGTCATTAACTTCAGAGTAGTTACTCAGAGTACAAGACGAAGACCAAAGATTCTTACAAAGAACCAAGTAACATAAAACCTTTTTTTCAATGAACCAAGATATACTTATAATACAAATGAAACAAATCAGCATATACATTAAAATATTTTTAAAAATATTTTTGAAGGGCCAGGGATTTAGCTCAGTGGTTTTGCCACGTACTGCGCAAGCTCAAGGACCCGAGTTTGATCCCTGGTACCAAAAAAAAAATATTTTTGAAACAACAGAATAGATAATTTGGGGCAGTGTTTGAACTTCTCCCTACTTCCTATTTATCTCTCTTCTATTTTGCACTTTATTTATCAGAAATTCTTTTTGTTGTTGTTGTTTGGTACTGGGGATCGAACTCGGGTCCTTGCGCTTGCGAGGCAGGCGGCGGAACCATTGAGCTAAATCCCCAGCCCTAGTCAGAAATTCTTGACATGGCCTACAAGTTTCTTCATGATCAGGCTCCTGCCTGCCTTTCCAGTGCCATTTGCCATCCCTCAGCTTGCTTTTAGCCACACTGGGGATCGAGTTTCTCAAGTGTCCCACATTCCCTTTGGCTCCTGAGTTTTGTACATGTTGTCCCACGTGGAATGCCCAAGCTCTTCATCCCAGTTGTCCCCTGCCATCCTCCAAATCTGTCCAAATGCCGTTTCCCGAGAGGTGCATTCACTCTCTCCTGAGTTATGGTTTGGACCTAAAGTCCCCAAAAATCTCATGTGTTCAGAGATGAGGCTTGGTCGGAAGGGACAGGTCACTGGGTGTATGACCTGGAAGGGTTTACAGACATTCCTCCTTTATTTTCTATTGGGTTTTTTTTGGTACCGGGGATCGAACTCAGGTCCTTGCACTTGCACAGCAGGCAGTGAAACCATTGAGCTAAATCCTGGGCCAACATTCCTCCTTTAATGACCAAATCAGGTGGACTAGGTTATTCAATGAACTGGTTGCTAAATGAGGAATTCTGTACAATATTCAGAACAAAGAAATGATCAAAGGAATCTCCAACTTCCCTTTTTTTTAATTTGCATAACTCTTACATGCAGTAATGTAATTATAACATAAAACTATAGCACTGTGCTGGACAGTACAGCCAGCAAAAATTACAGTACTGTATAAACAAGATGCACTTTACAAAAAACACATTGGGGGTCTATAAATATGTAGAGAACTGTACAGAAAAAGATGGGTGGTAAGTTCAAACAGTTGTTAAACAGGTAGGTTGTTAAACGAGGAATGTCTGTATCCTTCTCCCTGGGTCTTCCCTTTTCTCTGCCTCCAGGCTTCGATGAGTTGGGCAGCATTCTCCCGCCATACCCTTTGACCATGCCATTTCTCCCTTGAACCCAGCCAGTCATGGACTAAGTCCTCTAAAATCCTGAGCCAAGATAAACCTCTCTCCTTTAAGTTGTAGGTGTCAGATTTTTTGTCCCAGTGATGAGAAAATGACTAATGTATCCTTTGAAAGCAAAAGGCTGATATCTCTGGACAAAGTGGTGTAGGTTTCAAAATGACAACCTATAAGCAATATTCTGGGGCACATGTGTTCTATTTTGTTCATGTAATGTTTAAAATATTTTAAAATTGACAAAATTTTAATTTCCTTTTTTTTTTTTTGGTACTGGGGATCGAATTCGGGTCCTTGCACTTGCAGGGCAGGCAGCATAACCACTGAGCTAAATCCCCAGCCCAGAATTGACAAAATGTTAAAAGGAAGATATCCTATATAAAAATTCTCAATTTTCAATTTTTGTTTTTTTGAAACAGGGTTTCGCTATCTAGTTCAGGCTGGCCTCGAACTCATAAGCTCTCCTGCCTCAGCCTCCCAAGTGCTGGGATCACAGGCATGCACCACTATACCCAGGCAAAAAATTTCAATTTCTGTCTCCCCTTTAAAAACAAGAAGACCTGAGGTTGCTAACAGCATCCCACATAGCGTAGCCCCTTCTTTCCCCTGGGATCTAGGGGGTTGTGCTGTGGTTTGTGGGACTTACCATCCAGGTGTCTCTGCTCCTTTCACACCTGCCTGAGCCTTCCGCAGGTGATTTCATTTGCACCCTCTGGAGCAGAACCTCATCTCCTCTGGGGGGGCTCCATGTACCTTCTGCAGGGGCCTGCAGAGTGGCCCCCAAGGAGATCCCAGTCCTAACCCCAAGCAAGACCCAGTGAATGGCAAAGAGACTTTGCGGATACGATTGCACTGGGATCTTGAGATGAGGAGATTTTCTTGGATATCTGGGTGGGCCCTGAACGCAGTCCCACGCGTCCTAATAGATCGGAGGCAGAGAATCTGATGACTGAAGAGGCAGTGTGGGGGGAAGCGGGGTGAAAGGTGCTGTGAGGCCGAGCCAAGGCCGCAGGAGCCCGACGAGGGCGCACAGGGCTCTCCTCGAAAGCCAGCGGGGGCGGCACAGCCCCGCCCGCACATTTCAGCCCAGCCAAACTGACTTTGGGCTCAGGACTTTCCAGGCCGCCAGAGAACTGGCGCCTGTCGTCCTAAGCCACCTACGCTGCGGCGCCTGCAGCCCCGAAGGAGACTCACTCTCCCTCCCTGAATGGGAAACGCGTTGGGGAGGAAACGGTCTTCACCGAGTGCCCTCCGAGGGCAGCGAGGGGCCTCTGGCGCCTCTCGGGCTAAAAGCCACACAGCCCCCGTCAGTCTCGCCTGTGATCCAACAGGCCTTCCTAGGGCAGAGCAGCGCGAGCTCCGGGCTGCGTTCCTGCCAAGCTGACCCCAGGGCGCTGCTGGGTCCACGCGCACGGAGGGACCCGCTCTCCCCGCACCGCGCAAGCCCAGAGAATATCTGAGTGTCCTGTTTTATATTTGCTGCGGTAAGACCTGCTGCGTTTCTTCTTCGGGAATCTCCAAAGGGGAAATAATTCGAATCATTAGAGAAGAACCCCAAGTCCTTATGTGGTGAGCTGGCTGGATGAGGTATAGAGAATAGCTGGATTCCCGTTTGAATTTAGCAAATCCTCCAATGACTCTCTAAGGTATTCACCTGGCAAAATCCTTTTCAGTCATAAAATGCAGTTGTTTTCTTTCAGTTTGGAAGAGAGAAATAAGTATTTGGAAGATTTAATTAGAAGGCCCACAGAGAGAGCCAGAAAACCAAGGTAAATTTTCCTTCCTTTTTAAAAAATAAGTGTTTTGCCAGGCGTGGTGGCACATGCCTGTAGTCCTAGCCCTCAAGGAGGCTGAGGGAGGAGAATTGCCGGGAATTCGAGGCCAGCCCGAACTATAAAGTGAGACTCTGTCTTGAAAAAGTCTGTATACATAATAATGTATTTTAAACTTTTCCCTATTTCAATTTAAGATAAATTATATGAAAGCACTTGGCACTTTGCTTAGCATAAATAGTTGCTTGATAAACATTTTCTCTACAGCACGAATTGGAAAGCCAGGCTGCCTGCCCTGATGGATCATGTAATCACTGCTAAGGAAGATACTGTTAAGAGTATGAGCTAATGTTTTGTTCATGACAGAACTGCTTGTCCTGCTACATTTTTTATGACAAGACCTTCTTTTAGCAAGATTAAATTCTTGTTTTTTCTTTTCTTTTTTGAGACAGGGTCTCACTGTGTAGTTCAGGCTGCCCTTGAACCCATGGCAACCCTCCTGCCTCAGCCCGAATTCTGACATTGCAGGCGTGTGCCATCATGCCCAGCTACACTAAAATTAAACCCACCCTCTATCCCCGTTCCGGGGATTGAACTCCAGACCTTCCACTTTTGAGGCAGGCACAGTGCCACTGAGCTAAATCCCTAGCCCACTAAAATTAAATCTTAAAATCTGTTATTTTATTTTGGTTTTATTGGCCTTGAACTGTGATCCTCCTGCCTCAGCCTCCCAAGTGCTGGGATTATAGGTGTGCCCCACCACACTGTGCTAAAATGTGTTACTTCGGAAGTCCCAGATGGTCTTGCAGTCCAGTGCTACAAGGATTATGTACAAACCCACAGGGCTGATTAAGAACATAGTCCCATGTTCAGGTGGCCTCTTCCTCACTATTATACCAGGGAGTGGGACTGCTGGATCCCGGTTCTGCAGGTGCTGATAAAACAGTTACCAGTTCCCAAAGTGAGGGCAAATTTATTTTTTTTATCTTGCATAAATAACTTTTTTTGGTACCAGGAATTGAACTCAGGACCTTGTACTTGTGAGGTAGGCGCGGTGCCGCTCAGCTAAATTCCCAGCCCTAACTTTTTTTTTCAATCTTGCATAAATAAACTTTAAACAATTTGTACAAAAATAGTTCTGCATAATGTAAGACATAAAAAAACCAAACAAAATGTGTTGGGATGGCAGCAGATGTGGCTTCGTGTGGTCCACATTACGTTGACACTAAAACGCTTGACCTTGCAAGGACTGGGTGTCCAAACAAAACACCACCAGCCCCACGCCCATGAAAGCTCTCCTCTTCTGTGGTCGGGACAGCAGCGCGGTGGCCACGAGCAGCTGCTTCCCCTGGGCAAGGCCTGCTCACGGAGTCATTGTCGCCTGCAGTCCCCATCCGAGCTCCAGTGGGGAACAGAGCCCTCTGTGGCTGTAAAGTCTTTCCTGCCCCCACCCTGCCCCATATTTACACCTTGTCATTGGACTAACTCAGCTTTTGCAGAAGTTTTTCTTCCACTTGCCCGAACTGGACACTCGAGGCCATCTCAGCAATGAACTGCTCAGAGCCTTCCTTGGTGACTCGCTTGCAGGACCTGGTCAATGAGGCAGATGTTCCCACGCTATTGGAAGAAGGCCAGGCACTGATCAGTGACCCTACTGCAGTCTGACAGGATGACCTTGGACAGAAAGTCCCTTGTGGTGGCGCCCACCGCGGTGAGCAGGTTGACGGACTGGTCCGTGACGTGGTGACAGTAACCGAGGTGCAGCTTGGAGAGCAGGAGCATGTGGCGGGCGATGAGCCGCAGGGCAGCCTCAGTGATGTCCAGGCCCACCAGGTGCAGCTCCACGACGTTCCTGAACTTACTCCGATTGTCCATCTGACCCGCCCTGTTTTCTGTGGGTGGGGACAGGAGGTCTGGCATATGGGCGTCCTTGAGCCCTCCTACCCACTGCATGTCCAGGATCCAGAGCATTGGACACCTAGAGCTACAGAGCTCGGAGACCTCGATCCAGGAGCAGCTCACCAGCACCAGGCCTTGGAGCTTAGGCAGCCGGCTGATGAGCCAGCTCAGGGGCTTCTTAGAGATGGTGGTCCAGCTGAGGTTGAGGGAGATGGGCTGGCGCCAGATGATGCCTCTCAGCATCAGGGGTGTGACAGACTCGAAGTGATTCAGGGGTCCACAACTGCGTATGGCAGCACCAGGGGTTCCAGGTCCTGCAGACCCACATGTAGGCACATAGGTCTTGGGGGCTGAGGTAGCTGAAGACGGCCATCCACACCTCCCTGGGCATGAGGTGGGCCGCCCTGTTGTCCAGGGGCAGTGAGTCGGGTTGGGGGCTGATGGGGTTGGCTGCATCACGTGGCGCTCCATCTGGATGCACTTGGGCGGGGGCCGGGGAGTGACTCAAGTGGGCCGTCCTAGCCGGTGCTGTTGGGCCCCTTGCTGAAGCGATGGGGGCACTCACAGAGGCCCAGCGGCACCTTGGGCTCCTCATTCTCCAAGAGCAAGTTTTCTGAAAGAAATGATTTCAAGGAACCCAATCCGTGACTATCCCTTGGCCAGATGTAAGTCTAAAAGTGTGGAGCGTCAGAAGGATTGGCCAAGAGACCTCTTTGACTCTCCTGTGTCCTGAGCTCCCATCTCCAAGTAATTCTACCTAAGTCCTCGTGAGGGGTTTCCGGGAATATGGGAAACAGCCCCTACTCGCCTACATGGGGCAGAAACTGCAGCGAGCTGCGGCAGCGTGAAGAGGCCCGGCAGGGGTGGCAGCCCCATGCACTTCCCCCGAGAGCGGGGGACATTGACAAGAGCCGGACATTGTCATTCCTGTGACCGTGCACGGGAGCCCTGGCTTTCGTGGCTCTGCCCAAGGCAGCCTGGAGGGCAGCCAGCCACACAAAACTGGGAGAGAGACCCAGACAGGAAGCTGATGGAGAATCCCGAGGCCGAGGAAGGGACATGGCGGGCTGGAGCTTCCCAGCAATCACCGGCTAAAAAGAAGGAGGAGCATCAACCCTTTGCCAGGCCGAGCTCCGCGAGCCCCAGCTGAGGGAGACCTGTGCTTTCCTTCTCCTGGGGCTCCCGCAACGTAGAGAAGGAGGTGACACGGGTGGGACGAACCCACCCTCCGCACCAGGGATTCCACCTGCGACCCTGGTCTCATCCTCCTCCAGGGTGCCAACTGTGGAAGAAAGGATGAACGACAGACACGGAGTCAGCTCAGCATGCGGGCGCCAGGGGGCGCTCACCTCTAGTAGGCAGAGAAGCCTGAGCCGCTGGCTCACCACACGGGCGTGAGCAATCTGAGTAACACGAGATTCACCTGCTTTCCAATATCCGCTAGCACATTCTCAGGTAAACAACCTAACCTCAGCTGTCTTAACCTTTCCCTAACGTGCACTATGCGGTCCCCCGAGTGCAGTCTTCCTCCTTTGTGCTCACACAGGAGGCCAGTGAGGCCGCACTTCTCCGGTCCTGACAGTGAAGTCCTGCTTCTGCCTGAAGATAAAGGGATTGATTAGGACTGAGACTGGGCCTCCCCAAGAGGCCTGTGACTTAGAATGACCAAAAACTCCTGGGCCGGCTGCCTATTCATTCACTACAAAAGCAAAGCTTGGGGCCGGGGATTTAGCTCAGTGGTTTCGCCGCCTGCTGCGCAAGCGCAAGGACCTGAGTTCAATCCCTGGTACCAAAAAAAAGCTAAAGCTTGAATAAAAAGGCTTAGAGTAGAAGTAGGAGACAAAAATTAAAGTTGCATTACATTATTTTTTCTTAATTTTTTTTTTTTGTGTCAAGGATAGAACTCAGGACCTTGCGCTTGCTCTTAATTTATTTTTGTGATGCTAGAAACTGAGCCCGGGGCCTCATATCACACATGCTAGGCAAGGACTCTACCACTAAGCTACGTTCCCAGGCCTTTACATTTATTTTTTGAACTTATAAATGAAGACATTAAAAATTGTACATATTTATGGGGTGCCATGTCTGCAATGTTTAAGTTAGGGTAGACACATCTCCTCAAACATTTGTACTTCTTTGGTGAAAATATTTACAATCCTTCTAGCTTTTTTTTTTTTGGTACCAGGGATCGAACTCGGGTCCTTATGCCTCCATCTAGCTTTTTGAAACATGCCATGCATTACCTCCAGTCACCATACCGCGTGATAATAACTAGCCACAGCTTCTTTCTCCTGTGACGTGGTACCCACCGATCAGGCTCTCCCAGCCTGTCACCCCCTTCTCTCAGCTTCTGTGAGAACCTGCTTTCTCATGTGTGAGTAGGATCATGTGGTCTTTGTCTTCTGAGCCTGCCTTATTTCACTTAACATAATGATCTCCAGTCCCGTCCACTCTGCTGCAAATGTCAGAATTTCACTCTTCAGGGCTGAATAGTGTTTCATGCTAGGTGCGAACCACATTGTATTTGTTTTGGGTTTTTTTGGTACTGGGGATCGAACTTGGGACCTTGCGCTTGCCAGGCAGGCGGCGGAACCACTGAGCTAAATCCCCGGCCCCTAATATAGCTGTGTTTTGAAAATCAAAATCCCTGAGCAGACAAACTGTTTCTTGTGATGGGTTAATGTTTCCCTCCCTCCTCCTTCCCTTCCTTTCTTCCTCTTCTTTTCTTTATACAATGCTGGAGATCGAATTCAGGGTCTCCAGCCCTCTAGACAAGCACTCCATACTGAGTTATAGCCTTAGCCTAATATGAAAGAATGTGAGCCAGCTGCAGTGGCTCACACCTATATCCCAGCGCTCTGGAAGGCTGAGGCAAAAGGGTCTCCAGTTCAAGCCCAGCTGGGGCAATTGAACAACTTAGTGAGACCCTGTCTCAAAATTTAAAAAAATTTAAAGGTGTTAGGGATGTAGCGCAGTTCAAAGGTCCTGGGTTCAATTCCTCGTACAAAAAAGAGAAAAAAGAACGTGGTGTAATCTAATGCCTGCCATATCACAATTGCTCAGTAAATGCTGATTTTAGCTGAATGTGGATCTTCTACATCGTGGAGAGAAACAATGGAATTTTTTAGTATTATTTTAATTAATAACATTCATATGTAAGTAAGTGTACGTGTTTCACCAGCTGAGACATTTGTTTAGTTACACGTGAGGCCCCGGGGGGATTTGAGCCCCAGTTGTACAGATACAGACTGGCCTTGAGGCAAGATGGCTATGTGGGACAGTGACCTCTGGATCCCTTTCCAGCTCTCAAGGCCTTTTGTTAGGAAACCTAAGACTTGCTGCCTGCAGCCACAGTGATCCTGGAAGCCTGCAGCTGAATAGACCACCCTGGTGCTTTCACCAGTGAACAGGCTTCAGACTGCCTCAGCCTCCAGAGCCTCGGTGCCGTTGCCTCCTGGGCATTCGTCTTTCATATGGAAATTGTGCAGATTCGGGATCTAAAAGGCAGCATGTTGACAGTCTCAGACATCTGACTCTTCCCTCTGGTCTTCACCACTTTCACGGAAATTCACGAGGTCCCCAGGTCACAGGCTTTTTCCTAAATGCATCTGTGGTGACGTTAAATGTAATAAGACTCAGGATTTTTATTCAAGTGCATTGAGAATGATCCACATATTACATATCAAAAAAGCTTTGTCTTCCCAGCTACTTGGGAGGCCGAGGTGAGATGACTGCAAGTTCAAGGCCAGTCTAGGCAGGTTACTGAGATCCTATTTTAAAATTTAAAAAAAGGAAAGAAAAGGTCTGGAGAGGAAGCTCCCCGATAGAGCACTTTCGTAGCACAAGCAAATCCTGGATTTGATTCCAGTATTACAAAACAAAAGTTCTATCTTAATCTTTGGGGGCCTCATCGTTCTCTCCTAGATAATAATTCTCCTTGAAAGTGAGGGAGGGATGTGCTAAGTGGTGGCGTATTTTTTCACCTGTTCACTATTTTTTAGTCTTCTCTCACTTTTTAATTTCTTCCTCTTTCCTACAGACCAAGATCAGAAAATCATCCGAAGTCCACGACCTCGGTAGGTTGTCTTGATAAACATGATAAAAAAGACTGTTATATTTCCAGGTGACTTGACAATAACGTAAGACGCAGCCATGTTCCTGAAGTTACTTCCGCAGTGATCCAGCTGTCCTCTCCATCCTCAAGGGCTGGCCTCTTCTGCCTCCTTGTCCTATTTGACCTGAAACTTTTCTTGTTTGGGTCTCCTCACCTTCCTTTCAAGCCCGCCTCGTGTTTCCTCTGATCTTTGGTAATTAGCGCCTCCTGGTGTTTCTGCCTCCTGTTTGCTCCCCGTAGCCCATCCTTGGGGTGAGGCTCCCCCCCTCCCACAGTTGCCCTTCTCATTGTCCACGTCTGCGGTATCTAACCACCTGCAGATTTCTAACCACGCTGTGTTAGTGTTGTGCCTGTTATTGCCCAAGCGGCTCCTTTACCTGTTACATTCTTCCCCAGCTCTCCTTCTCCTCTGTCCTTCCTTTGTCTCTGAGGAACTGACTTGCTTCCTCTCGTGTGCATGCATGGTGCCCTTGACGCGTTGGCACCTGTTGTGGCATTACATTCTCCGCCCACACGTCTCGTAGCCCAGCTGGAGCTCTTCTGGTGCAAGCATTGTCTCAGAAGCATTTCAGTGAATTCTAAGTAGTGTTAGTTTTGAGAATAAGGCCAAAGCTAGACCTTCCTGTTAGAAGATAGAGCTACCGATGCCCCTGTCCCACCCAGATGTGTTTCATGAACACCATGGCCTTTTATTTTTTTTTTTTGAGACAGGGTCTTGCTAAGTCATTGGGTACCCAGGCTGGGTTTGAACTTCTGATCCTGCCGCCTCGGCATCCCAGAGTGCTGGGATTACAGGTGTGCACCAGCATGCCCAGCTACCGCGGCTTATTTGTGACACAGCTTTGTGGAAGAAGGGAGCAATCAATAGGGGTCGCCCTCCACTGAGACCCAGCATTTCTGGTAGTTGAGCTACGAGGGCACCTTATTCTATGAATCCTTGACCCCTCAGGACTTACCACAGTGGGAAGTGGCTTTATGAATCATTTTGATTCTTGCTCCGACTCCTTTTCTCGCATCCTGCCACTGGCAGCCAAACCAAGAAGATGGGGCTCAACCAGCCTTCTACCTTCTGGTGTTCCTCGGTGGGGGAAAGGTTGAAATGATGCCTAAAATATTAATTGAAATAAAGCAGCGTGTTAGCCGTGGGGTTCATCTATCTGTAGTATTTCTCTCCATCCTTTTTCTTTTTCTTTTTTTTTTTTTTTTGGTACCGGGAATTGAACTCGGAACCTTGTGCTTGCAAGGCAGGCAGCGGAGCCACTGAGCTAAATCCCCGGCCCTCTCCATCCTTTTTCCATATGTAAACAAGAACTAGCTGTTCAGGAATTCTGTCACTTATGAAATGTTTTTCTTCTTTGTGTGTATGTGTGTATTTTTTGTTCTTTGAGACAGGATCTCACTATGTAGTTCAGGCTGGCTTTGCCAGGCCACTGGAACTCACTGAGATCCTTCTGCCTCAGCTTCCCAAGTGCTGGGATAACAGGTGTGTGCCACTACACCAGGCTTTTTCCTTTCATTTTTAAATGCCAGATATTTTTTAAAGAAATAGAAAAGATTTAGATTAAATAAGACTAAAGAGTAAACACTAGTCATTTTTGTCAACTATTCCAGGAATTGTTACTAAATATTCTACTCCAAGATATATTAAAACCCATATAAATACTAAAGTTTTACATTCCAAAAATTTAACTTTTTATAATTTCTTCTGGTGAAAAATCAAACATATTCCACTTCAACATAAACAAGTGAATGCAGGTGACTTCTAAATATTTTCCTAGAACACCATGTGATCGGGGCTTTCCTTGTATGTGTGTTTTGGACTCAGACCTTCACACTGAGCTACATCTCCAGCCCTGTCTTTATTTTTTATTTTAAATCACGAAGTTGCCTAAGCTGGGCTTGGACTTTTGATCCTTGTGCCTCAGCGTGTTAGAGTGCTGGGATTACTGGCTATCAGGCCTTTAATGAGGCATCACAATTGTCATGAACTTCACATTTTATTTCCCCTGCAAGACATTTTCCTTCTCTCCAGGCAAAGTGGGCAGGTTCTTCCTACCACCAGCCACCTTCAAAAAGACGAACCTTGAAGTCCTTTGAAATTAAAAACCAGATGGGCCAGGGATTTAGCTTAGTGGCACCACGCCTGCCTCAAAAGTGCAGGGTCCTGAGTTTGATCCCTGGTACCAAAAGAAAAACAAACAAAAAAACAAATTAAATCCCAGATGAAAAAAGAACACTGGTCTTTTAAGATCTAACCCTTGTACTTTCTCTCTTAAAATGAATTTTGAGGTAGTTGTGAATTTAAACAAAGGACCCAGAGACTTCTGATTTTGTGTGGGATGCATCACGAAAATAAATATATACATAACACGCATATTAGCTTTTTTTTTTTTTTAGTACTGGGGATTGAACTCAGGACCTTGCACTTTCGAGGCAGGGGGTGGAACCACTGACCTAAATCCCTGGCCCAGTATTAGCTTTTTGATAAATCCAAGAACCATGCTGAAAGTATAGCTGTTGATCAAAATATGTATTTTATTTCTCTAAAGTTAGAGTTGTACTTAATCAGTGAAAAATATATATGGAATGTAAAACTGGTCCTGCAGGAAGTGTTGAATAACTAAAAGCTATTATCATTATTTTTGTTGAGGAATTCTATATGTTTGTATGTAACTCAAGAACAGAAAATCTTAATTTCTCAGATTCAGAACGTTGCCATATTTGTTTGGACGGGTGGCCCACCAGGGCCTCACGTGGTGGCCCAGGCCTGAGGGCTACAGCTGGGTGGAACTGGCCTGGGGCCCTGAAGGCCTAGGAGACCCAGGCAGCCTGGGGAGCTGGCATTGTCCTGCTCAGCAATTCAGTGAACTCATTTTTTAAAAATAGAAAGGGGTCTTCTACCCCCTCCTCCTTACTGGGACCAAGCATGCTAATCAAGCATTCTACCACTGAACTACACCCCCAGCCCACTCTGTTTACCTTATTCTGAGACAGGGTCTCAATAATTTGCCCAAGCTGGCCTCAGACTTGTGATTCTCCTGCCTCAGCCTCCTGACCACCTGAGTAGCAGGGATTTCGGCCATGCACCACTACATCTAGCTAGATATATGTGTCTTAATGGTAAAGCATAAATGACTTACATTTAAATATCTTAAAGTAAATAAAAAGTTAGAACATAACATACAACTAATTGAACCTGAGAATGTACCATGAGTTGCAGCTGTAGTAATGTTTCCTTTTAGAACTTAGTCCCTTAAGCTTCAAAAGCTTTGAAGTGATTCAAGTTGAAAAAGACATTTGCAGGCCGGGGATTTAGCTCAGTGGTTTCGCCGCCTGCTGCACAAGCACAAGGACCCGAGTTTGATCCCCGGTACCAAAAAAAAAAAGAGACAAAGACATTTGCTGTTGTTATTATTAATGGTTTTGTGGGAAGCTGTAGAAAGAAATAAAATACAATCAAAGAAGGCAGCTATTGAAATAAGGATAGCCATTTCTGGAATCTCTATACAGATGGGCCAAACCAGGTAGAAAGGGAGGATTGACCCAGCTTGTCTACATGCGGGGCTCTGTGCATACATGCTGACTCAACATGTGCATTATGAGACATTTGTGTTCTTTACCCACAGGTTATTGCAAAGTGAATGTGCCTGTCTTGCTGCATGGCTCATGGGTGTAGAGTCCTTCTTTCAATAAATATTTAATGACTTTCAGTAGAGTGTGTGACAGGCTGTGTGTCAGGGGCCAAGGACACGAGGAAAGATGGGGCGAAGCCCACAAGGAGTGCCTGATGTCCTGGGGAGAGATGTGTGCTGCGCTAGGCCGTTGTGGGACTGACCAGGAGACAGGAAATGGCCCAGACCACTTGAGGAAACCTGGTGGCCGCCACCTGGGCCACAGCCAGGTCTCAGCAGCACCTCAGTGCGCCCCAGATAGAAGAAAGCCAGGGTGGGCGGGGACCCAAGATGGCCCATTCAGTGCTGGCAACCAAGTTCTTCACAGAGCAGGGGGTGAGGGTGATTGCGTGCAGCAGGAGATGATATGCAGGGTAGGTAGGCAGGCGGACGGCGAGGCGAGAATCAGGAGCGCCAGTGACTGCTCTTCAGTGTGCCAAGCGGGACAGACTGAAGCCAGGCACCGGGCAGCAGATGTGGCCAGCTGTGGGGGCACGGGCCTGTCATCCCTGCGACTGTCAGAGACCCGATGTGAAAATAAAACAAAAAGAACTGCAATCCCCGGTACCACAAAAGGAAACAAAGAAAGAGAGAAAAAGAAAGAAAGAAAAAAGAAAAAGAAAAGGAAGATATAAATGCAGAGCAATTTCAAGGGTGAAGTGAAAGGATGTGGGAATTGCTTAGGCATGGAGTGGGGAAGAGGGGTCCCAGAAGCCCACGGCGGCCACCGTGACGGAGATGAAGGCCTGGGGGACCACAGGCTGGCATGGAGGCGTTTGGTGAGTGGGACGTTGCCGTGAAATGCAGTCCCATACACACTGGGAGGGCTCCCGGGGTCAGGGAGACACAGGAGACCAGGGAGAGCTGATAGGAAAGAGAGAGACCGAGTTCCCCAGCCCAGACTAGGGACTGACACCTCCACCCTGAGGCGGGAGGACAGGAGTCCGGGCAGGCGCGCTGCCCACACGCTGCAACGCTGTGCCGATGAGCCCCTCCTCCCCGCTCGTCCTTCCTTGGTCCCCACCCGTGCACTTCACAGTGATAACTCCTCCATCAAACCTCCACTGTCTAAGTATCACATTCTTACCCCAGCCTTAAAAAATCCTTCAAGTCTCTGCTAAAGCTGTCAAGTTCCTCTCTTCACTTTCCATAATGCCTGCTGAAATTCTGTTATTTACAGTTTATGAAGCACTTTTATGTAGTATCTGAAGTAGGCTAGCTAAACTCAGAGTGCTTCTGATAACTATTTTCCCACGTTGCCAGTCTTCATAACTCTCTCTGTGATGGTAGCAGTTTTATTAAAGGTAGGAAAAGAAACAGGCTCTGCAGAGCAAGTTTGGGCCAAGTTAAAGTAGGAAAAGAAGTGTGTCCTGCAGCGTGAGGGTGGGCCAGCACACAAGAGAGAATGTGGGAACCCATAACTCTCATTTGGAAAGGCTATGTAATAGTCTATCGCTGAATTCTGTTTTATGGACAGTTTTTCACTTCCTTACTGTGTGATCCAGCATTCATTGCCTTCCATATTTCGGTTGTTTCCTTTCCCAGAATGCCTTTCCCTGCCTACTAAATGTCCTTCCTTCTTCCCCTCCACTACCTAGTTCCTCATGTTTAAAACAGTTTTTGTCCTTCAAGGTTTAGTGAAAGTTATACCTCTGCCCTCTATTTCATTTGTGACTTTCTACTATCACTGGGCAGATTCTTCCCTAAATTAGAGCACATGTGAGACAGTGTAGAAGAGCAACAAGCACATACGACATGGAATCCAGATTTAGGTTCAAGTTTTGTGATCAACTTCTGGAGAGCTTGAGGCACAGTGGTTACTCCTTAGGAAGGTTCTAGCGTTCCACTGCCATCTGCTGTGATCTATCTAGGTTTTGTCGGTACCTGCTGGCAAATTAAACCGAGATTTAATGGAGATCATTACCCCTTTGAGGGTGACACATGCCTCTACAATTCCCCAGGGATACAGCTGTTGTCATGTTCTCCTCGTCTTCCTTCCTTTTTTTTCAGCACTGGGGAGTGAACCCAGATCCATGCACACACTCTACTACTGAGCCACACCCCAATTCTCTGTTATGTTTTTAATTTACTGTCTTGGCTGGGAGAGTCATGGTGGGAGCCATTTCAGACACATACTCTGATTAGCTCTTAGCCCACAGGTCAGGGAACCAATATGAGGGTCCTTTGAACCACCAGGTACATCCATTCATCCCATCTGAACTCTTGGAGGCCAGGCGTGGGTGCATCTAGTGGCCTGAAGGGCCCATTGTCAGCTGGATCAGGGCTGAGACTCCATTTATTACCTGGCTCCCATGTGCTCTGTCACCCCGAAAGGGCCACATCAGCACACAGGGTCCTGAATATAATGTTGATTCAGACCAGTGTCCCACAGCCCTCCAAAGGTCTGGGGTTCCTCCTCCTTCAGTGTACAACTGCAATGTGTGAGTGGCCACTGGTCCTCTAGAGGAGGGATGGGTGTGAAGGACAGAATGGTGACTGCTGTGGTGTCACAGAGCTGTCCCTCCTAGGAGCCCAGCTTCTCTTCAGTTACTGGGTTCTGGGATTGAGATCTGTCTCGGCCTGTTCCTGTTGTTATAACAAAATACGAGACAGTGGGTGATTTACAAAGAAAAGAACTTTACTTCCCTTGGTTCTGGAATCTGTGAGTCCAAGCTGACCAGAAAGGACCTAGCTTGTTCTCTCCAGCCCTTTTATAAAGTCATGAATCCCATTCATGAGGGTTCTGCCCTCATAAATTAACCACCGCTTGAAGGCCTCGCTTCTTAATCCCACACTGGAGTTTAAGTTCCAACATGTGAATTTAAAGGGACACACTCAGACCACAGCAGGATCATCACTTTTTATGGGGATGACTGCCCTCAGCTTCCTGGTCTTTCCTGATTTAAGTGTACAAATTAAGCAATAGTGTCCTCTCGTTGAGTGCTCACCTGTCTTGCCTCTAGGATTGTACTTTATGAACTATTATCATAGCTGTCCCCTTGGCCATTCCCCATTACCTCTCTCCCATTCTGACCCTGCAGCCCATCCTGACCCACTGTGATCCTTTGGCCCGCCCTGTTTCTACCTGGCCTCCGTTCTCATCCCCTCATCCCCATCCCATCAGGCGAGCTCCAGGAAAGCATCTTGTGTGCTTAGCCCTGGCCTCCAGAGCACAGCCAGTCACTGATCTTCTCAGCTCTTCTCACCAGTGCCTTCTTCTTTGCTTTGGTACAGGAAGTGTCCTCTAGCCCTTCGTACAGAACATGAGCAAGTGGGGGTTCCAGCTTCCTGTGGTGCCAATATTATAGACAGCTAAGTCAGACAGAAATATTACAGGCAGTCAGATAGGGCTAGGCCCTTGAGAGAGTCAGGACAAAGCTGAAACATCACAACTGTGGCCAGAGACATATCTGTTGGTATCTGTTGGAGACCAGGCTTCCAGATAAAGTCAAGATTACCAAGCCTGTATACTTCCCCAAAGAACAAACACTCGGCCTAATGAAGTCTAGGTAGACATCACTCACCCCAGTGGGAGACCAAAGACCTCTGGACCCATAATTTCCTAGAAGTCTTTGTTCTTTTCATCCACACATGTTACATGACTTGTTTCCTAATTGGACCACTATTACCTAAGCAACTATACTTGTGACTTTACTGGTTGATCATAGCTGTAACCCACAGTGTACCCATGTAGGCTTTGCTCTTCCCTGTAAAAGTGGGGTCCCTGGCTACCCACTCGAGTCCCCTCTTTGCCTCTCAGGAGTTCTCCTATCAATAAATAATTTACTACTCTTAACCTCTGCTGTTCCTAGAATTCATTCTTCGATTTTTAGTGAACACAAACTCGGCATATCAGACATCTAACAGGAGATACAACATTTCATATTTCATCTCCTGTATCATCTTCTGTATCACTTCTTACCAGTGCCTTCCTCTTTGCTTTGGTACAGGAAGTGTCCTCCAGGCCTTCATACAGAACTTGAGCACTTGCGGTTCGAGCTTCCTGTGGTGCCACCATTCCATCCTAGCCGGCTTACATTCAGCAGCCAGGCAAAAATGAGGTGAGGTGCAAGAGAAATCAACCAAGTATAGCTGTCATTGAGCTTAGAGAAATGAATGTTCAAGAAAAAGAGGAATTCAAGAAGGGTGGGGAGGCTGACATGAGTATCATTAGACTTAGCAAGTCTTAGTGGAATGTTACAAAGAAAAGCCCTGTTGGACAGGCTGAGGAGAAAATTGAGAAGTGGGGTGCTGCAGTTTTACTGTGTCAGGGAGCAGAAACATGAGAAGGAAATAAGAGACCAAGGGGGAGTATCGAGAATATTATCGAGAGCCCAGGCCACGGGTCTCGATCTCCTATGAGATAATATGATGCACACATGCATGACAAAAAAGAGGAAGAGGGTGAGGGAGGGGGAGAGAGAGACAGACAGATGGACAGATAGACACAGGCTGGACAGAGCTGGGTCTCAGGCTGATTTAAGCTGCTCTGGGCAGCAAAGACAAAAGGCACCAAGGACATCCAGAGTTTATTCATAACAAGCACGGGAAGGAAAGGAGCAGAGTACGTCTTGGGACACCTGGTGATAGTGGGTATTGAAGGCAGGACTGTAAAAGGGAGGCACTAGTGTATCTTATTGACGAGAGCAAATGAGTAATTCAGAGGGAGGGAATTTAGTTGGAGTCAAGCTGACCTGGGCTGGAAGTTAACTCAGCAGGGCCCTGCCACTTTGTGGACTAGGACTTAGGTATCAGTAGCAGCCATTAGTGGAGGAGCTATACTAGTCCAATGCTGCTATCTGACACGCCCATCTGAGTCACACAAAGCTTCAATCAGACTCCTAGCGTAAAACAGTGAAATTATGGAGGGCCGAGAAGCTTGTGTCACTAAAGGCCTGCTGATACTGGGCAGGGATGTCTGCTACAGGGGAGTTTTATAATGACAGGCAATGTTGTATGTATGTGTGTGTTGATGGGAGTGATGAATTTGATAAGAATTTATTGCAGGGTAGAAAAAGAGTGCTGTTGGTGTATAAAAACACCACGTAGGGCTGGGGATTTAGCTCAGTGGTTTTGCTGCCTGCTCCACAAGCGCAAGGACCCAAGTTCAATCCCTGGTACCAAAAAAAAAAAAAAAAAAAAGAGTGCTGTTTTCAGAACCACATGTCTTTGAACAGGAGATGGGATCCAAAGAGCAAATGGTGGCTGGGCTTTGAGGGCTTGTATACACTTCTATTGCAGCAGAAACGGGGACAGAGTGTGGGGGTGCAGAGGCAGGTAAGTGGTGGGTTTTGTGGTGAGTGGTCAGGTGGCTGCGGTTGCTCTTGCTCCCTCTGTGAAGTCTGAGCGGGGAGGGCATGAAGGCCCTTCTATACCAGCACACCTTGTAAACTCCTCCTTATTCCTTATAGTGTCCCCTTCTCATAGGGGTCACAAAGAAGTTTTTTCCTCAGAAAGTACACAAAATTTAATTCATTTTAAGCCCTTCTTGGGTAAAAGAGCACTTAAGTCTTTGCTTGAACATAATAAACATACCTTTTTGCTGGACTTTAAGTTTTTTATTAGGTGTGTTAGTTTTTCCACTGGCACGATGAAATACCTCAGTAAAACAATTTAAATGGAGGAAAGGCTTATGTGGGCTCAAGGTTGAGGGGTTTCAGTCCACGGTCACTCTTTCCATGGGACTGTGATGAGGCAAAACATCACGGTAGGGAATGTGGTGTGGAGCAAAACGCTCACCTCATGGTGGCTGGGAGAAGGAGAGAGGGAGAGAGAAGCCAGGGTTCCAATTTCCCTTCAAGGGCATGCCCCAGTGACCTAACTTCCTCCTGCTAGGCCCTGTCTCTTAAAGATTCTGTCACTTCCCTTGGTGACCAAGGCTATAGCTTATGGGCCTTTGGGAGACACATAAGAGCCAAACCATAATATTAGGTCTACAGTCAAAATTGGGTTGCAAATTTATGGAACAAAGATGTGTCTGTAAGTGCCGCAGCTTCACTGAGTCATGAAATACTGAGTACCACTGGGTATTAAGCACAGTCCCATGACACTGGGTCAGAGATCCTGGTGGCAGGGTGGTCACAGATGAGAGACAGATAGACACAATGATCTGTATATTGGGCAGGAAGTGCCATGGGAAAGAAAGAACTGAGCATGAGAGGCAGGAGGTTGTAATTTTAAGTCAGGAGGTCAGGGAAAGCCTCACTGAGAAGGGAACTGTTGAGTAAAGGTTCAAAGGCAGTTACCTGGGGGAATACAGAGACTAAAACCAGTGGTTACCAAATACTTTCAACAGTGGTAATGAGGGGAACCGTAAGTAATCAAAGGGAAATAATGCTTTGCTCTTACAGAGTTAAAGGAATAACATGACAAAAGTGGAGGTCAGCTGTGGGTTTGTCTGAGCTGTCAGAATAAGAGGAAATAGGACATGGGCCACTGCTGGAAAACAGATACCGTCAAAGAGACAGGTACAGAGGTGAGAGCAAGGAGACACAGGGAAATACCTGGGAGGACTTAAATTAGTAAATGGGATTCTCAATTCCATAAATTAAGGATGAAACACATTGTGGGGAAAGCTGCTTGTATGGGGAGAATGTGGATCATAATAATGCAGAATTTGTGAGCATTCAGATCAGGGGACTGTTTTACTTCCCTAAAACATATGCTTCTGCTTTTTTTTGGTACCGGGGATCGAACCTGGGACCTTACACTTGCGAGGCAGGCGGTGGAACCACTGAGCTAAATCCCTGGCCCATGCTTCTGCTTTTTATGTTCATTAAGACAGCCACCCAAGGCTGTTTTCTGTTAGTATATTTTTGTTTTCCCTAAATTAATCTCAGCAGTGACATCCAGAATAGGCACCTGCTGCACCTTTTATAGCTGGTTGTCTAAAATTCAAGTCTCAAAATCTGCTAGGAATTGTCTGATGAGGTCACTGGAGCAGAAGTTCCACCTTAAGCTTGGCCTGGGTTACTCTAACAGGCTCAGGCTGGGTCTAAACATTCTCTGCGACCTGGTAAGCCGGACCTTCTAGGATCTCTAACCCAAGGGATGCGACATTCTCCCCACACGAAGTCAGTCCTCTGAAGGGGAAAGGCAGTCCATGAGAACCCCTTGGTGCTGTCCAGCGTGATGTTTCTAACGTTGCCTTCTATCACAGTCCCATCGGTTTCTGGTACAAGGAGACAGCAGCAAGTTCAGAGAAGGATGTGTTTGCCATCAGTCTATCCTGTCAGCCCTCAGGACCCTGAGCAGGTCTGCACTGAAACTCAGGAAACAGAAAGCATCTCAAAGTGGGGGACGGAGATTCAGCGGAGAATTTAGCAAAGTTCCCCCACAGCAAAGCGGGGTCAGCAGCCCTGGCGACTTTGGCAGGAAGGTAGTGGTGGGGTGGGAAGGTGCCCTCCTGGGGGCGTCCCCACTTCTGCAGGTGGTGGTGGCAGCAGCAATACACCAGTGGTGGCACGATGGCCTGGAGCTGAGTTGACTCTGTCCATATTGTCAGGACAGTGGCAGTGATACAGGGGGAACAGATGTAACTCCCATCATGCTAGATGTCAGATACACTGAGTTCATGTTCCCCAAAGTCTAAGAATGAATTCCAAGGAACAACAGAGTTTAAGAGTAGGAAAATTTATTGGGGAATAGGAATGGGGAAGAAGAATAGCTCCTGGGAGATAGGAGGGGTCCCAAATGGGTTGTCAAACAGTCCATTTCTCAAAGCAAGTTTTATAGAGCAAGTCACAAGGGGTGGGTACAAGGTGGGTAAGAACTGTAATCGACCAATAGGAGTACAAATACAGTCGCTTAGGTAATACTGACCCACTAGTAACAAGGGCATGTGGATGACATCATTAATCTTGGTCAATAATCTGTAGTCTTAGACTTAAATCTCCATAGTCTCAGTGGCCTTGGTCTCAGTGGGAGAGGATGGTCTATCTACCTGGGAAATCTCAAGCTTCTATTCATCCCTTAGGGAAGTGTGCAAATCTGTCCATTGTGATTTTAATCTTCAGATGCACCTCCAGCCACAGCTTCCATGTGTTCTCATCCTCTGCATTGACTTTGAGGGCCTAGCCCTGACTGCCTACAATATTTCCACCTAACTTAGCTGTCTATATCAGCAGCTGCCTTTATAGGGACATAGAGGACAGGGAGACCTGAAGCTGAGATACTCAGGAGCAGGGAATCATGGATTTGCCATTTGCAAGCTAACATCTACGTGTCTGCATTCTCTTTGGTCAACAGTGATATCCAGCTCATGAAGATTAAATGAGTCCTAAGGAAAAGTGACAGTAATAAATACCTAGAGCTAGCTTACTTCATCATCTATATGACATTTCACACCAGTCCAGTCCAACACTACTGCCATTCAGATTAACTGCATGAACCCCAAATCCAATATAGATGAGAAGGAAACTAAAGAAAATTGTACAGCCACTGCTGCACCCACCATGTAGTTACTACATCCGATATGCTGGACACTGTTCTGGCTAATTTAGAATTCAGGATTGTCACCTAAGAATATTTTAGAATTGCCATTTACTATGGGAGATGGTGTGGCCATGTGGGGACAGATTTTCCACTATGTATTTTTTATTTTTGGTACCAGGGATCGAACTTGGGTCCTTGTGCTTGTGAGGCAAGCAGCGGAACCACTGAGCGAAATCCCCTGCCCCTCCACGGTGTATTTTTAATTATAACAATTATAGTTTTGTAAAAACAATGTTACCTCCCTTTTTTTCTTTGCTTTTAAATGCCACATGAAGGCAGTTCACGTTCCTTATATCACCGTTGCTTAAAATTATACAAAAAAGGGCCAGGGATTTAGCTCAGTGGTTCCGGCGCCTGCCTTGCAAGCGCAAGGACCCGAGTTCGATCTCCAGTACCAAATAAAAGAAAAAAACTTATCTAAAATATGCAAAGACTACTGCCAAGGTCCAAGCACCTCGCCATTCAAATAAAGTAACCCCTGACGATGCTAATTAATTGGGAAAGGGGGGCGGACCGACCCAGTGCCAAACCCCAGGTCACCCACTCTCGCGGGAACATGAGTTCCCGGGCCCTGGCCACGTGACCCCCGGACAGGCGGGCGGTCAGTGAGCCCCGCCCCTCAGAGCAGAGCAGCCACGTCGCGTTGTCCGGAGGCCCAGGGAGGGGCGTGACCAATGCCCGTGCGTGGTGCGTGCCCCGCCCCCGCCCTCTCAGAGCCCGGATGCAGAGTAACGCCATTACCGCCGGAGCCGCCGAGAGCACTCGCGGACGCACACTGGCGCTGGGCACTTGAGAGGCCGCGCCATGAGGCTCCTCCCCCGCTTGCTTCTGCTTCTATTGTTCGTGTTCCCTGCCACCGTCTTGTTCCGCGGAGGCCCCGGAGGTGAGGCCGAGGGAGAGGGCGGCGGGGTTAGCCGCACGGAGACGCCGGCTACGGCAGGTTGGAAGTCGGAGGGGGTTCGGTCTGCGGGGCTGCGTACGCCTCCCCGGCCGCGCTCACCTCCTCCCAGCCCCGGGCTGCAGCCCGCCGCGGCGCTGCTCCTGCGCGGGCCCCAGGGTGCCCGGGCGACCTCGGTCCCTGGCCGGAGCGGGCGAGGGCGGCGGGCTTGGCCGGGCCGGGGCGGCCTGCACCCCCACCCCGCTGGCTGACGTGTCTTTAGCGTCCGCGCCGCGAGGCCGCACTCATTCATTGCCCGCACTCTTGCTCTCGGCGCGGCTTTCCTGTTAGAGCATCTTTTTTCTGGTCGTCTGTCTCATCAGCTCCTGATCACTGTGATCCCAGTGTGTTCCCCTGAGGCTTGATTTCCGGCAACTCCCCGTGTTCTGCCTGGTTGTCAGCTTCTACTCCCAGGCGGACCGGAGTCCTTGTGGGACGGCTCTCTTCCTTCTGCCCTCTTTCTCTCCTTTCGGTTTTGGGTACCCATTTTGTGTTGGTTGAAAGCACCCTATGTGCTGGAAAAGTCTACTTAGGGCTTCACCTTTTCTTTTTAAAATAGGTTTATTCATTCCCACTTGGGATAAAGAGAGCTTAGATGACAGCATATAAACAGTGAGGAAACTTGACTTCTTTCCCTGTTATTGTCATGAACTTCGATTTTCTGATTTGGAAAGTGAAGAATTAGTTTTAAGTGATCACTAGGATTCCTTTCCATTTTACAAGTTTAAGCAGTGTGTGTGACATAATGAATGATAATTTTCAGTATTCCCGGGAGAGGTTTGGCAAAGAAACGTGAAGCAGTTGGCCTCTATTTAGTGGCTAGCTTAACTTCAAATGAGTGTGTCAGAGATTTTTAAAGACTGGGTTTTGAAAATGACCTGTAATTTATGAGTGTACTATTGTAGTCCTTGTTAGCGGGTAAGAACCCAAAGACATGAAAAACGCTGAAAATGTGTGGTCCTTAATATATACCGCTTTTCCTGGGCATTGCACACGCGTCCCTTCCTGCATTTTTTTTCCCACTGAATTGCCACATCATCCGTTTCTTTCTGAGAAGTAGTGGAGGAGTTGCTAGAACTTTGAAATGCTTCTGAGGGTCTCACCTGAAATAGATGTAATTTTTAGAGTACTTTTACCTAAGAAAGTATGATTTATAATTTCTTGGCATTAGTTATATTTCACTTTATGACATTTAAAAATATTCACTTTATGATATTTGAAGCCATATGCAGAAGTAATGGAGTCTTCCTTTGCTGTCAGCCCTGAAGGCATCAATGTATTTTTACTAAACAGAACGTTTCCAGTAGGCTGGTTTCTACCAGGCCTATGATACAGATATTTGTCCCTTGGAATTACACAGTGCTACCAAATTCTAACCATTTCAACTAGTCGGTTCTGATAGCAGTGTTTCTTGCCTAGATATTGAGATACCTTTTTTTTTTTTTTTAGACCTGAGAGGTTTTTGTTGTTTATTTTACATGGTAATGATAGGAGCTACATTTCACCTCTTCTTACTTTTGCAAAAAAATGTTTATTAATTTGTTTAACCAAAATTGTTTGAGTTTCTTTATTTGGGTTTTAGGGCATCTTTAGTTTCTGAAGTTCATTTTTCCAACTGTTGGAAACCTTTTTTGTTTTTTTTTGTTTTTTTATTGGTACTGGGGATCAAACTTGGGACCTTGAGCTTGTGAGGCAGGCAGCGGAACCACTGAGCTAAATCCCCGGCCCTGGGAACTTTAAAAAATTACACTGCCTTTCCCGTTAAAATTAACATGCCTTTGGGCCAGGGATTTAGCTCAGTGGTTCTGGATCCTGCCTCAAAAGCACAAGGTCCCAAGTTTGATCCCTGGTACAAAAAAAAAAAAAAAAAGTTGGTATTCCAAGTAAAGTTCACTTATTTTGTATTTTACTGTTCAGGCTCATTTGCTGTGGCTCAAGATCTTACAGAGGATGAAGAAACAGTGGAAGATTCAATAATTGAAGATGAAGATGAGGAAGCCGAGGTAGAAGAAGATGAACCCACAGATTTGGTTAGTGTTTTACACTATTTGATGCATCTAGAATGTGTATAATCTAGAATTTTTCTGTTCTTTCTTTCTTGAGATAGGGTCTTGCTTTGTAGTGGAGGCTGGCCTTGGCCCTCCTGAGTGCTGGGATTACAGGTGTGTGCCACCATGTCTGGCCTACAGTTTTTATTTTATGGACAGGTTTGACATTAAGTTCTTACTTTTGGAGGTTTGTTATGATCAAAGTGTGTTAAAGTTGGAGAATGGGGTTAGTCCTTGAGAATGGAGAATAAATGTTTTCTGGAGTAGAAAAGCCATAGTACGCACAAGGAGCAGCAATTCAGGATCATATGCACGTGGGTCACAGACCTGGGGTCCATGGTGCCAGCCCTCTGGGTTCTCTCTCTGGGTCTCTTTTTTCCAGATTTTTGCTCTGTTGGAGTTGATGTTGCTGGGACAGTGTACATGTGTCTTGGTGGCAAGGTGAGCAGACAAAAAGTAATAAAATATGTCCAGTGAAGAGTAAGAGGGTTAAAGATGATCTCTCAGAAGTCACCCAGTTCTGAATTTTTTACTGTATAATTATAGTATGAAAATGAGAGTATTGGGGTGGAATCATCATTGCAGCATATGTCTAGCTAAATTCATTGCCTCTCTGGGATGCCTGTGATCTATAGAGATTTCTTCCTTTTTGTGCTGTATTTGAACCTGGAACCTTTTTTTTTTTTCCTCTTTTCTTGGTACCGGGAATTGAACTCAGGATCTTGTGCTTGCCAGGCAGGCACTGTGTCACTGAGCCACTTCCCTGGCCCTTGAACCTAGGACTTTTTGAATTTCTAGATTTTTTTTCATTTTTTCCCTCAAGATTAAGCCACCAATTCTCTATTTTCCTGGTATTTTAGTATCAAAAGATTAGCCTTGAATATAGAGTTCTTCTCTCTCTCTTTTTTTTTGTTTTACTTCATTTGATGACATATGCCTTCCACCTAAGCTGCTCTTATTTTGTTGATGTTTTTGAATTTCTTTTTTTTTTTTCTTGGTACATGGCATTGAACTCAGGACCTTGTACTTGCAAGGCAGGTGCAGTGCCACTGAGCTAAATCCCTGGCCCCTTGGGGTTCCCATTTTGATACCTGGGCACATGTTATTTCATCTGAATAGGATACCTCTAGTCTCCCTCTTCCTCCCTTAGGAAACCTTTACTGATTACCTATGTGTCATGTCTTTTATGTATATTACCCTGTCAAGGATTATGTTTGTTTTTTGTTTTTTGTTTTTTTGGTACTGGGGATCGAACTTGGGTCCTTGCCACTTGTGCAGCAGGTGGCAAAACCACTGAGCTAAATCCCCGGCCCTGTCAAGGATTATGTTGAAGCTTTGCATCTTCAACCCAGTTTGTTTGATGAACAACTTTAACTAGATCAGTATAGTTGCTATTTCGTTGTTGGTAATATTCTAAAAGTATAAATGCCACTTGTGGTTAAGGTAGCTTAGCGTGGTGGTGGTGAACCTACAGCACACATGACACAGCAGGCTGTTTGTTATCATTGAAAGCTCTACAAGTTTCACCATCACTGGCTTAGAGTGACTATTAGAAGGGAATTTAGGATTAAAGATGATATTTAGGACTTTAAGTTTGGGACATGTACAGAAACTTAGTAATAAATTACATTGTTAGAATCATCTTTCTGAAATTACTTGGGCTGGGCATGGTGGCACATACCTGTAATCCCAGCCCTTAGAGGCCGAGGCGGGTTGATCCCCATCTGGGCTACGTAGTAGTTCCAGGCCAGCCTGAACTGCATATCAAGACCCTATCTCAAAAAAGAGAATAAAAGACATTGCTTGGACTCTCTGGCACTGGAATGTAGTTATGTTTTCTGCGTTTTCTCTTTAATCATGATTTGTCTTTAGTCTCTTCTAAGGCTGACTCTTGCAGTTTGGCTCTTGTCCCCCTCTTACCCTGGGAGAACTGCTTAGATTATTCTTTGCTTATGTAACTCAGGCGCTACTCCTCTGGGTTGATTCTCTTAGGCTGACCTGTGCTTACATACTGTTCCTTCAGCCTAAGCTGCTTCCTGCTTTCTTATTTTACCGCTGCTAGTTGCTTTTTGAAAGAATAACCAAGAGGGCCAGGGATTCAGCTCAGTGGTGCCACGCCTGCCTGGCAAGTGCAGGGTCCTGAGTTCAGTCCCCATGGTTGGGGTAGGGAGATACCAATAGAGTTTCTCTAATGCTCAAGTCTCTCCTGTGGTCTGGTCTAGTGTAACTGGTCTTGGTAAGGTCACCAGCCACCTGATTGCCACATAGCTGGCCTGTTTTCCAAGGTTCTGCTGCTTGGGTCTCTAGTATTTGCTGATTACCCTTTCATAAATCCCTTCAGATTGGCTTCTGTGGCACCCCTCTGTTCCTTCCCTTGGCAGCTGCTGCTGCTGGTGTGTGTGTGTGTGTGTGTGTGTGTGTGTGTGTGTGTGTGTGTGTGTGTGTGTTGGGGTGGTTCTGGGGATCAACCCAAGGGTGCCCTACCCCTGAGCTACGTCCACAGCCCTTTTTCATTGTTTTCATTGTGCGTCACTGAGTTGTGCAGGCAGAACTCAAACTTGGAGTGCTCCTGCCTTTGGCTCCCTTCCCCATTACCATCGTATTATGTGACTGATTTTCACAGGGAAACGTTCCTGTTAATGAGGATGCTGTCACAGTGCTTGGGAATAGCGTGGGGAGTTGTGGCTGCTGCCCAGAGCCAGCCTGCTTGGCATCTTTTTGGCAGTTTCTGCACTTGCAGAGTTGCGAAATCTTACCGTCACATCGGACTACTGTTTAATTCTTTACAGGGAGGAAGTTTACTAAGCCCTCCTCCAAAACCTTGCAGTTCAAAGTATGGTCAGAACTCTAGCAGTGTTGGGCTTCCCCAGTGCTTGTTAAAAATACAGAATTTCAGGCTTCACCCTGACCTGAGTCAGATGGCCAGATCCCCAGGGATTAGCTTGTACATTCAGAGGCACCATCCTGGAAGTCTTATTTAAATGGTGAGATACGATGAAATTCATACCACTGATACCAACAAAGCTGTGAAAAAGCAATGCTTTGTCCCAAAACTAAGGAAATCTCTACACATTCAAATGATGATGGCTTTCTTCCCCGTTAGTAATCTCACTTTAATTTTGTGTTTCATAGGCAGAAGATAAAGAGGAAGAAGATGTATCTGGTGAACCTGAAGCTTCACCAAGTGCAGATACAACTATCCTGTTTGTAAAAGGAGAAGGTAATGCAGAATTACTAGTTTTGATTCCGATAGAGGAATGTCTAAATGTCAACCTTGGCTTTTGGGGAGAAGCATTATGCAAATGAGTATTTTGGGAAAAGATTATACATGTGAACACTGGTATCTGTATAGTAGTATTACTGTCTTTAAGGTGAAAAATAAAAGCTGTCTGGTTCAACTAAAAATTAAAATGTCCATTTCAGTGGTACTCTTAAAATTTTTAAAAACTGTTTCAGCAAAGTGATTTGTTTCAGCGTTTAAATATTAGTAAAATACTAAATCTTTCCAGTTATCCTTTGGTTAGAACCTAGTTTCATTAAACGGAAGTGCAGGTTGAGTATCCCTTATCTGAAATGCCTGAGCTCAGAAGTGTTTTAGATATTAAATTTCTTAAAACTTTGGAGTATTTGAATATACATAAGGAGAGTGCTTGGGCATGGGGCCCAAGTCCAAACAGATACTCCCTTGTCGCATGTATACCCTGTCCCCAGAACCAGAAGGTAATTTTATACAGTATGCTCGGTGCCTGCGTTCTGAGTACATCCTGTCACTTAAGGTCCCTTGTGGAGTTTGCCACTGTGGCGTCAAATGAGAGCTAGAAGGTTTCAGATTTTGGAGTGTTTCCGATTTTTAGTTTGGGAATATTCAGCCTGTGAGATAATGGCTGATATTTACGGAGGCCTCTGCGGCCCTCCTGGTACCAAATAAATAAATACATAAAACCCAGAGAAGTTACCTGTGCAAATACATGAAGAGACAGCAGGAAAGTGTATGGGAGGTGACACTCTCCCATTTATCCTGACGGGTTGTTTAAAATGAAAACCAACACTCCTTCCCTTCATCTGCGTGGGTGACATGCTGTTACCCCTGTGTGATAGTCTTGGCTCCAAAGTACGCAGCTCTTTCTTAGACCACGCAATTGGGACGCATCCTGGGCTGAGGTTGAGATGTCCCGCTCAGTCCCTGCACGAGGGACGCTGGAGCACAGACATGTGCCGTTGAGAAGGGCTCCAAGGCCAGGTCCACATGCGGACACAGCAAAGCGTACAGAAACCCACTGGCAGTGTCTGCATTTCATTTTGTACTCTGAATGTGTTCTGATCTTCTTGTGTCTATTTTGCTTCTCAGATTTTCCAGCAAATAATATTGTGAAGTTCCTGGTAGGCTTTACAAACAAGGGTACAGAAGATTTTATCGTTGAGTCCCTAGATGCCTCTTTCCGCTATCCTCAGGACTACCAGTTCTACATCCAGAATTTCACAGCTCTTCCTCTGAACACTCTCGTGGCACCCCAGAGACAGGCAACGTTTGAGTACTCCTTCATCCCTGCAGAGCCCATGGGCGGACGGCCCTTCGGTCTGGTCATCAATCTGAACTACAAGGATCTAAACGTAAGGCCTGCTGAACTTCCTTTTTATTTGAGGGTTTGTTTTTTTTTTGGTACCAGGGATCGAACTCGGGTCCTTGCGCTTTCGAGGCTGGCACTGGGACCACTGAACTAAATCCCTGGCACTTTCTTACTATTTTAAGGTTAGAGATGACTGGGGACAATTGACATTTAATGTTTTTCTGTTATTCAAGTGTGTATTTTGTGATTAAAACAGTAATAGACAGCAGGGATGCAGAGCTGTGTCTTTCAAGTCTGCCGTGCAGTGGGGGCAATGTTTGGAAACAGGAATGAGAACGGCAGGTGACCATGCCAGAGCTGTGTTGCTAGGTGATGGGAGTGACTGGAGCTGGATCCTCTCAGGGAAAAGACAGTGCACCACCACCAGTTTAGATGTTACTGTGTATTAATTAAGGGATTTGTTCCGTGCCACCTTTCCTTGAAAGCCTTTTGCTCACTTTACTGTGGTGAGATCTTAAGTGTATGCAATGACTGAGTCAGAGAAATCCACTAAAATCTTTGCTGTTGGGCATTGACCTGCAGGTGCCAGCTGTTAGGTCCTCTTTTTTTTTTTTAATTGTTAAAAAATGTTAAATGAATTTTTAAATGAATTTTATTGGTACATTTTAGGTATATAATATAGTGATATCCATCATTGGAAATTTGCACCTTTACATAATCTCTCTTGGCTCTTAATTTTTTCCCCATTCCTGTGCCCTCCCTTCAACCCCTCCATCCCTCCTTATTTACAAGGATTGTGATTCCATTTTTTCATTTTTTCATATTAATTCCATTCCCTTCTTTACTTTCCCCTACCCCTCCCACTTCCCCTTTGCCCCTTTTCTTTCTATTTCACGTTATCTATTATACCTTTTAGTCCTCATTTACACTTTCAGTTTCTCACATTAGAGAAACTATTCAGTATTTACACATGTGTGTCTTATTTCACTTAAGAGTATCTCCTCAATGTGCATCCATTTACCTATAAACATCTCTCATTTCTCATTTTTTTATGGCTGAGTAGTACTCCATTTTATTAACAAGAAACACATTTTCTTTATCCAGTCTCCAGTTGATGGGCAATTGGGCTGCTTCCAAGTTTTAGCTATTACAAATTGTTCTGCTATGAACCTGGGTGCAGGTTCACTGTGGTATGATTCTTTTAATTCTTGTTTTTTGTTTTTGTTTTTGTTTTTTTTTGGTACCGGGGATCAAACTTGGGTCCTTGCACTTGCGCAGCAGGCAGCGAAACCACTGAGCTAAATCCCCGGCCCTATTCGCTTAATTCTTTGGGGAAGATACCCAGCAGGGGAATAGCTGGGTCCAATGGGACTTCCAGTCCTAGTTCTTTGAGGTATCTCCATACTGATTTCCACAGTGGTTGCACCAGTCTGTACTCCCACCAGCAGTGGAGCAGGGTTCCTCTTTCCCCACAGCCCCGCCAGCATTTGTTATTGGTTGATTTCATGACAGCAGCCATTCTTTCTGGAGTGAGGTGGAATCTCAGTGTTGTTTTCATTTGCATCTCTCGAATGACCAGTGATGTTGAACATTTTTTCATATGTTTATTCGCTATTTTTACTTCTTTGTCTGAGAAATGTCTCTTCATTTCAGATGCCCATTTTTGGATTGGGTCTTTAAATTTAGGAGGTCTGATTTTTTTTTAAGTTCTTTATAGATTCAAGATAGTAGACCTCTGTCTGAGGATACCACCCTGAAGGAGCCCAGTCTCATCTATTAGGTCCTCTTCTGATAAGCCAGTCTTGGCCCTTCCCTTTTCTGAAAGTTTTCCTTTGGGAGCTCATTCCGGCTTCTCATCCATCACTCAGTGTGGACATGTTTACCTTATGTCTGAGTTAAGTTACCTGTGCTGCAATTTAGTTTTCTTTTTTTGTTTTTTTAATGTTACTTTGTAAAGAATTTTTTTCTTCCTATCTTCAAGATACTGTATTAAACTTACTCAATTTTATAGTTCAGTAGCTTGAAGAATTACATATTCCATCTCATTTTCAAGTAGAATTGAATTGAATCCATCGGTGTCTGTAGTTTCAGTTCCAGTGAGCATTATTTTTATCAGTGTGTCCTCATCCGGGGATTGTCAGCAGGAAGGACGGTGAAGGAGTGGAAGTAAAACTTGCACGGTTGCTGTTTGGCTGTGCGTGGTCGTTTTGAAAGAGCAATGCCGCCTTTGCGTGGAGCATTACCCATCGAGAGCAGCTGTCTTTGTGCGCCCCGTGATTTCTGATGTATTTGAGAACTGAAATCTTATTGAATAGGATTGTTCCAAGGCTGTAACAGGAAGATACTAGGTGTAGAAAATCACCAGCCTGGGCCGGGGATTTAGCTCAGTGGTTCCATCGCCTGCCGAGCAAGCACAAGGTCCTGAGTTTGATCCCCAGTACCAAAAAAAAAGAAAGAAGAAAAAATCACCAGCCCACGTATTATGAAGGAATTGGTCTCCAGCCCCTTGTTGGTTTAGAGATGAGTCGAGTCTTGCAGGTTGAACTGCCACCTCCCAGTGAGTAGCGAGGAGCAAGCCCAGGCCTTGGCGATGAGCAGGTCCCTGCCCTTTCCTTATTTTTAGACAGTCTTGCAAGTCAGCAAGTTCCCCTGGCCAGTTAATTCTCCACATTATCTGCTGTGAGTCCTGTTGGACACATTCGTGCTTCTTCCTTGCTATGGAGGATGGCAAACAACAGAAGCTGCAGGTGCTGGTGTCACAGGGGCCGTGAGCTTGCTTTCTTTCTGTCAGTTTTACTTCATTTTTACTCTGCTTTCCTGGTTCCTCAGCTGCCACCTCCCGCTTCCCAAAGAAAGCGGATGATAACTGCGGTGCACTTGCTTTATTGGAACCTTGCAGCATTGAGTCCCTGGCATTGAATAGTGTGCTTATGTCTGATGTTAAGTCTTGCTGACCTAAGTGAGGAGAAAGCTGTATTAAATCTGTTAAGTAACAGTTTTAAGAAATCTTGAAAGCATTTATTCTTTCAATGCTTTTCAGGTTTTTGTGGGAGTTTTTTAGAAATTAAACTAAATTAAATTTATTTTTTAAACAGGGCAATGTATTCCAGGATGCTGTCTTCAATCAAACCGTTACAGTTATTGAAAGAGAGGATGGGTTAGATGGAGAAACGTGAGTGAAAGTTGCCTGTGATCTTATGTGGCAGGACGGGAAGGTGTGCTTTGATTCTAAAATATTTATTCAAGGGTCAGAATGGAATAGACTACAGATTCAGTGAAATCCTTACTCACAGACCCAGCTTTTGGAGGGAAGATAGTTGAAACTGACAAAGTCTGTCACAAAGGTGGCAGCTGGCTTTCTGTCATTCTTTTCTCAGACCAGTCTTAGCCTAAGCTGCATTTTATGTGCCTCCAAAATTGCTCATTTTATGTAAGTTAGATTTTATTTTGCAAAGTGTTGTTCTTTCTGAATAATGAATCATTTACTGTGAACTAAGAAAAAATTCACTGAAGTAATTTTTTAATCCAGTTGTGCAAAATAATGTAAAATTGGAGGCAGAAAAATCTAGTGCATTTATTTTATTTATGCATTTATAGAATAAAATTTAAATTATTAAATAATTTCATCTTACTCCTTTTCCCCCCAAGTTGCCTGGGAAGCTGACATTAGTTGTCTACGGTGTTAGGGTTAGGGCGATAACTGACTGTGATATTCTTTACGAATTAAAGCCAGCTTGTATTTTCTCCTTTTATGCCAGAATCTTTATGTATATGTTCCTTGCTGGTCTTGGGCTTCTGCTCGTCGTTGGCCTTCATCAGCTCCTGGAATCGAGAAAGGTAATTACAGCGAAGTACATTTATGGCCTTACTTCAAAAGGTGTCACAGTACTAAGCACAACCTGGTGCTTCATGGCTCCTTATAGATGTAAAGGAAGTAGGGCAGTCCATTTCCGGGTCCTCTGCCGTCCCACAGGAGCTATTCCTCTTCCCCAGTAAACTTTCCCTACTCTTAAAAGTAAATAGGTAAAAATGAAACCTGAGGGTGAGACCTTGGGTGCGTGACTTTGTCACATTGAGACTTTCATACACATGCGCGGTTAAGTGTCCTTTGCACCCTTCAAAGGGACCTTTCCTGTCTTACTGTAAGTCTAAATTATGCTAGAATTTTTTCCCCTCAAACTCAGTAAGATTTCATTTTCTGCATATTACAGTTTTTTATGGGTGTGTTATTCTCTGCAACCCAGCTTTTATATTTGCTTTAGTAGTCTTAATATGGGGATAACACCCCAACCCCCAGCCCCTGCTACTAGGGAGTGCTAAGCTACATCTCCAGTCCTGTAGTAGTATTTATTCTTTTCTTTTCTTTTTTTTCTTTTGGTGCTGGGGATCGAACTCAGGACTTTGTGCTTGCCAGGCAGGCACAGTGCCTCTGAGCTACATCCACAGCCCTCTATTTTATTTATTTATTTATTTATTTATTTATTTATTTATTTATTTATTTATGGTTTTTTGGAGACAGGGCGTCATGTAGCCCAGGCTGGTCTCACAATGATCCTCTTGCCTCAATCTCCTGAGTGCCAGGGTTATAAGCTTGCGTCATCACACCCGGGTTTATTTTTAATTTTGAGATAGTCTTGCAGGTTTCCCAGGCTTGCCTCAACTTGTGATCCTACCCCAGCCTCCTGAGTACTTGGGATTACACTCGTGTGCCCCTTTGCTCCCAACAGGGGTGATCTTTCATTAGCAAATGAGTCCTTTCATTCGAAGAAGAAATAATGTGGCTGCAGTTGTTCTGCTGGTTGAGCTTGCGGTTTTGTGACTAGGCAGTAAGTGGCCACCCCAGAGCGCTTTCCACAGACTTGTCTGGCCCTAGGCCCAGTGGCCGACATTGCTGGGTCTGCGTTCTCCGCCTCCTCTCCCCGAGTCCTCCCTCACCCATGAGTGAGGAGCCTGTGGGAAAGGGTTACTTACAGTTTGTGTCAGATACAGAAATGCAATCCGCTGGCCATCTTGGTGTTTGTAACTATCAACTGTTTTCATAATAGTTGGAGTTTTCACTACAAATTTATGTATTAGGTATAATTACATCCTCTGTTTTTCCATGTAAGTGTAGCCACAGTTTAGTTACTCTCTGTATGCAAAATCTTTTTTGGACTATTGGATTTATGGACTATAAATAATAGGTTTTTTTGTTTTTAAATTTCAGAACAAGGCTTAAAAAAGTGAAATCATATTTTACATTCTGGTGGTTTTGTTGCCTAATACTGTAGGGAGAAAGTTTTAGTTCTTAGATTCAAGTGAGATTGTTAGTTTAAATGAGATATTATATTTTTATCTGTGCCAACTATTGATTTCTAGATTATAGTATAAGACTGTGTGTATGCAACATTTCAGTAATTACCTTGAATCTTATTGACTGTAGACATTTATTCTTTGAGGTTTTATTCCCAAATGGAAAGAAAATCATTGTATGGATGTTCTTATTTTGTTCACCTCTGTTGTTCATGAACCTTTATATCAAGGATAAAGGTATTTAAATCCCAAAAATAATAATTTGTAAGGATTTATTCTTTATAATTCCATAACGATTTTACTGTTTAGTGAATATAATGTTTGAGTTAGTATGATTTAAAACTAGAAAACAACAGTAAAATATTCACACTGAGTTTCCTGGTCAATATTTAAAAATTTTAAACTGTGTAACGGAACTCTAAAGTGTGTGTTTGTGTTCTCCAGCGCAAGAGGCCCATTCAGAAGGTGGAGATGGGTACATCGAGTCAGAATGACGTTGACATGAGTTGGATCCCTCAGGAGACTTTGAATCAGATCAGTAAGTAGTCTGACGTACTGGTGAGAAGTCTTTCTTTTTGATGAAAATTAAATGTTACATTTAGCAAAAAATACTTGGGTCAGTACTGTTTAACATTCATCTTTTCTGTTGTGGAGGATGTGGTACAGTGATTAGTATGGACTTTAAAGACTGATTTTGTTTGCAGTAATTTCTGTGCTTTTAATTTAGCAATACTGTACTTTCAAATCTGCGGTTGATTTGGAGATATGTGAATTTTCTGTATTCCTAACCTGTTTCCTGTCTCTTTCTTTCCTGTTGCTTCAGTGCAGAGTAGAAGAGGTGAGGTGATTCATTTTTTTTAATGATGTTTGCCAGTTTTGGGGGGTTCTTGTGTGAATGATTTATGGCAAGTTTAATGAACATTAGGAACAGTTTTCTTGGACTAAATTTTACTGGAAAAACTACTATTTGGAAGAATGAGCCTAAAAGATTATCTGAGAATTTATGTAACAAATATGTATTTTATTACATAGCAAGTTTGAATACTAATTTTTGTAAAGGAATGTAGAAATTTTTTCCAATTGTTGGACTTTATTTTATAAACTTTTATTATAAAAGAAATTAGCATCATTATAAAAAATTGTAGAGTAGTACAAAGCTAGGACTGTTTGGTCACTTACATAGTTCCTACTGGAAAAGTAGAATAAATATTTAATTCTTCCTTTTACCAATATTGAAAAAAAAAAAACTACTTTAAAATCCCACCCCAGTGGGCGGGGAATTTAACTCAGTGGTTCTGGTGCCTGCCTCGCAAGCGCAAGATCCCAAGTTCGATCCCTGGTACCGGAAAAAAAAAAAAAAAAAATCCCACCCAAGTGGTGATGAAATAATTTTTCTCCCCTGGTTTGGTTGTCATATGTAATCTTGCATTTTATGGAATTCATGTGTTTCATCCAGCCATATTTTTATACTCAAATTGTTACAACTTTGGCTGTTGAGACCCCCTTTTGGGCCCTAATCTTTTGATCTTAGAGATCTAATCCAAACTTATTTTGTGTCTTCTCTTTCCTAGGACTTCTTGAAGGGTCCTAGAAAGTAAAATGTATTTTACTTTTGACATTTGGAGCTGGGCATGATGGCACATGCCTTTAATCCCAGCACTTGAGAGTCCAAGGCAGGAGGATCACCATGAGTTCAGGGCTAGTGAGCAGTTCAAGGTCAACCTGAACTACAAAGCAAAGACCCTGCCTCAAAAAAAAAAAGAAAAAAAGCTATCTGGAATGTCTTTAATACTGGGCTCGTTGTTTCTGAGCCCTTGAGCTAGATATGTTTTAAAAATTGTGAAATTGGGCTGGGGATTTAGCTCAGTGGTTTCACTGTCTGCTATGCAGGCACAAAGACCTGAGTTCGATCCCCGGTACCAAAAAAAAGAAATGTGAAATAATGATTTTCAGTTCTGCTGTAGTAATAATTTTAGAGCCTGTGTCTGAAGTCCCCCTCCCGAGAACAGTGGGGTCAGACTCGGCATTCACAGGGGTGACCTGAGAGCAAGTTCAGCACAGGCTGCAGCCCCAGCTCTCGAGGGCCTGGGTGAGTGGCACTGGGGGACCCAGGGGAGGAGAGGTCACGTCTCTGCAGTGGTAGCAGAGGGTTTTCTTAGAGTACAGCGAATGAGCCCGATTACGGGTGCCTTAGAAACAGCGCTTTCTCTCAGAAATAGGACACGGACTGCACGTGCTTGAGGACAGAATGAAGACAGCCAGGAGCAGGGTGGGAGCGAGGGAGCAGAAGGTGCCCTGCCCAGGCCCAGGCTGACACGTCCTCTGCCCTCCTCTGCCTGCCTCTCCCCTCCTTGGGACAGTGGAGCCCATTGCTAAGCAGGTTTTTCCTGATAGTTTGGATTTCAGGTTAGGATGCTTCAACTTCACCCAAGGTTTTATTATTTTTTAGCTATAAAGTGATGGACGAGCCAATTTTCATTGAAAAGTATAGAGACTTTGCTTGATAATAAGTGTTTTAATTGTATACATAGGGAAACCTTAATTGGAAACCGTAAGAATGTAGCTTTAATTCAACTTTCTTACTAAGGGACCAGTTAGAAAACTTGTGATTTAAATATTACTAATTTTTAAAAAACTTCATCTGAAAGTTAGTTGAACCACTCCTGCTGGGGGAGGTGGGGAATTAGGCTGATGTGTGCACAGTCATTGTGCACGTCTTTCTAAAAAATGCATTAAACATGGCAGTAAGTTACAATTTTACTATGATTAATGTGGTGGGGTTTTAAAAAACATCTTTTAGGGCCGGGGATTTAGCTCAGTGGTTCCATTGCCTGCCTTGCAAGTGCAAGGTCCCGAGTTCGATCCCTGGTACCAAAAAAAAAAAATCTTTTAAATGGGAAATGTAGTTATTTTCTTTTTTTTCCTTTTTTTTTGGCACCGGGCATTGAACTCGGGACCTTGCACTTGGAAGGCAGGCACTGGAACCACTGCGCTGGAACCACTGAGCTAAAGCCCCGTCCCCAAATGTAGTTATTTTCAAGTCTACCTCATTCAATGTCATTGAGGAATGTCATGAATTTTACACTTAAGAGAACTTTTTTTTCATGTAGTTTAAGCTTCACTCTTGAAAGTTAAAATAGTTTGATCTTAATTTGTTGGAGTTTAAAAATTTTTTAGGTTTCTTTTGGGAGAGTAGTAAATGGGAGGTATTTCTTATAGTTTTAAGACATACACTTCAGTGATTGGTTTGTTTAGATAGAATGCTTCGTCCTGTGGTTTTGAGGCATCGGGGATCATTTTCCCAAAAGCTGAATGACCCCAAGCACCTGTCTGCTGCTTATCTTCCATGTGCCGAGCCCTGGGCAGATGAGCAGGTTGCTGGGCTCGTGGTGAGGGAGCCACGTGGGCTGCCCTTCTTAAGGTCTGTTCCTTGCAGCGCTGGAGCGGGTCTTCACAGGCCCATGTTCATGTATTCCCAAGGTCAGAGCTGATGCAGGCGTTGGAAGTGACCGGAAGTGACCACCGTCCAGCTGCATACTAAAAGTATTGCTCACACAGGCGGCAGTGAGGTTGGAAGGAATCTGTTCAAGTATCACTTGTTTTAAGAAGTTACTTGGAAATTGGTCAGCTGAGAAAGGGCATCAGTTCCTAGTCTGAGCTTTTTGAAAAGTCTGATGAAAGTAGTAGGCTTTCTTCATCAAGAAAATGCATCTCTGCTCAAAACTCAGTTTCAGGCAAGAGAAGAGCTCCCCACACCTATCCATTGCTAACCTGTTTAATATACTAAGGGCAGTTTTCATGTGAGTTATAGATTCAGCCTTAATATTTCAGTCTTTAACACGTAAGCATATTTAAGGAGAATTTTCAGTCTTTAAATGCTAAGGGATTAAATGCATGGCCTTCCTGGAACATGCTGGGAAAGCACTCTACCACTGAGATGGTCACCCTTTTTTGCTGTTTTACTTGGAGACTGAGTAAGTTGCCCAGGCTGTCCTTGAACTTATGGTCCTCCTGCCTGAGCCTCCCACATAGCCGGGATTGCAGGCATCCACCATCCTTCCCATCAGTCCTTAGATATTCTTGCTGAACATTTACTATAAAATTTTAAAATATGGGAAGAAGTATTTTAAATGTGAGCATTGTCTGTGTTTTAGGAACTGTAATAGTTCCTTCCCGTGTTGCTGGTACAGATCGCTGGCAGCCACAGTTTAAGGAGGGGAGAGGTATTTTGGCAGGAAGCGGGGAGAAGGGAGGAGCTGGGAAGCCAGGGACCCCTTCCCAGGCCAGACTCCACCACCTCCTGGCAGCAGGAGCCACCTGCCGAGGCCCCGCCTGTGCCTGCGGGCGATGGGGACACCTAGGCGGCAGCCATGCAGTCATCTAGGAATTTTGGTGGAGAACATCTTTTAGGCAGATTTTTTCTCTTTTCCCAAAATATTTGTAAATAAACCACGTACTTGGGTGAAAGTCTTTTCCCAGCTCTTCACTTTTTTGTTTTGGTGCTGGGGAGCAAACTCAGGTCCTTGCACTTGTGAGGCAGGCGCGCTGCCCCTGAGCGAAATCCCTGGCACTCACGTTTTTGTTCTTTTTAGCTGGAGAAATGATTGGGGAGGGGTAGGAAGGACCTCACCATGTTGCCCAGGCTTATGATGCACTTGCTTAAATGCTCCTCCTGCCTCAGCCTCCTAAAGAGCTGGAATTACAGTTGCATTCCACAGTGTCCAGGTATACATGTTTGTTTTCCCCTCCCTCCCTTCTTCAGTGATTTTTATTTATAATGTATTCCATAACAAGCTGCTCTTAGACCTGGTGGGTAAAGTTCTTGCAGAAAATAAGAAAAAATAGTAATGGTCAGAGAGAAAATATGTCCAGCCTTTTACTTTCTTTATCAGTAAATAGATGTAAATAGAAGAAACGTCACATAAATTTATTTTCTATTAAATAAGCCCTATCAGGATGTGATAAGGAGATAGGATGTGAAAAGACAGTGCTTGTATGCATGGAGTGGGTTTAGCATTGAAATATTCACTCTTTCGTTCACTTGCTTATCCCAAGTGGATTCACTGATGCGGACTGCACGATCCCTCGTGCAAAGATTAAATCATCACTAACCGACATAAATGTGCTTGGGCTGTGGGTGTCATGCCTTGGGCACTGTTCACGTGTTTCCTTGTGCATGTGTAGATGTGACATTAAAGTAAATTGTGACATTAAAGATTTCGTGTGGTGTCTGCAGCAGTGCAGGTTTCTCCCTCGCTAGGTGCAAAAGCTCCTGAAGGCCGCATTAAAGGTTATCTGAAACCTGCAGCTGGAGGGGAGGCCTTGCCTGCGGTGCCTTTCACATCTGGGAGCTCAAAGCTTTCTCTTTTCTTGCAGACAAAGCTTCTCCGAGAAGGCTGCCCCGGAAGCGGGTGCAGAAGCGGTCTGCGGGATCCGATGAGTAAATGTCCCTGTGCAGCTGTGTGTCTGCTTGCCCCGCCCTGTGCCTCGGCCTGACCCTGATGGGAAGGAGGCGCCTGCTACTTACTCGTGGACTGAGGAGTCGAGTGTGGCAATAACATTGCTCAAAATGCGCTGCATTCATTTTTTTAAAGTAACGAAATTGGTTTTTTTTTAAACCATTAAAATCTGTGTGTGTGCGTGTGTATGTGTGAGCAGTCGGTCTTACCAGAATCACTGTTGGACGACCTGAATCATGCCTTTAGAATACTAAGTGCAAGCCATTGCCCCCAGACTCGGTAAACACTTGTCCCCAGTGTGATTGCAGAGGCCGCCCTGAACTGTCTTTAGGGAGTGACATGTTCCTCCTTGGATTGCTCAGATCCTACCCGATGGCACAAATTAGCCTTTTCTCATTGCTCTCTTCCCCTGGTATTCTAAAGGCACAGGCAGGAGTGGCTGCTTTTGTAGCAATAGAAGTGTTTTGGTATTTTGCTGCTGTTTACTCTAATGTGCACCTTCAGAAAACTTCCCAAATGGATTGAAGGAACTTGGGGATATGTCTAGCAACAAAATTGTGAAACATGAAAATTCTGCTGACTTTGATATATAAATCCCAACCCTGCCCCCTTTTTTCTAACAAAAAGAAAATGGTACATTTGTGTGAACTGAGTTGTGTCGTGCGTTGTTGCCTTGGTCCAGGGAGAGCTCGCGAGTGATCTTGCACCTACTCGGGGTTGGGTTTTGTTTTGAAGAGAATTCCGACCTCCTTCATAGAAGCGTTGTTTCCTAGGAAAAGTCACCTTGGTCCACGACCAAGTAGATCGCATTTTAGGACAGAGTTAGCTTTCCACTAATGCTAATCTACAGAAATACAAATTGGAAATTTTAAAAGTTAAATAGTTGCTTCTTGTCTAATCTTTTGAGTTTTGGTGGTTAATATACCTTTTTTTGTTAATATGCAAAATTCTAAAAAATTAAGCTCTTGGGCCAGGGATTTAGCTCTCAGTGGTTCCGGCGCCTGCCTAGCAAGCGCAAGGTCCTGAGTTCGATCTCCGGCACCAAAAAAAAAAAAAAAAAAAAAAAAAAAATTAAGCTCTTAAAGACAGACCTCAAGGGCCGGGGATTTAGCTCAGTGGTTTCACTGCCTACTGTGCAAGCACAAGGACCCGAGTTCGATCCCCGGTACCAAAAAACAAAACAAAAAGCATTTTAGGGCTGGGGATGTAGCTCAGTGGTTCCACCACCTGCCTTGAAAGCACAAGGACTGGAGTTCGATCCCCGGTACCAAAAAAATAAAGACAGACCTTAGGTCAAAAATTATAAATTGTATCTCATAAAAGCCTCTTAGAAGGTTACTCCTGCCTAGGTAGTAAGTTATGTTTGGCGTCATTGTCAGGCTGGATAAAGGTGAAGTGAATCCCGTAGGAAAGAGTAAGAGGCTTCCCTCTCTGTCTTGAAGCCGCACCCTCCCACTGGGATGCTTGAAGAGAACGGTCAGTGACGTTTCAGGGGCTGTTTGCTTCCTGACCTCTCTTCCCCTCATCTTGACAGACTCAACTCGCCCTGCTCACATTCACACATAACCCCCAGAAGGAAAACAGCAATGCATCAAAACAGACAGACAAAGTTCCAGGCTGGGTAAGGACTACGCGCCTGAGCCAAAGCCAGTGGCCCGTGTATTGTATAATCCTTAATCCCTTTGAAGGCAGGGCCAGCTGTCAGGTGCCCGGCAGTAGCCTTGCTGGGCCGTAGCTTTTTGTGCTGTTACATACGGCGCTGGGCTTCTCATCGGGGGGTGTTCAGTGGTTGATTTTGAAAGTGTTGCATGATCTAAGTAACTGCATGGCTTTGGCTTAATGTAATGTAATATAGGAGACCCTTGTGCTCAAGGGACATTTTCCAGCTCCTTTTTTTGTGGCTTTGTAAGTTTGTGAAACTCCTAGGACACCCATGCAGTGGTGCACGGACGGCAGTTCAGGGCCTGCTAGGGGTGCGTGGCCTTTGCCGTACGCAGCAGCACTTCTGGCTCTGGGGCGAAGCCAGTGCCTGGAAAGGTTGCTCTGTTATTTGTCACGTTTCTTCCTTAGCATAGATTGGCAGCAGTGGAAACCTTACAGCGTCAGACGCCAGGCCCTGCTGTGGCATCAGCAAGTACTTAGCAGAAACCAACTCCATAATGAATGGAATTCAATTCCACACATGGTTTGTTCAAGCACACTTAATAAGTAGCCTATTTTTAGATGCCTTTAGTAAATACTCGGATAAGCTTTTCTTTGTTCTAATATGGTCATTTGCAACACCAAACCAGTTTCAGAACTCAGCCTTGGAGCAGCGTGGTTTCAGAGTCTGTAGAACGAAGGTGAGGGCCTTGGTAGGACGCTGTCGCCCACCGTGTGAGGAGGGTGCTCAGAAAGTGCAGCCCAGCTCTGTGTGTACGGTCGTCCCCAAGCACTGACCCTCTGAGCGGAGCCAGGGACTTGCAGGCCCAAGGGCGAGGGTGAAGGAAAAACAAGGGGAGAGACATCAACATGATGTTAGGGTTGGAACCTTCAGTAGCTTCAGAAAATGGGGCTTTGAAAGGCAGAAAAGGCACATTTAGGCCTTAAGAGACCATGAAAGGCTGCTGCCTCAAACTATTTGTAGCACATCAGCCTAAAATTGTATTTTGGCTCAGTTGCGGGGGAAATAAATGGCAGGAACGTAACCTGGAAACTTTCATTGAATGTCACGGCTGCTTTGGAGGTACAGTAGATGAAGGTAATCATATGCAAGGCTCATAGATATTCATCTTTTGCAGAAAAGTGGTACTCATATCCCTGGAAGGAAGGAAAATTGGCCTGGTTTTGTGCATTTGAGTGAGGGGCTGGCGGCCTTGCTGTGTGGCCTGGGCGTGGCCTTGGGCTCCTAGGCGCGGGTCCCTGCCTCAGTCTCCGAGCCCAGCAGGGTACAATTAACCAGCTGGGCACACCTCTGACAGCAGCGCCCTGTTTCTGGGCACGATGTGAGTTCCAAAATGAGGCGTTTGTGTACATTTAAGAACATTTCCAGGTACACCTGAGGCTCTTCGTGGTTTTGGATGGCATCATTTATAGCCGTAGAGCTGAAGTCAATAACTTTGCTATGGTGTTCTTAAATGCTGCTTGCTCTGAACTGCCATGTGCAGCGTACAGGCGGGCTCCTTGGTGCTAGCAGCCGAGGATGTCGGGTCTCTGCGGGCTGTCTGCACCTCAGAGATACTTGGGACCGGAGAGGAGCAGTCCGGAAGTGCCTGGCAGGCATCCGGTTGTCATTTTCTGCAGGCTGTGTGCTCAGGTCTCCCAGCGAGGAGATGAGTTGTGCCTAAGGTCACCGTGTGTTCAGTGTGGCCTCCGCTGTCTTCCCTACACTGTGTTAAGGTAGAAATGTTCTGAAACTGCATTTGCACAGCTTGCCCATGCTTGATTGCCAGAACCCTGCGAGCAGGAAGTTGCAGTAGCTTCAGTCCTGAGCCTGTGCCATCTGCTTGGTGCGGGGGCTTGGTCAGTCCCTGTTGAGTGACACACCTGATCTTTAAAAACATATTCTGCAAGACAAACTGAAAAGGTTGATTGGATTTTAAGCTGTGAAGGGGCAAAGGGCCCATCTAACAGGATTTTATCCCTGCCCATGAAGTCGGCCAGCAGTGTCCGGCCCACTCGGGCCTCAGGAGGTGTGTGCTCACCAGGGCGCAGGCAGCACGTGGGCCTCCTGTGAGCGGGGTGGGCATAACGACATCCTGTTGAATCCCCGAGCTGAGGGTATTCTTTCCTTGGCTAGTGAATAACAAGTTTGGGGCTGGAGCCGGGGGTGGTGGCACACACCTGTAGTTCCAGCACTCTGGGAGCCTGAAGCAGGAGGATTGCAAGTTCAAGCCCAGCCTGGGCAATGTAGTAACTTAGCAAGACATTGTCTCAGAAAATGGGGGGTGGGGGTGGATGTGGCACAGCCCTGTAACCCAGCTGAGGCAGGAGGATCTCAGAAACCTAGTGATGGGTAACCAACAATAATAAGGTGAGGCTGGGGATGTAGGGCAGTGTGAAGGCCTTGGGTTCAAACCCAGTAAGTACTGAAAATACAAGTTGGAACTGGTAGAGCACATCCACCCCGGCATCCTCAAGGCCTGGGTTCCACCCCAGCGTGGAGAGCAGCTGTGTGGCCTGAGGGTGGGCGTCGAGGCTGTGGGTCTTGCAGTGGCTGGAGTGGTGCTCAGAACACTTCTGCCAGGTCCCTTCTGCAGCATCCGCAGACCCCAGGGCCTCGTGTCATCGGCCACAGTGTGCCCAGAGCCCCGGGTGCCCAAGTCCCCTCTGAGGCTGGGCACGGCTGGGACAGCAGCACCTGCCGGGGGTGGCCCTGGGCTCCCGACTTCCCAGTGCCGGAAGCCACAGGAAGCCATAGTCGAGCGCCACTTCGGCAGGTGGCCGGGGCTCACCAAGGCGCCCTCCTGGTCTGGGAGTGTGCAGTCCACACCTCGCACCCGGACCAGTCTCACCACTGCCAGCCCCTGCTGTCCCCTCCGCCCGGCCCCGCCTGTCCTCCGAAGTTGGCTCAGCCTTAGGTCGCAGAGAGCCGGGAGAATCTGACTCCTGGGATTTAATGAGTGGTGTTCAGCACAAAAGTAATCAATAAATGATTGCAGGTTTTAGTTCTGCTGTGTATTCCAATTAATTTCAGTTTTCCCCACTTGAGAATCTTTAATTAGAGAACTTCGAAGAAATGTGAATTTATTCAGTTTGGGCAAAATACCTCCGGTTCAAAATGTGTCTCATTTCCTAATCACTGCAAGGGGTTGCCAGGTGTGGTAGGACACACCTTGTCGCAGGAGGCTGAGACAAGAGGATCGCCATAAATTTGAGGCCAGCCTGAACTAAATAGTGAAATCCTGTCTCAAAAAAACCCAAAAAAAAGGTCTTGAATTGGCTTTGCGTGGGAGGGTGGGGACCACCGAGGATTGAACCCAGGGCCTCCAAGCTGAGCCACATACCGGCCATTTCTTTTTATTTTTTATATTGAGAGCAGGTCTCACTAAATCACTTAAGTTGCCTGGACTGAGCTGGGACTTGGAATCCTCCCACCTCAGCCCCCCGAAGTGCTGGGATTACAGGTGTGTGCCACCACACCCAGGTTTTAATTCCAGCACTTACACACTGGAAGTGTGATTTTGGTGGCACCCTTTGATCAGGTTTATTATAACCCGCTCAGCAGCGTGAAGCTTTGCGGTAGTCAACGTCTGAACTGTTACTTGCATCTCTTCTGGGTCGACGCCCAGTGAACCCAGTGAAAGTGGAGGCGGCAACGCCTTGAAACTCCTGGGGAGCAAATTCCTGCTCTTTAAGCGTCTGGACACACGATTGCGCCTCGAGCGCCTGTCTTTCCTGGTGATTTCCACCGCCCGAGCTGCTGCTCACCGGAGGCCACAGTCTGCAGCGGCGGTTTCGTTTCCCTGGCCTTGTCTTGGAAGAGCGCATGTGCAGCTTGAGCTGTGTCCTTGCGTGACCTTGGGACTCGACGTTAGAAGCTCAGAGCTCTTCTAAAATGCTACTAAGCAGAAAAAAAAATACTACACATTTGATTTTAATTTCCCCCTGGAAGTTATCGTAAGAGTTCACGCACCTTTTGCATGACATTTTGACACCTGCAGTACGGG